CCCGGGCCGAATTCACAGTGCGCAATCGTTTGCGCGTTGAATCGTTTGCTCACCCTTCCATTTTCCGCGCCTTTCATAATCAAATCTGGACTCGGGCTTTTGACTTTGCCATTGTCGATTTCCTCGCAGCGGAGCGTCCGTCCCGTGCCCAACTCATCTACTTGATCGAACATGGGGACTCTGAGCTGGTCGTCCCGGCGCTTTGGCCTCCAGTTGAGACCCCTCAGGGTTCTCCCGACGAGCATCTCACTCTGATCACACGCCATCATCTGTGGCTTCGAGGGTGGTCGGCCGAAATGATTGGGGAGCGATTCAACGCTCTTCTCGCCGTTGTACAAGATCAGCAGATTGAGAATAACTCGGAGTACGATAGCGACGAAGAACAGGAGGAGGATCTAGATTTTGATATGCCTGAATTGGTAACCTTGTCAGACTTCGAGGAGGACCCAGACTCACCATAATGTTTTAGCAATACCCTGACTCCGACGAAGATACGGACTGAGAAGGGTACATCAGACCTTGGGACGACACACAGTCTCGGCTTGGTGTATACGGACTGCCTTTATCTCATTTTGACCATTCAAATATTATGTAGAACTATGGACATTGAAAAATTCTGTTGCCTGATGAGCTTATTCAAGACTGAGTCGAGCCTGGGGGGGCTATGTCATGGATTATGGACACGGCTACAAAGGCTCTACACAATCTTAAATAAGTACATTTTGTATATTTAAATACGCCGTGAAGCAGCTGCTATCAGACTAGATCATTATGACTTATCATCAATGAGTCATTTGTGATCCTGAAGTCCTTGCGCGTTTCGTGGTCCTGAAACGCGTCAGGGATTCATGTTTTGATGAATCCGAAACACTAGCTAGATAGTATATAAAGCAGAGTCCCTCCTGCTGTGAGGGACATCTTACTTTTGATTCAAATCCACCACCTGCTCACAGTACTTCGTGCACCCTGTGCCTAATTATTATCCAACCTAGTCTTAGCTATACTTGAATTGCCAGATTCTAGTACCTCAAGACTTATATTCTTATTCTTCTATAAGAATATACCCCGACTTCGCAGCTATCGTGCTAGAGCTAGCCGCTTCGTTGGTTAAGTGCTCGTTTTGCTAAACTCAAGCACATCCTTTGTGTTGCTAGACTCAAAGGTTCTGAATATCATTCAGTAATTCGCTTTACTGAGTCTCGTTAAAACAGTAGTAGAGCTACTGAGGGTAGAGAACAGTGAGATCCAGTATTTGGACTCAAAGTGCGTCAATTTATCAAATTTAAATTGCTAATCTATTTGCAGATCCTGCCAAATAGCTATATCCTTAACACACACACTGTTGGTTTTTCAGAGTCTGTGTATGTGAGAAGTTGATTAAAATAAAAATGCTGATCTACTATGTAGCATCGAGAAGAAGGAGGCCCAAAAAGCAAGGCGTCGAGAAATCTCTGCTCGCCATTACGCAAAAAAGTTGTGAGATACCATAAGCCTGTGCATGCCAGCTAAACAGTACGCAGTGCTGCTGCCATTCTACAACGACGACGTGATCAGCGAGCATCAAAGAAGGAGAAAAAGCTGGGCTCAGCTCTGCTTATTGGGGAGATTCCGAGCATTGGAAGGTTGCCACCCAGCTTGGAGGTAGAGCCTCTGCCCGATGGACAAAGTGTCGGCGGACGAAGCCTCACAGACATAGATGGGGACAACTCAGAGGATGAGGTCACCTCCGAGGATGAGGTTGGCATGCTCTTGCGTGCGAGCACTCCTGCTCCGTCAACTCCGCCCCAGAAAATCTCTCCGGTCACTCCTCCGAGACTGACGAGGCTAGATTCTGCGTATGCTGCAGATCACCCAGACACACCGGTGCAAGAAGTGCTGCCACGGTTCCCAAGATTGATACTGTACCCTAGACGCCCAGAGTACCGGGTACAATATAGCCGTTAGATAGTATGTACCTGAATTACTCCATGTACACTTCCACATGATCTTGAAAACTGTCCTCGTGTGTGGTGTCAGATTCTGATGTAGAACATCAATTTGTTCCTGTGGTTCTTCCAGTGTAAACAATTTTACCTTGGCGTGGGAATCAGAAATCACGTCAGACGGCTGTAGACACTAGAGACTTTTCTTACTAGCATTCAGATGCCGCAGGGAAGACAGTCGCTATTCTCCAAAGAAGAGTTGGAGTTTCTCAATTCCCAGGTCGGGGACTTCGAGGCTGCTCAGGTTCACAAGCGAATCTCCCAATGGTTCCCGAAAGCTGAGCGGGACTTCCTCGACAAGTTCCCACTACCAGCTGGAGAAGACGCAGCAAAGGCTAGGGTGGTGAGTGGAGCAATCTCTTCCCACAATAAATACTCACCTGAGGATGGCAGCGATATCAAAAATGGTTCTATAACCGGAAGCAAGGCAACGCAAAGCTGGATCGTGTTGCCTTGCGAGGCACACTGGCTGCCACCATCTTCAAATCTCTGAAACCAAAGGGAAGGCGTCGGCAGCGTATAGAGCTGTTTCAGCAGCAGAATGCTGGTGAAGTCAAGGCAGCGTTGGAATCAGCCACCCGGGGAGAGCTATTGGGTTTTGAATTGGAACCCGAAGAGGCTAGCGGCGAGTCAGAGAATGAATCGAGCAGCCAGGGGATTCTCAAATCAGCTCTGGTGCGTAGTCACTACTGATAACGCATAGTAATGCTGTTCTGATGCTGCACACCATAGTCCAAAAAGCGTGCACGGGATATGGGGCTCCGTCGTAAAGTTGTTCAATTCCTGTACGAACAGGCGAGCGAGGAGCAGAAGAGCAAGGTAGAAAAGGCTTACGAAGAGCAGGGAGGTAACGAGGCGAATACCCCATGCGAGCTGCCTGTTGAGAAGAGGAAGCCGGAGCAGATCCAGGAGTAATGATTGTCATACTATGGTCTTGAAATAATCTGACAAAATTATTAGGGGAATCGACCAGCTCGATAAAATATTTGCCGAGGTGCTTGATGGGGTTGAGCGGATGACTGGCTGGCGCGGTATCGTGCTTGTAGGCGGACCAATGCCGTCTTTTCAGGGCAAGATTGCAACAAAGACAATCACCACAGGGATTCAAGGCACAGGCCAGCAACCGCTAAATAAGTCCTTGGTCATGTGGGATGATGTGTTAAAGGGCACAGGGGAATGGCTGCGTCGAGGATTTGGTGAGTGATGCGCATCATTAAATGATGTTACTGATCACGGCACCATTAGATCCAGAAACACGTGCCGCATGGGCGCTTACTGCTTCCAGCCCGCTCACTCATGCCTTGGACGGCGACCTGATCACTCATCTGGATGTAGAAAAAACCAACAACAGCGACGGAAACGGCAGCGCTGACGGTGCAAGTGGCCAACATGGCCTAGCGGTGGCAGATCCTACATCTTTGAATGCGTCTCAGACTTGTGAGGATCCCGCACATGCAGAAGCAACGCCGCCATCTCTGTCAATGTCTATGGAGACAGATGGGTCTCAAGCGCTTGAAAACGCCTTAGATGTGGGCTTGGATGCTGATTTCGGCCTGGATCCATTTCTCTGGGATTTTGATCGCGTGTTGGGCAATGATCAAATGGGGAATGCTGATACCGAGGTTGAACAGAACACAGGGTGGATGGGTCAGGGCGTTGGTATGGGAGTTAGTGCTGGTGCCAGCTTGAGTGGGGGGTGGGTGTCAGATGGATGTGATACGCAGTCAGGTTTCAGTGCCTCCTCACCCTACCCTCTGCGACCACTATCATCAGGTCCTGCCTCGCCGGCAGCAGAGTCTGTGGGCGCTTTTCCTCGACCATCTACTCCACCAGCGCTTCTTCTGCCATCTGGGCTACCATCTGTGCAGCCGTCAGTCTCATCTGGCACAGCTTCCACTGACAAGTTGTGGTCACCAACTGTCCCAAGCACGTGGCCGACGCCCGCCTCAAACCACGGCGCATTGCTTATGTTGCCTTCCAGACAAAACTCATCAGGATCTGCGCTTCTTGGCATCAGCGCTGTTGGCATCAGCGCCGATCCTTCCATGATCATGACACCGACTGCCATAGCTCCCGGGGTCACGACACCAGCTCCAGTGGCTCCGGACCTTTCTTCGACAAACTACCCAGAGTCACGCCCAAAGGTTAACGCTCCAAAGGCTGCGAGGGCCCCAAAGGCTCCCGTGCTTGATGCGGGAGATCTTTCTGTCGAAACACCGGGATTTGGTGGACAGGGAGGCGGAGATGGCAAAGGTGCCAGTGGGAGACAACATGGGCGGGGTGGCGGTCGTGGCCGCAGCAGCGGACGTGGCCGGGGTGCACTGAAACACGCAACCTCGCGGGACGTTGGTACTGTAAACCCGATCCCGGACCCCGATGAAGAGTGCCCGCTGGATTTCCAACCTGACTATCATCATGGGTCCGGAGGTGGGGGGTGCAACAGACCACAAGGTGGTTCCAGTCAGCCTAAGCCAAAGCAACGCGCAACGGTCATTGCTAACAATCCGGCCGTTGAAGTTCCTGCGACCCGCCATCGCAAGAAGGCGGTGACTTGGGGAGAGCCGATGACCGTCGCTCAACGCCAGGCTGAGCAGTACATGCGAAATGAGGAGCTCGAATTGCTCAACAGCGGCAGAAGTCGGAAACGAGCTGGAGGTGCTGAGCCTACCGCTGATCCGAAGCGTAAAAAGGTGAGTTTTCGACTTTCAAAGAACAAATTCCGGGCTAACACAATGGGCAGAGGTAGTGTTATAGATATTATCACATAGCTTCGGAGGCACTTGGTTTCGATGCAATGATTGTCATTAGGAGGTACTTACTAGAAAAAAAACAAAGCATGTGAACACGTGATAAATGACATAGTTGAGCTGACGGTGTGTTTCTTGTGAGAGTTTGCACTTCGTGTGGCTTGAGGTATCACACTTGTAATTTTTCTTGAAGTACCGTACTATTTTTTGAGGCAGAGCTTGTTATGGCGGAAATATGTAACATTGTGCTGAATGAACAGAAATGTTTGAAATGTCATCTCATATGCAGATCTGTCACACACAAAAGGCTACCATAAGGAATAAATACATCTCTCAAGAAGCTACAGACCCTAGGGTGGAGGATCAATGAAGCGAAGCCAGCAAGGCGGGATAGGAAGCGAATGATGCGTAACTACGGGAATGATGCACTGATGCAGGTGACCGATTCGGGAGGAGGCCCTGGGCAGCAATGCCGAGCATGATTATGTAAGTGAGTGGCGAACCGAATTGATGCAGAGGGATTGACAGGAAGCGGGATTTGATGCGGAAGGGAGGTGGCAGGATTTGATGCGTGGGGCGGGGGCCCGAGAATTGATGCGAGGGAGCGGGAGGCGGCAAGGCAATGAGCAACGGGACCGGGTGCCGGATTTCGCTAGCCGAAGCTGCATGAGGGCCCGGTAGTCTTCTGTAGATCAGCTACTTGTAGACTACAAGCTTTTCTGAAGAACAGCTTCGCCGGTCACTAGAGCACTTTTCTTTAGTAAAGTACCGGTATGGCCTGAATTCCCGCGGCAAATCTAACAGCATAGTCAGATAGATTGGATAAACCCAATTTCCAGCAGACACCCACATCCAGAACTGCCCGATGACATCGTCATTTGGCTGTGCGAGAATGCGGCGCAGCAGACTGTGCACGCCGTTGCGCTGCTGCGAATAAAACTGCTTCACTACCTCAGGATTGAAAGCTTGCATGAAAGCCTTGCGGTGGCTCCGCCTACGGACGCTTATTTTGAGTCAACCGAATCAGAGCACAAGAGTCTCCGCCTACCATCTTGCTCCGTAGGGCAAGAATCCAATAAATCCACCCCAGCCCATGAGCTCGTTCACCATAGGCGCTTGGACCCTTCGTTTGCGGTCAGCTGTGATGCCGGTTTGTGAGAATGAAGTCCCTACCGACTCGAATACACGGCCGAGCGCTTCTCAAAAAGCTCCTTCACCGCTTCAGGGGATGACAGGACGACAATCGACGTCCCCAGGGCCGATACATGGATGATGTCAGAATCTTTCGCGTCCAGTAAGCATCTCTGCAGATCCAAGAGCACCAACGGATCGGTCCCGTACCGTATTCCTTGCTCCATTTAGCAAAGGTCAGCCACTGCTGGTTAGCCGGTAGGTCCAGTAGGTTGCCAATGAGCGGTTTCTTCGGCGGGCCGGGAGGAAGAGGAAGGGAGCGACGTGTGGAGCGATAGAGGAACTTGTGACAGAGGGCGACAGCGGGCAGGAAGAGGAGAAGGTAGTGTTGTTCCGGGTCGGGTCGGGTCGGGTCAGAGGCAGGTCGGGTCGGGTCAGAGGTGGGTCGGGTCGAGGGATTTTGCCCGACCCGACCTGGGGGACCGGGTCGGGTCGGGTCGCGGGTCGGGTCTGGGTCGAGACCCGGGTCGGGAGGTCAGAAGATTAGACAAAAATTGCGTTGCATTTTGTATGCAGTGTTGTATGCGAGCGAGAAATAGATATTGAACAATGTTCCAGATGTCTTCGTCCTCCTCTTGCTCATCGGGTTCATCTGCGAGACGGCCATCACATGCTTGGAATTCAGGTTAGGGTTTGTGCGGGGCGTGATCGCGGGGTTGTCCGCAGGGTGGGACAAAGGTGGGAACGTAAAAATCAACAGCCTGTCACATTTGCAGGCTCGTGGCCGCGATCCAGAACCCCACGCTTGCGTTGCAGGGTGCCGCAGACCTCCAGGGACTCACGTGTCAATGCACCTGACGTGACCCGGGTTGAGACCCGGGTCGTCGGGTCGCGCAGATAGCCCGACCCGACCCCGACCCGGTCTCTGACCCGACCCGACCCACCTCTCGGGTCGGGTCGCTGCGACCCGGGTTTCGGGTCGGGTCGCGGGTCGCGACCCGACCTGGGACAACACTAGGAGAAGGTTGAGGAGGGTGAACTCCATGCTGTCTTGGCTTGGAGGCGTAGTGCAGATCGAACTACTGCGCCCCTTCATGAAAACTATGTCAGCTTAAGAAGACTCGCCTCGCCGCCTGTCATGGGACTGGGATAACCTACCGTGAGATATGGCAAAACGGGCCCGCGGTCCTAGATATGGAATAGTTTTCAGCAGAGCCCAGGATAGCACCGAATCCACGATAGCTGATATCCAAAACTGGGAATCAAATTCGCAGAAATCTTGATTGTGCTCGAATTACTGCAACCGTCTCCAAGTTCGCGCCTACCCGAGCCAGAAAACCCTCGGTGATGAGTTTTCCACAAACACGTTCATGCGATCATCACGGCCCTGCGGCTATGTATGACGTTAGCAGAGAGGTTGGTTCATGTCCATTCTAAAACCGGCGTATGCTGGAAGCCACTCGCTGATTATTCAGCTCTTGCGGTGCGGCTTGAGCCAGTGAGCCGGGTGGAGATCTATATTTGATCGCCACCGGAGATTTTGGCAGGCCAATTGAGCGTGTTGTGGACGACTTGGTTTCCGTCGTGATGAGGGAAGATGGGTACATACTACGACCGAGCGTAGTCGTCGAACTAATGTACGCTGTGCTGTGACTGTTAGCTGGAGCTGGGTCACTGAATCTCGACCTCGACTCTCGATCATGACCTTCTTTGTAATCTTATATCTGGGCCGTAACACCGCCTGACATGGCACATGACTTTCTCCAATCATTTTACACTAGAAAGCGTCGGCTCCGCCGACATTCTGCCTTGCTATCTGATATCAAAATTAATTCTAATTTTTTCTTTGATACGGGCAACTACGACGAGTCGAACTCGAGACCGACAGGAAGAGCACGGAGAGGAACGGAACAGCGGGGGACGCCGGGTCCGACGAAATCGAGCCAATTATGAGGGCGGAGAAGCCTTGACAAGCAAGGCAATTTCGTCACAAGATTCTCGCAGCTGCTATCTGAAATGGGGTGCCCATTTTAGCGCGATTCTCGCCTCAAACCGAGGTGTAAGCGTGCGATTTCAGACAATTTGAAGTGAGACCTTATTCATGATGTGATCTCCCAATTGAGCCGTCGCATGAACGTTTCTGTCTGCGCACATATAAGACTGGACAGGACTGGGCAGCACTCGGTTCAGCGGGACTTGTTTCCCTCTGAGATTGGCATCTTGAGAGATTGGGCGTTCAGGCCACGGTTGTTCTCAACCTTGTAGCTCCTGTCCAAGAGGTCACTTGCGGTGCGGGGGAGTGTGAAATGGGTTAATTCCAATCTTTCATTCTCTAAACACTCATTCTTGCGCAAGGCAAAAAGAAAAACAGAAATTATGAAACTATGTGAGGTATCAGGTCCAGAGCGTTGTGTAAGAATCGTACAATCTGCGCGTCAAAGGGAGATCCCGAAGCCAAGGCCGAAACCGAGCCCAAGCAGCCCGCCATCGACGCAAAGTCCGGCATGAAGCTTGTGCCCGGGGAGACAGGTGAATCCGCACAAGTTTTCACGCGAGCACGACGGAGTTGCGTGTGCGGGGAAAGTGCAGGTCTGTCGGTCGCTTTCATGGGCAGCTGCGATCTAACATGCGAAGCTTGAGTGGACAGATAATAGGCTGACAATGATCAGGGGAGGCGTACCATGGCGGTGAGCGAAGCAACGATCTCGACATCGGCTGCGAAAGAGCGTGCTGCTTGGATAGGCGCGAGGGTGGATACAGCAACGAGGCCTGAGAGAGAGCTGACGCATGTGCAGAGCTCTTGAGCAGCTGGACATTCGGTCGGTCCCAAATCAGATTAGAACATAATGAACAAAAACCACGTGAACGCACGAGGGATGGACCCGCAGTCGTTTCCTCTCACCGAGACCGGTCCAGAAATGCACCCGCAGACGTTACCTGCGAGCGAAACCGCAGTACCTACGTCAGCGTCCACAGCGACACAAACGCCGTTGGCGAGTTTGAAACCGGATAGGCAGGAGAACCCGCAGATGTTCTTGGGAGAGCAAGACGAAACGGCGTGCGCCGGGAACGAACACGTCTTCTTCCTCTCGCCCTCAGCAGTGGCAGAGATCTGAAAAAGCGTATGAGGCCTTGGAATGATAATAATGAAGGGACTTGGGTAGACACGAACCATAGCGGTAAGAGACGCGACGACGTCGGCCTCGGAAGCGAGAGAGAGCGCGACTTTGATGGGTGCCAGAGCCGATTTAGCGACGACGCCAGCGAGGGCGCCAACACAAGCACACAGTTCGTCCTCAGCTGCGAGGACCATCAGTGGCTCGATTTAACCCAGAAAGCGAGGAGGGGGCGTACGAGCAATGGAGCCACAGCTCTTGCCCTTGACCGAAAGTGGACCGGAAACGCACGCGCAGACATTCGCGGCGACCGAAACAGCGACGGAAGTCGATGCATCAACAGAGGCAGCCACAGCAGCCACAGCATCCACAGCATCCACAGCGGCATCGGCCCCTGTACTAGCGGCGACCGGGAAGCACAGGCCATTCGACAGCTCGAAGCCGGATCGACATGTGAAACCGCACAGATCCTCGTGGGAACAGACAGGTACGGAGTGCGGCGGATGCGCGCAGGTCCTCTTTTTTGGAGAGGACTGGATCTGGACATCGTATGAGCAAGGCTAGTGTACCTTCGACGACGGCGACTAACCTTGGCCGTCAGTGAGGCAACGAGCTCGGCCTCCGCCGCGGCGCCGCCGACAGCCAACGCGGCCTTGATCGGGGCAAGGGAGACACTGGCGACGGCGTCCGCGACCGTGCTAACACAGGCGCACAGCGACTCGGGTTCTGTGGGGCTTCGATCAGACGACAGCGGGTAGAGAAAAGAGGACGCCGCAGACCGAGTGTGCCGCAGTCGGTGCCGTCGACGCGAATCACGCCACCGATGCAGGCGCAGACGTTCGTCGCAGCATGGGGGCGTGCATCGAGTCCCGTGCGAGGCAGGTGCGCAGCGGCGTGGGCGAGCGGGAGGATAGCCGCGAGCGTAAGAGAGATGATCGTGAATGAGTGGATCAGAAGGAGTGTCGTGAATGAGAGAGCGTGAGTGAGTGAGAGTACTGAACGAGAACGAGGAAGGATCGATTGTTGAACTTGCAGCTCACTCTAGGTCTTCTCTTTATACTGCGCTGGCACCTCCATTTGAAACGCGAGTTTGAACGCGAGTTTCTCTCAGCCAGAGAGTTCAAATGAGCTTTCAGGGGGTGTATGCTCGGGTGTCCTTGGAAACTAAAACCAATCAGGAGTGGAATTACACGAGCGGAAGTTTGGAAGCAGGGACCTGATCGAAAGTTTGTTCCCGTTCCGCACCGAGGACTTCAGGCACTAGTAAAATAGCTGGCGGAAGAGAAACGGAGATACCTCATAGACACACTCCAAGAGGGCGAAGAGCACTTACTGTCCCTCCCCTACGCGAGGAAGAGCGAGGAAGTATCTCACAGGACCTGGTACCGGATTCAGCCCGATCGCCGTGCTGCAGTGATCACACGTGTTTTATCAGATAATTAGGCACGTCGGCCATGGTCAGATGTCACGAGTTTACGCGGCACTTGGGCTTCCAAACGGTGCTGGCGCCGGTTTAACATGAAAGCGCACTTTCGTGGGATTGGACACGCCAGATTCGAGCAGACTCACGAACACTAGGAACGCAGTGCCACGTGATACTACATAGCAACCGGAACGTGACGGATGGGATCACGGAGCAGGCCGCAGTATTTATCACGTGAAATCTCGTCAGCCTATGACGTCAACTCTTGTTCTTCAGTTCATGCCTGCCGTGGCACGTAACCAAGAGGGGAAAACACCAAACCAGTCCCGTAACATGGGCAAGTTCGTGTTTCGGGTACCTGGGGCAATGGATGCTTCTATAACTGCATCCTAGCTAAACTTTTCTCCGTTTGTGAGGGCTATATGGCAAGCTCTGGGGGTATCAGATCTGGTGACCGACTGAATCTGATCATCATCAAGATCAACTTGACCGCTCTTACTCCTTACGGTCAAGCAATTCGCCAATGGGTCTCCAACTACTCGACTGCCCTCTCGAGCTCATCCTCCAGATCCTCTCGAGATGTGATATCGCCAGTGTGCTCGCGCTCGGAGAGGTGTCCCACGCCGTCGACGCGGCCGACACACCACACTCAATCTCCCACAGACGTGTCGGTATCTGCACGACATCGGCAGCGACGCCTCCGTCTGGCTCGCACTCGCGCAAAACCTACAGCATCGTAACATCATCGAGTCCGGCGGAGAGGGAGACGGTGACCTGCGCGCGCTCTCGGGCGCCGAGCTGAAACAGCGCATCCAACGACTCGTGCTCGGCCCCGAATCCTGGTCACCGCCGTCCGCACAGCCACGCGTCGCCGGCGAATCCGCGGACACCTTCCAGCCCCGTATAGGCCGCCGCATCGTGCTTCATCCGAGTGTGCGGAACGGCCCGGGGATCCTCACCCGGGAGAACGCGGCCGTTCTGACGCCGAGCGGGCGGTTCGCGCTCTTCAGGAACTGGTACCGCCTCGAGTGCTGGGAGGTGTCCACCGACAGGCTGGTGTGGCTGTATGACGCGGAGCACGGACCGCTGGGGGAGATTGAGTCGGGGAAGGTGTTGCAGTTTGCGGTGGATGAGCTGGGTGGGGCGGACGCGGGGACGCTGCGCATCCTGCAGTGCGTCCAGACGTTCGCGGCACAGCGGGAAAAGTGAGCACCGGGTAGCTTTCCCTTGAGGTCCTCACTGATGATCGACGGGGGCAGCCATCTGGAGGTGCTCGAGATCGACACGCAAAGCTGGACGCACACGATCCTGTTCAGCTGGCGAGTGCCCGACACTGCCGACGACAATCCGTTCCACCGGCCCTTTTTCGTGGGTGACATTGCCGTCGTGGGAAGCTCGACGGTTTTTGGCGATGCGATAGTGCTGATATGCGACTGCAAGTCGGGCAGTCGTTCCAGCTACATCCTTCCGGAGGTCGGTGTTCGTTCCAGCTACATCCTTCTGGAGGTCGGTGTTCTTCTAACACGCTCTCGCACGCCTCAACGACTCCTCCATGCAGGGAACACATCCCTTGTGGAGTGTCATACCCAAATTCCTCGTCTTCAAGGTCTACCAAGCGCTACCTCGTAACGGTGGTGACAAGTCCGAATCGGAGGCACTCTACGTATACGAGACATCACATCTGCTTAACGGGAATGGCATCCAGGATCTCACTCTCATGTCTCCAGTAGCGTACCACGTGATACCCCAGCTGGTATCGACCAGCATCGACCAGCTCAGCGTCCATCCAGATCCTCTGCGAGCAGTGCGCTTCCGCGTCTGGGTGCATGCTTCCGGTCAGTCGGAGAGCGCCCCATCCTATCTGCATCGATACACGCTGGATCTCAGCGCCGCCGGCGGGCATTCCGTCGCTCTGCGTGAGCATCTACCGCCGTTGGAGTGCCGGCTCAACCTCCTCTACCGCCAGATCACGTACTCGGGACACTCCTCCATCTTCGACGGATATGGAGACCGCAAACACAAGGTGTTGGCCCCTGGAACTGATGCTACGGGGGATGTCCAGGCGGATATGGCGCACTGTGGCAATGAGGTGCATGTCTCTGCCTTCTCCGGGGCTGTAGTGTTCGCTACTCATTCCGATATTCGTATCTTGTACTATGCGTAACTCAGTTGACCATCGTTCGCGCTGGCAGCTTGTCTACCAAACAGTAACGGGATGCATAGTTTGTATCCGATATCGATGCGAAACGGGCGTCGATGAAAACGTTTCTCTGGGACTGGACATAAACAGAACGTGTTCGCTGAATGTTTCCGTGTTTCCGGGAGCCCCTGGATTCATTTCTAGAGAACATTGACAACGGCGCATTACAGGATTCAACAGATGCCCTTTCCATAAATTTGAATCCATAGCGGCATCGATGTGTCCACAAATCTGGACTTCGCCACGATTGATACAGATACAGCATATTCATTTCATTTGTCATTTCTCGTTTATATTCTGCACTATAATGCTCCAATGCCCGCATATGGCGCCAAAGTTTCAGCCCCAGTTCTCAAAGCCCAGTTCGATCGCTGATTCAATGAAGATGAGATTCATCTATCTGAAGACGACAGAATTGCACTTACGCCAAGGCGGCATGATGAACCGTTTCTGCTTCCCGGAGGCGGCCAGCCCATCCAGACGCTCGATCTCCTCCTTGGAGAGCTTACCAAGAGCCGCAATCGGGCCAGCCGCGTTCGCAGCGATTCGCGATGGGGTGACCGACTTGGGGAGCGTGATGATGTCTTTCGCGACTGCACAAGTTTCCGTCAGCCATATTCCCAACCAACGAATGCTCAGCCGCAATGCGCTCGCTCACGGAGGTATCCAATCAGCACATCCGCCGCCTGCAGCCCATGCGCGCCGGCGATCTCGGTCAGGACCTCGTCGCTGAACAGCGGCGAGCCGGTCGAGCCGAGGGGCGAGTAGGCCTGTGGGTGGATGCCCTTGGCGCGCAGATACGCGAGGAGCTTGTGCTGGGGGTTGTACACGTGCAGCTCGAGCTGGTCCACGGCGGGCACGATCTCCGCGGTCGGCAGGATCTTCTCGAGGTTCATCTCCGAGAAGTTCGATACGCCGATGCTCCGGACTTTGCCTTGATGGGTGCGCGCGCATGCGAGATAAGCGAGCGGTCAGTAAGGGTGCGGGGGAGAGTGGACGCGCCTTTCTTGACCAGGGCTTCCATCTGCTTCCAGGTGTCCCTAAGGTCCCAGGAATGGACGACGTCACGCTTGCCATCCGGGAGGGTAGGGATCATCGGGTGGTTGCCGTTCGGGTTCAACGGCACAGGCCAGTGGATGAGGTACACTGCACGGATATTGTTCAGTGGGAGGGGCAAAAAAAGCCGACGCAACTCACGATCAAGGTAATCAGTACCCAAGTTGGCCAGGGTCTGGTCGAGGCACTCCTCGACGCGAGAGTGCCAGGTGCTCCACACCTTGCTGGTGATCTGGGAGACTGATAAGTTTATATTTCACCCGAGCACAGAGTTCGACTCACGAAGATCTCCGATCGAGGGACACCAGAGGCCTTCACGCCAGCACCGACGTCTTTCTCGTTGCCGTACCTGGATCCCGCACAAACGGGTCAACGCAAACACAGATCGAGCGGCCACACGCCTCACCCGAAGGCACAGTCGATGTGACGCAGTTTGGTCTCCTTGAGCGCGTACTCGACCGCCGAGGACACTTCCTCGGGCTTCGATTGCCAGGTGCCTGAGGTGAACGGATCCCTAGCTCATTCACTGCTACTCACAAGGGCACGCGACACGCACCGAGACCGAGGATAGGGATATCGTATCCGCTGTTGAGTTTGACGAGGGGAATAGCCATGGTGCGGGGTCGACTGTGGGGGTGGGGAAGAAGTTTCGAAGGTAAAGTCGCTGACATGATTAAATCGATCGCCTTGGATAACGACGGCCCGGACGGCCCGGATACGCCTCTCCAACTTCAGATGACGCACTGGGACTAAAATAGCTTGATGTATGTATGTACCGAACAGTCGAGGTACATACATTCAGTACCCAACATACGGAGGAGTAGCCAGCAGGTAGTCACGGAGGAAGAGGACAGCACATCCAGTTCAAAACACTCATTCACAGCACTAGAGACGATCGGATGCCAGCAAAACCACACGTTGATAGCGAGTGGACAGCATAGATTCATATGTAGATATCTGCGTTAGCATTCGACGTCTTCAGCGTCACCTCCCCTCGACTCGCATTGCCCTCGTCCCAATACACCGTCCCCGCCGCCTGCCCCTTCCTCGGCGCCGTGATCTTCACTTGGCGCTCCCTCGGCTCGCAATCGTCGCCCGCCACAACGCACCTGGGGTCCCGCTCCCTGCCCTCCACACGGTGTACAGTCGCCGGCCCATTCGACGTCGCAACCGAGAACGAGCCCTCGTAGGCGGCGGGGAGCGCGAGCGATGCGGCGTTGTTTGATGTCCGCGCCTCGATTTTGAGGGTCGAGTCAAGCGGAGCGGAGAGGATCCTGGTGTCGAGGCGGCCGTTGGAGGTCTGGGTGAGGAGCGTGAAGCAGCCCCCCTGCGCGGATGCAGTGCTCAGAGTAACGTTCGCCATGACATCCCTGCGAAGAGGCATCAAACGGGTACAGAGGGAGCGACGGGGAATTCACTCACGAGTTGCTCGTCTTGACCGACAGGTTCTTGACCACGTCATCGTCTTTTCCCTCCAGCACCAATGAGAGATCCACCCGCCCATTGCTTGTCGAAACATCAATCGATTCGGTGGCATTCAAGATGCCGGAAATCGCGCCATTGGACGAGCGGAGTACGATGCTGGACGCCGTGACGCGCTACGCTGGTTGAGAAGATGCACTGAAAGCAGACACGGACAGACACACCTCAGTGACTATCACCCCATTAGACGTGGAGAGCGATGCTTCGGAAGCCGAGATGGCCTGAGCTGCTCGTTAGCTTATCGTCACCACGCAAAGGGGTGAATACGCACACCGGTCGATATCGCCCCATTCGAACCCTTCAGAGAAAGATGCCCGACATTCTCAAGCGACTGCACATCGTGCCCAAAGTTCCCCACGTCCGTTTCGAGCGTTTTGACGAAGGCAGACCGCGGGAGCACGAGTTCCACGTCGAACTCGAGCCTATTGCGGCGGTTAGGGAACTCGCGCCCCATTTGCGAAGTCTGACGATTCGATCAGTCTCGGAACCTCCGAGCCCGGAAAGGGACGCTCACAAAGAGCCCAACGCCAAGCTCTCCTTCACCGCGCTCAATCAGGCACACCTTCGCTGCATCACGTCGCTCTTGGTCGCGGTACCGGACAATCACTTTCACCTCCGCTGTGTCGTCGCGATCCTCAGTAGCCGAGATGCGCAGGTTCCCGCTCGAGTACGCGCCCTTGGACACGAGAAGCAGCGTCTCCTGTGGCACGCCGAAGGTGAAGTGTGCTGTAGCAGCCGAATCCGAGAACTCATCCCATCGAGAGACGCAATCCCGCAGAGAGAGGTCGGAAGGGATGGGGTACGCCGGCTCTCGCATGAAGTACTGCGGGATACCTCAGGAACGCAGATGCAGGGAGAGCACCTCCACGTACTTGGAACGCAGCCCATGTAACCAGCGCCAGCACACAGGTCTTGCGCAAGGACCACCTCGCCGTCAAGCCAGATTGAGTGGGCGCCGGTGCAGAGACGGACAGCTCAAGGTGGCCCTTCTCGATGTCGGTCTTGGAGTCCATGCCGTGTCAGGGTGTTGTGCGGGGCAAACTTGTTCGCCTGCCATTGTGACGTCCTTTTGTATCGACTGATGGCGCCCGATGGAGGTGATAATCTGAACAGAGACACCAAGAGCGTCAGTATTGGGTGGAATGACGGGTGTATTTGAAATGGTCGAAGGTATAAGTCGGGGGGAGGGCGGGGCACCGAAGGACGTCCGAGAACAGGAAAACGACCACTTCAGTCAACGTCATCGTGATCACGTCACCAGATCCCCTCCCATCAACTTACTTGGTTTCTACTTCCGTTTTCACAGTCACTCAAAGTTAATAGATTTGTACCAAAATGAATTATTCACAGCATAAATGAATTATGGAGCCCCAATCGTGTGTCGGGAGCTCTCTTTCCGAAGAGTCTCTAGGAACATTTGCGAGCTGCGTTCGATTTCCTCCTACAAGCGGTCAGAGCACGGTCAGCACCCGATAGATAAAAACGCACTACGAGAAATGAAGGCCAGGTGTTCGGTGCCGAAGCAGTGTCAGGCTGTCGCTGGCTGTAAAACACGAGATAGGGGGAATCCAACAGTACGAGATCTTCCGGCACCTTCGAATGAGCGATAACTCAGTAATAGCTCCGAAGGAATCTATGCCCGAGTTGAGTTCGGCTCACCTCAATGACCTCCCCATCGAGCACTTTCCACCATTTCGACTCTGCCCGCACGTACGAGTAAGTGTGACGCGGACCGTGCTCCCCGTCCGTCACCAAGGATGCTCGCAGATCGTACTGCATCGAGTCTACGTACCCGAGATCGGCAGAGAGTCAGAAGAACGCACCGGCGTCATCTTGAGATCCTCCTCGTTCGTGATTGCGTCCAAATCCTTTCGCAGTGCCAGCGACTTCTCGTCAAGAGCTATTTCCGTCATTCAATTGGATGAGAGGCGGGAGACACACATCAGTCGATGCACTGACACTCGACGTGGACTTCGAGTCTCTGCAAAGCCTGGCGCAGGCTCAGAGCAAGTTCTTCCATGCGCCGTGCATCGGCTTCGCTGCGTGGCTTCAGTACATTCGGATGTTCGTACTCGGAGATGACCTGACGGAGCATCTCGAGCGGATTTTCTCCCTGAGACGTGAGCGAAAATCGTGCTACTGACTGGGCGCACGCACCTCAAATAGCATGAACTTCTCCCGTTCTCTCTCAATGTCCGCGATCTCCTTCTGCACATGTTTGGTTGCGCGCTTTGTCTCGTTGGCCAATGACAAATTCTCCACAAGGAACTCATCCAGGTATATGGTGGTGGGAAGATGGTGGATCGCAGCCGAGATCTGGAACACCATGATTTCCGAAGGCTCCGTGATGACCTGGTGGTCTGAGGATTTGTCCCCGCGGAACTGGTGAAGTGTCGCAGACAGTTGCTTGACAAGGTCGCCGGAGTCGTGTACCCCCGAGGAAGGCAGCGGGATGATGTACCCCAGAAGGGAGGGGCCAGTTTGGGGTATGCCGGAGGCTGTAATCAAGATTCGTTGCCATTCAGAGCCGAAAAGCCGAGTGCGCGGGCTGGGAATGAATCAGAAATGAATAGAACATTCATTGCGGACAGGACCCTCGACGACGATTGAATGATCTGTCTGCAGAAAGCAACACGGTATCAACACCTCGCATTATGTTTCCCAACAATTCTGCAAGGATGATCAACAAAAGCGGCAGACCTTGCACAGACTTATCTACGACTGGACAGGGCCGGGATGGTGGGTCCGTTTCTTTCGCAGGGGACGGCATTCCACGCATCAAGGAGCTCAGAATCAACAAAGAACGATATTCTAGCCAGGTCGAGACAGGCGAACATTTCGACCAGTTTCCAAGTCGCGTATTCTGGAGAATATCAACAAGAGCACCCCGCGATTACATCGATAAGATACCGTGACTTCCTGAATTGGGCGCTTCAGGTGAGATGCCGAGCTCGGATAGTTTTTGCCGGACTTGCGGAATGTGGAAAAGGGCGAGGATGATCTGCAGACATTGAAAAGCGTTGTAAAGCGGTGAGGAAAGGGGAACTCGCATGCGCAGCATACGCTCTGGAGGACGGGTGAGCGCGCAGGGCTATGGGTCTAAGACACGAATCAACAATCGCTTCGAAAAGCAGGGCAGCAGCATCAGACAAACCTCCCAGCTTCTCTCTCAGACTCAGCCATATCATCAAGCTCGGTCTCGCACTCCGTCGGACGAGCCGCATAATCTCCTGGAGAGGACGCCCTGCTGGTCGCACGGACAGAAGCCGATTCCAGGCCATCAGGATCGGAATCATTCTCTTCTCTGGAGTCAAGCTGGATGAGCGACCCTCCCTTCATTCCAGGCATATCCCCAGGTCCCGTGTTGGTCGGCGGGAACAGATGCGCGAAATAAGACCGGATGGACTTCGTACTCTCTTCTTCTTCGGAGCTTGGGGATTCGGCGGAAGTTTCGTCCGGAGCGGACAAGAGAAGAAGATTCCCAGCCTTCTCGAGGTCCCCGCCGCATGCCCGCAAGGCGCGCAACGCCTCGTTTATCGTGACGCCGGTGAATTCGACTAGACTTTGTGCGTCGCGGACCTCGCGCGCGAACTCATGCTCGCGGAGCTCTTCGGGGGTCAGGGGTGTTGGATGCGTGCCCGTCATGCGGAATCGACGCGATGACTTTCGGCTGTTAATGAGTGTGCACTTGGTGACTTGTATACAGCTCACGTGCAACGTGTCGATGACTTGATGGCTTTAAACGCGGATCACAAACGGATCAAACTAAATCGATCGGTAATGAGTGGCATTGATGACACTTATCTACATCTTCACGGAAGTGTCAAGCATTTAGTTCCCATGCTACATTTTCCAGGGGCTCTACGCGCTCGATAACGAGTGCGAATTCTTCCAGTGCGATGGATTAGTAAGAAAGAGCTCGGCTAGGCTCAGTAAGTAGCCTGGGCATCAGAAATAGTTCGTTCTTTATCGTGTTCGAGAGACGAAAGAGGCGAGTGAGGGACCATGAACTGAGCATAACTCAGGTTTTCTGTGAGCATACGGAGCACATTTCTCACAGGCTGCACTGAAATTGGTGGACGGCAAATGGTCTGAGACGAAGTTTGTTTCATGTCACGTGGAGCGGCGTTCAATTCCCTTCTCAGTTTGCTATACTATAGTATGTCCACACTGGGTAGGTGGGTTTCCCTTCGGCCGTACTAGACTACCGGAAATCGCTCACTCTTCGGCCAAGGCACATGACGGGCATACGAGTTTAAATAATCCATTGCTTCAATCGCACCCTCTCATCCGAATGATGTCCATCTCACACGACAATGGACAAGACAAAGTAATGCTCCATCCTGTCCGAACTTGAACAGAACTACACCCACGTATTCATTTCGACAGGCTCCACCCACCCCCAAAAGGCAACAGAAAGGATAGAACTGATATAGAAATCTCCTCCCACATATCGGCCCTCTGAGGTGAACTCTGGAACTGCTGACCCACATGCGAGTCGTGCGACCAACGGAATCTGTTACTCGCCAATTATCTGAGGCCGGCCTAGCTCGACTGGAAATCACCTAGTATCGCTCCAATGAAGATATGATACGGTTTTCCTCACTCATATGAAGCTTCCATAGACATGTCTTCCTCCCATCTGCATGCGCAACTTTTGAGTTGTTCCAACTGGAGAAGGTCACGTGGAGGGTCGATTGGACGATTGAGTTGACTCATCGATCAGATAAGCTTTTTCCCTCTCGCGTGGGTCCCGCCTTGCGACGACAATGAGTACCCTCCCGCCCGGCGAAGCGCGTGTTAAACCCGAGTACGCCACTCCCTCTACGATAGCGGCCCCCACATCATCGCTTACCCCCGGGTTACGGCCCTGTCCTACAGATTCCTCCTCCCCATCGCCAACGCCTCCAGCAACTCCGTTCCAGACGACGACGCCGCGGAATCGTCCGCCCGGCCCACCCGCGACGCCCGCAACTCGAACTCAAATTCACAGCACCACGCGCGTGACGGCCCGCGCCTGTCCAAAGCCGAGAAGAAGGCGCTCAAAAAGGCGCAGACGGGGTCGAACAAGGGCCGCCGCTTCGCGAAGGTGCACGAGGGCGTCGACCTGTGCTACCTCGTCGCCGCGGGACGGGTGTGTGACTTTGGCGACGCGTGCAGGAACAGCCACGATGTCGCGAAGTACTTGGAGGAGAAGCCGCCTGGGATGCGGTTGCCTGTTGCGGAGGATGTGCAGCACATGGCATTACCGCTGCGGGCATCGAGTGTGAAGGAGACCGCTGGGGAGGGGCAGACGGAGATGGAGGTCGATGTCGAGCCAGACTACATGAAGTACACGCGGCCGGTCCCGGGGGAGCCTGCGGCGTGTCCACTGTGGGAGGCTTTGGGTGAATGCCGGTCGGTGGATACGTTCCAACTCTCGCTTTCCGCCGCTGAGCAGTCTTGACGACAGCTATGGATTGCGATGCCGGTACTCTGCAGCACACACGACGATCTCAGCCACTGACCCTACCGCATTCGAAAACTTGAAAAACGACGAGCGGATCGCTGTGGCTGCGAGCACCGAGGCGGAGATGAATAGGGTCGACGTGAGCGTCCTCAGAGCGCTGAAGGGGAAGAAAGTGGGTCGCTGCGATGGATCTCGAGCTCCGCTCACCTGTCGCCGCAGTACCCCCTCCCTGTCACCAAAGCCTACGAGGCGGAAGTCGGTGCCGCCTCGTCAAAACCTGCACCTCCGAAAACTGCTGTCGTCATCGCTGAGCCGGAGCAGAACGACGAGGACGAGATCATCGCCGAGCGCACCGGCACGACGGCGCAGCAGGCCACCGGCGCAGCAGCGGTCGACGCACCCGACGTGCCCGTGCGCTTCGCCGAGAAGCGGCGTTTGCACTGGGAGGGCAAGACGTATCTCGCGCCGCTGACGACCGTCGGGAACCTGCCATTCCGGCGGCTCTGCGTCGACTTCGGCGCGGACATCACCTGCGGCGAGATGGGGCTCGCGCATTCATTCCTCGGTGCGTCGAAGGAGGAGTGGAGTCTCGTGCGCCGGCACCCCAGTGAGCGGAACTTTGGGGTGCAGATCGCTGGAAGCAAGATCAGCACCGTCGTCGCTGCCGCGGAGGTGCTTGGGCGAGAAATGGCGGGCGGGCTCGATTTCGTGGACCTGAACTGCGGGTGCCCGATTGATTTGGTATTCAAGACGGGCAGCGGGTCGGCGCGTCAGTCCTTTGCCGGCATGCTTTGAATGGGCTGATTTACGTTTTCGTCTAGTGCTCGACAATCCTAATCGTCTTGGCAGATTGGTTGTGGGGATGAACCGAGCGCTGGGTGAGGTCCCCGTGACAGTGAAGCTGCGGACGGGTGTCAAGGAGGGCAAGAACACGGCCCACAAGCTGATGCCGAAGCTGGGTCCCGAATTCGGTGCCGCCGCCGTGACAGTGAGATCCCGAGGCTGTCCCTGCTTGCAATCGTACTGAGCAGACCCTGCAGCTGCACGGTCGTACGCGTCAGCAGCGGTACTCCCGACTTGCCGATTGGTCGTACGTCAAGTCGTGCGTGACGGCTGTGCGCGAGTACGAGACCGACCACTCGCTGCCCCGCGTGCCGATCTTTGGCGGCGGCGACTGCTTCAGCTCACAAGCATACTGGGAATGCGTCGACCAGTCCGGCGTCGACGGTGTGATGATCGCGCGCGGGGCCCTGATCAAGCCGTGGATCTTCACCGAGATCAAGGAGCGACGCGAGTGGGATATCAGTGCCCGCGAGCGGCTCGAGGGCATCCGCAAGTTCGCCGAGTACGGCTTGACGTGTGTTGCCGCTCGCTTTCGTTGAGCTCCGCTGACGATGTCCGCAGACACTTTGGCACCGACACGGCGGGTGTGAACTCTGCACGGCGGTATCTCTGTGAAGCGTTGTCCTTCCAGTACCGTTACGTGCCGTTGGGTATCCTCGAGGTGCTTCCGCCGCGAATCAACGATCGTGCACCGGCGTTCCGGGGACGAGACGAACTCGGTATGGTTTAGTCTACTCAATAGATAGCTTCTGACTAACGGACTCTCAGAGACACTGCTGGCAAGCGCGGACAGTCGTGACTGGGTGCGGATCTCAGAGATGTTCCTCGGCCCGGCCCCGGAGACCTGGGTCTTCACCCCCAAGCACAAGAGCAACGCGTATGATAGTCAGGGATGAGTCATTAGGACTCAGAACTAGTGTCCTCTATGCCGTTACACTCCCTAGATAGCACGACATTAGTGCCTCCATCCTCAAAAGAACTCGATGTATACGACCCAGGTCCTCCCGGGCCGGTTGGGCCCGGCGGGACATACTAAAATATTCCTCGAGCTCTCTGTCAAAGCGGTGCACCATCAGTATCCTGGATGGTTTCTGAGTTTATGATGATGTCAGTCACCTGTGTCCTCTTTTAGTAGGATAGCCCCCGTTGCATGGGCTTGATTATCGGGGTTAGGTTTAGCGGGACACTGCCGTTGGTCGTAGCAGCCACCGCCCGTTGAGCCGAGTGGAGGATTTGCGTCCCATGTTTGATTTCGTGCGCTGGCTCTTAATCCTTGATCGTGAGCAGACCCCCCTCCAGGGAAATACGCGAAGTACTGTAACCGTGGGAGAGAGGGTAGTACCAGGGTTGTTCCAGGAGGACTGGTGTTCTGGACCCTGGCCTGCTGTGTTTTGAAATTTACGCTGTACTGCCGCAACGGTTCTCTTTGACGGGCAGCCATGACGAAAAATCAGACGCTCGGCAGTGAGCACTAATGCAGCTCTGGACGAAGGGTACCGAGCACCCTGTCCGTGACTGTTCGGAGATCTCTTTACTTTGCAATCACAAGAAACGATGCGGCATCTTCGCCTTTTCTAATCTATTGACGGACCATGTACATGAAACCGTCGTATCCTTTGTCCCCGACCGTTCCGATGGTCGTAGCGTCAACCTCGGGGTCGCCCTTGACAGCTTCCAATAGCGCTCGGACACCTTCAACCATCGGATCGGAGTAATCAGGGTTCCCAACACGCCCGTACCTCACCACGTTATCAACGATCTGTTCGAGAGTTGATATCTGCTCGAGAGATATGTGATATGGGATAAAGCTGCACGCACGATGACACCGCCCTTGCGGACCAGGCGCTTGGCTTCCGTGAAATAAGCTTTGTTCCCAGGCTTGTCGGCGTCGATGAAGATGAAATCGAACAGTTCCCCGGGAGCAGGTTTCATGGCGATCATGGACTCGAGGGCTGGCCCAACCACTACATTCCGTGGGTACCTAGACCCTGACGGGTCTAGATCGGGGGATCAATGTCCGAGACAAGTCCGACAAGAGCCGAGACGCCTAGACCATCAGGGACTTCGGCGCTAGTCCCTGATTTGGGTCGCCGGCTACCGAGCTGTGCCTTTTTGAGTAGTCACCCGTGTGTAGTCACTATTCCGGAACCGGTCGGCCCTGGGGCTACTGGTGCCTACCAGAGACATTGCCGCCAGTCCACCCTTTTGACTCCTCCATACTTTTCCTTCATCCACACTGTACTAGTCGGTGAATGCAGTTGCTGGGCCATCTTAAAAACCTCCATTCTCGTTGTCAAGCTGGTGCCAGTGTGAAGGGAACGTGTGCGTGTGCGAGTTTTCAAAACAGGCAACCATGTCATTTTAGCTTTTTCCGTCCCTGGTCCTCATACGCAATGGGCGGTAGACATGTAACAGTAAATACAAGCAGTTTTAATGATGCATTCATGCTCTCTATAAAATTTGTAGTATTTAAGAATGTCCACAATGGCGGGAGAGGCGGGAGCGGCCTGAAATTGCTCTCAGAGAGTGCCGTGGGAGCGAGAGGGGACTAGCCGAGACTGAATGATGGCCGATCAGTGACCGATCTCTCTCGACCCCACTTGGTCCCGTGTAGCCACCGGTAATCACTATGGTGTCTACATGTGTAGTCACACTCAAGGGGCTATGGGTGACTAGCTTCCTAGTCTCCTTCGGGGTCTATGTACCCACGGAATGTAGTGAACGACGACCTCGGCCTTGGACGATTGTCCCGCGGCGGTCAGATTCTCGACTGCGACCTGGACACAATCAGTGATATGGCCTCAAAAATAACGCTCGCTAGAGCCATCCGAGCTCTCACTGCGGCATGTTTCGGGCTCAGCTCGAGTGTGACTAGCTTCCCGTCATCGGGCAGCGCCCGACACAGCCAGATCGTCGAATACCTAGGATCATGATGGGACCTCGACATCAGCTCATCGAATCACCATCGTGAACCCCCGCCTTACCCGCCCAGCGTTCCCACCTCCAGGATCTTCTTTGCGCCGATCGAGCGGACGAGCAGAGACAGGAACTTTCCCTGTGCCGCGCTCACAGCGATGTCCGGCAAGCCATGCGCCGCGCTGTTCTTGAGCGCGTTGTCGAGCACGGTGTCGGCCGGGAGGAGGAAGCTGTTGTGGTACTGGTCCGAGCGGGCCCAGTCTGCGAGGGAGGTCGCCTGGAAATCCTGAGCCTGAATAGACATGATGGGGGAGAAAGATGGCTTATTGGATGTCAGTGACCGGTGACGACGTGTGTAATTCACATCGGTTGGTTGATCTGTCGTCGTCGGGAGTCGGCTCTGATGGACCTTGGTTATCACGTGCATTGGTTCAGACTTTGTTGAATTGCGGTCTCAGGCATCAGGTCCTTAGTGAAGTAGGAAACACACAAAATGAACCCATTCTTTGTTATGTGATGATCAGAATGACCCTTGCTACCATGAAAGCAAGGAATGAGTAATTAGAATTGGAAATTCGTTTGCTCTTTCACATTACACCTCCCCTCCCTATATGTACAAATACCACTACTGTGCCGTTACAGTCTTAGGTTCATGTCACCGGTCACTAGCCCTTTCAAACTGAACCAATTCTACACCTGTCACTGTTCAACGAAGGACTCGAACTTCGGTCCGAACAGGTCCAAATTCAGACAAATCTCTGGAAAGCTCGACTTGGTCAATTTGGGGTCCTTATAAAGCCAGTTTCGAGCCAAATTCACCATGATTGAATGTAAATCTGGCAATTTGAGCTCAGATATGGCTAAAAAGCACCAAAATTAGTCGAACTTAGAGACCAAATCACGGGTGTCGGTGGTCACCGGACCCTTCGAACAATCAAAGTTTGAATTATGATAGTATTGGTCATTGCCAGCAAACCTACGGTTGTAATGGTACAGCACCCAATGACACACCTACAGGAGGTATGAGTGTGCAGCTGTACAAAGGGTGTAAGGGGACAATTCCAAGGGTCGAGGGAGAGAGCTGCTGCAGCTTGAGCTCACGTAGAATAGTGTGTGGGATTTTGATCCAAACCAGGTCAGGCTCAAATGTGTGGCAGGTCAACCATGGTGGGCCGTGGGCTGTGAGGGAGCAAAAGGAAAACAGAGGATAGGTAAAGGACAACAGGGACAAGGATGACAGTGGACAATAGGTCAATAGTTCAACAAGGGGGATGATGAATAGGACTGTAACAGAAAATGTACAGGTTGGGAGAATGTTGGGGAAACAAAAGGAGAGTGAGTGTCAAGGAGTCGAGAAATAAAGTGCTGGAAAGTTGCCTTTGACTCTAGAGAGTGGGTGAAGACTAATTTCTTGTTCTTTGTACTGTACCACAAGCTTTTATAGTAAGTGTGGTAAAATCAAATGAAATGGAAAATCCAAAAGTTCTGTCCATATGGTGTCCATCAGGTCCTAATCAATACTGTAAGTAGTCCATGCCAAATAGCGCTGGATTGAAGGAGATAAGGGAGCAATGCCACAGTCCTGGTGAGCACAAAGGAGACAAATTCCACAAGATTTTCGGGTGCACGTGATTGGTTGATTTCAGGGCCAGGGTGCATCAACGCTTGTCACCAAATCCTCAAAAGAAACCGGCATGAGACCCAAATCTTTCCAGTCTAGTGGGTCCGGGTCCAGATAAGTACCTAATATACTCTTCCAAGTCTCTAGGAAACTGAAGCTCGTCAGTATCCTTGGCTTCTCTTCCGAGTCTACGAAGCCAGATACCTTCGCCCGTTCTCGTGAGGATCCATTTGGTTGTGTGGGCCCGGATATGACATTCCGGTTGGATGGGGTCCAGCAGGATCATGCTGTTGATCATAGTAGCCCGTGGCCGTCGAGGCGATGGGGTCATATGCGTCCATTGTTTGACTCTGGGTACCGACTCCGAATGGTCCATTGTGCGTATACGCTCCTTCAGACACACCCGCGGAACTACTGTGCGAGGCGCTGGTACCAGGCCTATCCGAGAAGGACTGCCGTTCTCGATCCTGGTCTGCTCTGCTCTGAAATTGACACACGAGCAAATGCTTTTTGCACCGCTCGCAAGTCCTTGTCGGGAGGTTGCTTGTCGTCACGCACTGGCAAGGATTTTCAGGGTTAAACATCGATGGAGGGTCCAAAGAAACGAACCTTGACTTTGTGCTTCCGGCAGTGAATGCAAGCCATCCACATTCTTTTCGAAGGAGTTACGCCTTCCAGGTCCCAGATTTGTAGGCTCATCCCGCCCTGGGAATACTGAGGAGGTGCGGACATGCAGTGTGTTGGTTTTGGGACCGACGGACTACCTATATTCTCCCTCGAGTATAAGTAGGGTACAGTACATCGATTTGTTAGAGGTCAATTCCACGCACATCGCGGACTGAGACCAGTCTGAAGTTCATTCTTCCGAACACTTCGTTGGCTCATCTGACCCGGAGAGTGAGTGCCGCCCTTCTGTTCGTCTCTATATGGTCTCTGCGCTTTCCGAAGGGGTCGACAGATCGAATTCAGAGAGCATTGGGATCGAAGGTCTGATTTCAATTCAAAACGCAGCAGCAGCAGCAACGGCACTGTTGCGATCTACTGACGGATCACGTCATGGAACCATCATATCATCTTCTCACTCATTGTTCCGGGGGCCACAGCCATCGACCCTCGGGATCCCTCCCGAAATCGTCCACAAGCGCTTGGACACCCTCTGACCATCTGGTCTGGCGCGCACCCGTATGTCACTCGCCATATGGCCAGCGCGGTTCCGCACGCAATGTAATGGAAAGTCATTTTCCTGATATACAAGTTCTATTTTCAGGCTTTTCAACACCGATACAGACGAAATCGAACATTCTCATAGAAGGAGTGGAGCGGCCCGAGTGGATGTTATCGTCCAGGTCTGCTGATGTGCAATAGTGTATCTCTACGGTGATGGGGTCACGTGCCCATACTCCAGGAGAAGTAGCACGGCGATCACCTCGCCTTTCAATGACACCCCCGCAGCGTTCAAATTCTCGCTTGCGACATGGATTTAATTAGTGGTATGGCATCGAGAGCAGGGCTTTTCATCTCACTGCGGCATGATTCAGGTTCAACTCGAGCGTGATCAGGCGGCGGCCGACACGACCAGGTCGTCGAGTACCTAGGATCATGATGGAACTGAATCCATCCACTCGTCGAATTTCCATCCTTACCTGCCCAGCTTTGTCGCCTTCAGGATCCTCTACGTCTATCAAACGGACCGGCAGATCCCACCCATAGTGCTAGGATTTAGTCAAATCTATGGCTGTAGCCATAAAAATTGCATTCAAATCTATGGCTGTAGCCATAGCATGGATACAGTCATAGCTTTGACTAATACTGCTATGGCTACAGCCATAGCGTGGCAGGCCTTTGGTCCTGTTGCTTTTCTCGGCATCACCATGGCATGTGCAAGATCATCATTGCCATCAGCACCACCATGATCCCCCAACATAAAGTGTTGATCAGCCTTACTGTCTTGAACAAGCCGCGCCCCTCTGGGCGCGGAGGTTAGTGGTTCAGGCTAGGGTTTGGGTTTGGGTTAAAGGTTAGTCCCCGGAGACGTCATTTTTTCTCAGTTATGGCTGGGGCAAGGTAGCAAAAAAAAGGCCTATTACAGGCTCTGTAAGGGTCGGTTAGGGTAAGAAATATATTCATTGTCAGTTAGGGTTGGGGCAAGGGAGCAAAAAAAAAATCCTTTTAGAGGCTCTATTAGGGTTGGTTGGGGCAAGAAATATGTTTATTGGGTGATAAGGGGTTGGGATAACCAGTACTAGGATAAAGCTTTCCCTCCACTTAGGGTAAGCCGCTTGCGGGTTACCCTAAGTTGAGGGAAATTGTAACCTGTTTAATAGTGGTTTAGCTCAGTATGTTAATGCATTGGTTTCATCTACATTTTTAGAAGGTCAGCCGTTCAATCCTCACTGAAACCACCGCCTAGCTGTTGGGTGTCAATCACAATCACAGGTTGTCGATCATAATGATTGTTGTTCACATCAGCACCGCCATGCCCTATGGCTACAGCCATAGATTTGAATGCAATTTCTATGGCTACAGCCAAACGGATTTGACTAAATCCTAGGGCTATGGCTCCAGATCCAGGAACCTTGCTCTGTGCCGCGCTTACAGCGACTTCCGGCGAGCCATGCGCCACAATGTTCTTGGCTAGGTAAACTGTAACAAGTCTGTTCCAGTGGAATCATTGACTGACTCGCGAGCCCCAAAATAGGCTCGCGGAAAGTCTGCCATATAAGGCTGTGGTCTGTATTCTGACACCGTCATAGCACCCCCCATCGAAGAACTCGTATGTCCGCTTCAAGCTCTGTCACCGAGAACTCTGGGCCATTGGACGATCCAGCTCCCTCATCGCAAGGAGAGACCCCAATTACCTTCATCTATCCGTCCGTGTGCATGAACTGCCGCAGGGACAACCTCAAGGCATGTTTCTGTCGTACTCAATTCCTGCTGTCCGTGGACATCGGCTCATAAGAGGGCCTTCTTTCTTTCCACAGTGCCGATTTCCCCCACGCACAAGCCCGGACCAAGCGCGGAGGTCCTGCTTACAATGCACCCAGCGCTGCATGAACTGCGTGCCAATTACGGCTTCGATCGAATCCTCGAGCAGGGGGCGCTGAAAACTGGCCATTCGGTACCACGGTTTTTGCCATGATCCGGAGTGAATTGCACTCTTACAACGCATATATTCGATATAGGATTGTACGGAATTTATCTCCGTGGACCTAAATCCCGCAGAGACAACCCCCCTCGACAAACACAGCATGCATGGACCAAGGTTCACTTGCATCCCGTCGCTAGGCAGCACACGACACGCTGATGCTGTGCATGCAATAGCCAGAGGGTAATTCCCGAGAGTCCTCGTCCCACCGATCAAACGTACCAGCAGATTACGGAAACCAACCGGGCCCATCCGCCATCCGCATTGAGAGCTCGTTGTCAAGAAAGACGGGATGCCATCAGATCCGAGGAAAACGTGTCTTAACTGGCACTTCCTGGCGTCAGGATTATTCTGTTGCATGGTTCCTGGCCGGTCTGCCTGATTTCGGGGAAGGATCAAAACGTTCCATTCTCAGATAGATTGAGCCCTTTGTGTTCGGCCCGGGGAGCCTGACAGTGTCACGTGCCACGTCGCAGCATATCTGGCAGCCCGCTGCCCATTCACGAATCGGCAATTTGCTGCGTCCGATCCAGTGTCCAAGGCTCCAATTCTGAATGCTACGAATCTTTGTTAGATGCTGGGGATGTAGCGTTTATCTTCTGTGTTCTCGACACCGACTGTCAGGTACAGGGCCAAGGGTTGAGTTTTTATTTGGGAGGTCTGCTCCGCTTGGATACTCAGCTGATTAGATATTATGAAATGGAGCCCAAACAGATCACTTGAACATATCAGGCACTGGATCCGTCCACTCTGAATGCTTCCATGACATCATTGCTGTACTAAATCAATCTCAACAACACGGAAATCACGGCTCAGGGATAGGAACACCTGGGGTTGCTGTTTCACACGGGTGGGCACATATTTATAATCAGCAATGGCCGCGACGTGCTCTCAGATTCCAAGGCTGATATGATAATCAGACAAGGCGGTCCCTCGAGTCAGAAGAATCTGCCACCTGGGCAGTCTCGGTCTAGATCATATCATGCGCAGTAGATGTGCACTTCTGACAAGAGCTACAAACGCCGTTTACGACACTTGGAGCCCTCGCTGAGCCTTTCAACCGAAATCTGTCCGTTGAAACACTGCAGATCCTTGTCAGAGAGCGATCAAACCCAGGTGGCAGCCCTAATGACGCGAACGAGCGATCGTAAATGCAGCGACAGCCAATCGCACCCAGATGGTGCTCCGAGCAGTGGCAACAGATCTCCCCAGCGCACTGGCGACGGCTCGCTGCTCAAACGCACATGCCCCACGGATGGGGTGTAGGCATCATCAGGCAGCTTGCCCACCGAGAACTACGGTGATTGGTACCCGCGCGCTGTCCCACTGCTGGTTGAAGGAATGATACGGCGGCGTGAGTCAGCAGCGGGTCCGGCCCACGAGACGCCATTCGCAGGATGTCGTCGCGCGGCATGGCACGGCACACGCCGAGGCAGTGCTTTGGCTGGCCCAATAATAGCAGCCCGGACGCGTACATAAGGCCGCTGGTATTACAACGCCCAGGGTTTTCTCCAACCCGTTATTCAGACTATGACCTCAGACTCCGCCGCAGCAAACTACTGGCCCCTCGAAGGGGCGCCGATCCGCCGCATGCCCATGGCCTGCGTGAACTGCCGGAGGAGAAAAATCAAGGCGAGTTCTAGTCCAATCAACGCGGTGCCGGCCACCACGCCCCCATCGCATCCTGACTGTGCAGCCAGAGGGGAGACTGATTTTCTTGCAGTGTGTGACCAGCACGAAACAGCCAAGCGCACCCTGCGAGCGGTGCACGAAGAGGAAACTGGACTGCGAGTTCGTGCCGGTGTCAGAATCCGCTGAACAAGTGGCGCCGCACAGGAGATCGACATTGGGCGGCGGGAAACCTCCCCGACGACCCGACGCGGAGTCCGAGATATACCTGCACGCGCCATATCCAATACCCGCAGCGGGGCCGGAAACAGCCCAATGGAACGAGGCGCCGTGGGATTATGGATGCAACGGGCGGGTGGCTTACGACGGGCAGGGGAATGGGGATGGACATGGCTATGACTGCGGGCTGCAATACGGAGCTCGAGACCCAAGCCCGTCGAAACCGTTTCAGGCGCCATATCAGTATAATCAACCGGGGCAATATCGCGCGACTGGAGCGGAATCGCAGAGGTGAGCGATCAGAGGATTCTCGTTTTGGGTTTCATGGTTGACATGTCTGTTCAAGCCATTTTTTCGAACCCCAAAACAAAAGCTACTATTACCCATAGGGGGTGTCGAGTACTGTATCAGTCCAGCCGTTTCAATCGTTCAATCTGCAGACATGAGACTCGTAGGGAGAACAGGCCGACACTCACCCTATGCCAGTTCAAATCGTGAGATTGCCAGGACTGAGGCATATCGAGTTGGAGGGAGATCTCCTCGCGCATCAGCTTTTTGATGGCGAGTTTCGAGTCCTTGATATGCTCATCCTCGTCTTCGTCATTGTATTCGTCGTATTCTTCTGCCCAGAAGGTCGCACGAAAGGTTCGCAGCAGGGCCGTGGGGAACGCAGAGCCCTCCCGCTGTCTGCAGCGCGTATCGATTAAGAGCAGGACGCTTCTAAGTCCTGGGTTAGGTTCGCAATTCTTCAAGACCAATGACTGCAGCATGGGGATCAGTACCACTGGAGGGTCTTCCGTGTGGTAGGAAGGGTCGGCGAGGATCTGCAAGAACTTTGAGAAGAATTCCGCGCTCGGCGACGCCACCACAAGGTGCGTTAACCCCGGCAACGCTCCGAGGCATGCGCAAATGGAGTCTTCTTCCGTTCCCATGCGAGACAGGCGGAGGTGGGTGATCGTACACCCTGAGCGCGTCACAAGCGGGATCACCCCGTCGACATGGCCTCCGATGTCGAGGTCCGTGAGCTGTGGCAGGGTCATGTACTCGAGGATCGATGGCGTCACATCGCGGTAGATCTTGAGCCGCCGCAGCGCAGGCAGCACCAGCGAGATCGGGCGGTGGCGGGTGACTAGGTTTGTCAGCGACACGTGCAGTACCTCCAGCTGGCGCGTCTGCGAGATAACCATGAGGCACTGCGCGAGGGACTGCTTGCGGAGCGTCAGGGACGTGATCTGAGTCCACGGCAGCACGAGCTCCGTCGCGGGGAACCCGTCCACGCGCACCCGGCGCAGCCGCGGCGCGCAGAACAGCTCCGTCACAGGGCTAAGCACCGCCGCACCCCAGTATGAGCGCACGAACACGTCCAGCTCCTCCAGCTCCTCCCATGATCCGGATCCGCTGCCCGGTGCCAGGCTGAACGTCGACGGCATGCTCATCCTCAGCACCAAGCGCCGGCAGCGCGACGCGTGCGCACCCAGCACCGCCAGCACGGCCTCCATCGTCCGCGGCATCGTGTCGAGGTCGAGGTCGAGATCGGGGGGAATGTGGGGTCCGGTGCGCTCCACCCAGCGCTCCAGCAGTGCGTCTGGCTGCGGGTGATCACTGGACACGAAGATATCGTTCCACAGCCCCGGGGTGCCCAATGCGACCTGCCGCCATGTCCGACACACCCCGAGCAAGGCCGGGGACAGAGTGGGTTTGTCCAGCGCAGCAATATAGTGACTGAAGATCTGGGCTATGATCTCAGGAGGTAGGGTTTCGACGGGGTACGTGGATCGACAGAGCAGGGTCGCGAGGTCCGCTTTCTCTGCTTCGAGCACGCGCAGCTGGTCTTGAAGGATGGAAATTGATCGGTTCAGAGCGCTAATCCGTTTTCTGAGCTCCAGAGTGTTCATGATCCAGACGGAAGTAAGCGTGGACCAGAGCACGGTCGCGAGAAGACACGTGATCGATCTTGATCAGGCTGTGCAGTCGCCGGACGCGAGTTGTCTGATTGCAAGTCTGCCATCATGATCAACTAGACTTTACATACAGGCGGCTTGTGTAAATAAATGGCTTGCCTCGCAGGTCGGAGTTTAAATTTGGCTGATCGGGCTTGGCTTGCGTGACTTGGATGTGGGCACCCTGGTGTCGGGAATGTCATACCTGTGCTTAGGCTCATTTCCGCTGCTGCAGCTCACTCCTCATGCCTGTGCTCAAATGCTATCAATGCGAGATAGGCGACATACGCATCTATCCGGTCACGTGGATGTGACTGATGGGTGACATGTAACATGGGAAACGCGAAATTCTGGAGGTCTGAATTCACTCCTATTTCTTTTGGTCGAGAACTGTATTACAAGTAATTACTTCAATGAATCTCTGTTCTTCACAGGTCCTCCATAACAATGAAGGCTTCAAATAATAGTCCAAGCAGTCCTTTATCGTGTTCTTCTCAGTCTTAAAGTGCGGAAGTGGGCAGGTATGAACAATCTAGAGGTGGGGGGGGTGTCAACGTGCCAAATGCTTTGGTGATCAGGCTGCCAGTGCCACTGGTCTGACAGCCACTGAATGTGGGAAGAGACAAGAGGCTAGACATGTCTGACTTATGTTCAATCAGTGTTGATTGATATAGACCCTGTTCAACCCATCCTAGACACCAATTGCCCCCAGAGGGCTACATCACTCATACCCCACTTGGGGCCTAGCGTGGGCTACTTCAATTGCCCCAGCAGGGTCTAGCCTGCCTGTAAGGGCAACCTTGAGGCCCAATCTCAGAGTCCTGACAAGGGAGAGTCCAAAGTGTCAATAAGGGAATGAGTAATACAAGGGACTGACAAGGGAGAGTCCAAAGAGAAACCGAGTTGGGGACTCTCCTTGTCAGGGCCCACTATATATAGTCTACAGAACAATGGGGATGATCAGAACAATGGGAACCATCGAACAATAGGCCAGGGAACAATGAGAGGGCTGGATCAGGGAGAACAATGGGAGCCGGACTGTCGGAACAATAGGGGCCCGGACCTGTGGGTCATATCAACGTGCTTGGCAGGGAAGTCCGGGCCGAAGCACGTGACACTTGACAGATGGCACATGCATGGTCACATGCGAGATCCCATGATGATTGGACGAAAGAAGGGGTTCCCCTGTGACAATCAACACAGAATATGATCGAAAAGACAAGTCAATTCCAAGACTGGAGAATACAACACAATAGCTACTGTATTTATACTGAGTCCAGTCTGAGTCTTATCTACATCAAACAAGTCATCTGACTATGTACCATGTGGAGCTTTGGTCATGGGTTGTAGTATAGTCTTCTGGAGCACACGCCGCGCGACCTCTTGTGCAGATAACCCCCTTGAACCCTAAACCCGGACCGTGTGGTGCCGTGATCTGTGATAAGATAGTCCCATGTCAATGATAAGATAAGGTGATCGATGGAATGATTGTGAAAAATGATTGAATCATGACATTACCCCCTCTCTAGGGTCGATGTCCTCATCGACAGGGCCAATTGGTGTGAAGACGTTGTCGTAGGGGTCGAAAAGTTGTCGTCGGGGATATGGAAGCTGCTCGTCTTTGGGTATGTAGCAATGGATGAGGTAATCCCAGTGGTCAGCTCAGAGTATTGGCACAGCACGAATGCGGGTGTTCGGATCAGATTGTTTTTTCTCCCATGCTGCCAAGACCTTCTTTGCATGGGTTAGGTGACGTGATGGTTCCCAGGTGTTCTCGCTGTGCGGCCATCCCTTCCATTTGACCAGGTATTGTTTCCCTCAGCCGACTTTTTGTTCCTTCACGATCTCTTCGACTTCCCACTCTTCTGCTCCTCCGATCATCTTGGCTACGGGTCTCTTTTCTCGGCGATGGGGGGGTGGTTCTTGATAGGGTGTCAATAGTGACTCATTGAACACCGGGTGTCTTCGGTCCGTATCCGGCAGGTCCAGTTTCCATGCAGCCGCTCCAACCTTCTCCAGTATCTCGTATGGCCCCAATCTCTTGTCGCTCATCTTCTTCGAGGGTCTGTCCGTCTCGATATTGTCCCCTTCTATGTACACCTTCATCCCAACCTTCAACTCCGGCACTTCTTTTCTTTGTTTATCGTAATATTTTTTCATTTTTTCTTTTGCTTTTTCCAATGCTGCTTTTGCTTCGTCTTGTATTTCTCTGATTCTTTTTACAAACTCCTCCGCCGACTCGTTCCTCGATTCCATCCTTTGCTCCACTCCCTTCCATGGGTGATATCCGTGATTTGCGTAGAACGGTGATATCTTGGTAGACGTGTTCATCTTGTCGTTGTATGCAAACTCCGCCATTCCCAGCCATTCCGACCAGTCTGTCTGATGGTAATTGACGTAGATGTGGAGATAATGCTCGATCTCCTGATTCATGCGTTCTGTCTGTCCATCCGTGATCGGGTGATATGCAGTTCCCGGATTCATTTCCACGCCCAACATCCGATTTGTTTCCTTCATGAAGCCCTTGATGTAACGCGAATCCCTGTCGGTGATGATCTTGCGAGGGATCCCATGGTAGTGGAAAACTCGGTCCCTGGTTAACCGTGCGACTCCTTCACTGCTGATGTCAGTACTAATTGGTTCGACATGGATCATTTTGGTGAAGGTGTCACACCACACATGAATTGCGTCATACCCATTACTGACCGGTAAGGGTCCGATTTAATCCATGGAGATGATTTCCCATGGTGCATTTGGGACTGCATGCGGGTGTAGAGTCCCCGTCCTTGCTCTCCTGGTCTTGGTCCGTTGGCACGCCTCGCACGTCTGGATGTATTTCCGAATCTGGTTTCCCATCCTTGGCCACCAGTAGTTCCTTTTCCACCATTTCCTGTGTTTGGTTGATCCCGGCGTGTCCAACCAAAGGCGTGTCGTGGTGTAGCCCGATGATCTTGTCTTGCAGTTCCTCGTTCCTTGGTACGTAGAGCTTCCCATGGTACGTGATGAGCCCCTCTTCCTTTTTCCATCCAGCGAGTGACTTCTCCAAGGCCGCCTTGATGCTTCCATCAATTGATTGAGTGGCCTTGATCTCATCGATTAGCTGCTGATCCTGTCCCTCGAATGTGACTTCTTGTGATCGGAAAAACTTGGGCTTCAGTAGCGTGACGTCCTTGTTGTCGTTCTTGCCCTGGTCATGATCCGCTTGTCGAGACAAGAGATCCGCCTTGCGGTTGAGTGCGCCGGGTCGGTGTCGTAAGGTGAAATTGAACTCCGCCAACTCCGTGATCCATCATGCTTGTTGTCGATTGAGCTTCTGCAGCTTCCGGAAGTACTCAAGATTCTGATGATCAGTGAAGATCTCGAACGTTTCCGTGGCTCCCAGTAGTAGCTGCCTCCATTCGTCCAATGATAGCATGATCGCAAGCATTTCCTTGTCATAGATCTCATAATTTCGCTCAGTTTCGGTTAATGCGTGCGAAATAAATGCGATTGGGCGCCAGATGCTGTCTTGGTTTTGGCTCAAAACGGAGCCTGTTGCCCCTTCCGAAGCATCGGCTTCCAGAGGATATTGGCCGGTGTCATTTGGTAGTGCTAGGACCGCGTCCTCCGCGATTCTCTTCTTCAATCCATCAAAAGCCGCACGTTCATCCGTACCCCATGACCATCCTGCCTTCCCTGTCAGCCGTGTCAATGGCTTGGCAACCTCCGCGTATCCCCGGACAAAGTGTCGATAGAAGTTTGTGAATCCAAGGAAGGCTTGGACCTGTTTGACGCTCCTTGGCTCTGGCCATTCCATCACCCCCTTGATCTTGACAGGGTCCATCCGCATCGAATTGTGTCCAATAATTACACCCAAATATTCGATTTCCGTGCGTTCGAACTCGCACTTTTCGGGTTTGAGGTACAGCTTGTGTTTTTGGAGCAGTTCAAGTACTCGTTTTGTGATCCGCCGATGTTCGTCCAAGTTCTCTGTGAAGATCAGTATATCGTCAAGATAAACTACCACGTGGCCCTCGTTGATCAGTTCTCGGAGTATCTCATTCATCATGTTTTGGAAGGTTGCCGGGGAGTTCGTGAGACCAAAGAACATGACCAAGGGCTCGTATAGTCCGCGGTTCGTGCGGAACGCAGCCTTCCACTTGTCGCCCTCTTTGATCCGTACATTGTTGTATCCCCACCGGATGTCAAGCTTTGTGAAGAACTTGGCGCCGCATAAATTATGGACCAGTTCGGAGATCAGCGGCAGCGGGTATCGATTTCGGATTGTCATCTCGTTCAGCTTTCGATAATCTTGGACGGGGCGTAGGGAGCCATCCTTTTTCTTGACAAAGAAGAATGCTAATGCCATGGGTGATTTTGATGGCCTGATCCGTCTGCTGGCCAGGTTCTCTTGTAAGAACTCGTCAAGTTTGACCTGTTTGTTTCGTGATAACGGGTACACCTTGCAGTCCACTGCTTTGGAACCAGGTTTGAGCTCGATGGCATGATCCCATGCCCGTTGGTCTGGCAGCGAGTCGAATGATTCCTTGGCGAATACTTTGACAAATTCCCGATATTGATCCGGAATCTTCCCTTCGGTCATTCTCTCCTTCTCCTTTTCCGCTTCTTCTGAGAATTTCTGCGCCGGCGTTTCCTTCAGCCGTAGATCCACCTCCTTCCCAAAGTCGATCAACAGGATCGATTCACCCTCTTCCAGATCCGGTACGTCCGTGTCCAGGTCGATTGCATCCATGTCGATCATTGCTTGGTGTTCCTCGTGACCCCCCATGTGACACCGCTCTGGGCATCGGCTGAACCTCATCGTCTGCTCCTGCCAATCCACCTCGGGGTTGTGTTCCATCAGCCAATCAAGGCCGATGAAGATCCGAGCTTTCCCTAGACACGTCAGAAGAAACGTGCGTGTCTCCACATGAGGGCCGATTTTCATCCTTAGGTCGACGTAATGCGTAATTCGACCGCTGATGTTCTCGGTGTTGTCGGCGTTACGAGCCACAATGGGTTGGGGAAGCTCTTGAATATCCAGCTTCTCTGCCCGCACGTAGTCGGTATCGATGCAGCAGGTACTGCAGCCACTATCGAGTAGCGCCTTGACTCCGCGCATCTTTCCTGAATCCAGGCCCATGATCTGGACGTATACGTTGTGTTGGGGAGAGCGAGAGTGATCGAGTGGCTGTGTTGATCGGATCAGTATATAGCTTGGGGCAGTTTGTGCTAGTACATCGATATCGGGTTTTGTCTCCGCCACCGGCTAGCACATTTGTCACGGCATCGCCACCCGCCGATTCCCCGATCCCCGGCCCTCCCATCTGGTGATTGGAGTGCGAGTCGTCCACGCCCAACGCACTCTCGCGATCTTGAGGCAATAAGTGCAAGAAAGCCCTCTCTGTTCAGCCCACGTAGCCCACGTCACCCCCACTGCCCATGTTGCCCACGCTGCCACCAGTCAAAATACGCGCCACTACGCGTTCTCAAGGCTTGGGAGAGCCTGTTAATATCGCCCAATACCCGCCCACGCGCCTCAGTTGCCGCACACGTCAGCGAAGCGAGTCTGACCCAGTAGACCCTACAAGCTCACCAATCTCCGAGCTTACGCCATCACCGCCCGACCGCACCACTGCCATCGCTGCACTTCGGGCCCGTTTTGGTAATCAGCCACAGTTGCCCATGCCGCCACATTCGTCTTCACATTGCCCTGCCCGACTCAGGCCACCTCCAGATATGCCGCAAACAGAGATCGTGCCGTACTCAGGCCGTCGCGACGGCAGCGACATGCTCATCACAGACTTCATACGCGCCGTCCGGAAACATATTGCCCACCATCAGTACGCCACGACCGCCGACCAGATCGACGTGGTGAACCTGTACCTCAAACCCGACAGCCCGGCGGAGGACCACATGCTTGCGTTGCCAGCAAACTCGCCAGCGCGGGCATTGCTGGACGCGTACCTGGCGGAGCTGAAGGCTAAATTTACAGGTGTCCAGGCCATGAAGCGCTCGAAAGGGGAGCTGGAGGCCGAACTTCTCCGCTCAAAGATCACGCTGGCCGAGCTGGCAGAAGGCACGGTGACGGACTGGCCTATCTATCCGACAAGTCCTGACGTGTGGCAGTGCATGTCAATCAGCAATCAGTGGGCGCACGCTTCGCACACAACTGAGGGTCTCCTCAATATTCCTCAGCCCTGGCTATTCACTGGTTCGTCCAGCCCTGCATATATTTTTGATATTCACATCCCTGGACTGCTGTCTGCACATTTATCTCTACACCCCTGCCTTTCTTACTTCACCATCCACTTGTACCTGTTTTTCCCCTCTCACTTCCCTGGTTCCTCTGTTCACCGTCCCTTGCTCCATCCTGTCGATATTTCACCCACTCTGATGATTATTTCATTGTCTCACATACAAAAGCTTGTAGTTGGACAAAAGAAAAATAGATTTATTCTCCTCATAGTCTTGAGTTCAGTTCTCGTCTTCAGCTCGTTTCTACTTGGGTATTTCGACCCTCTGCTTCGTCGCATCCGTCCCACGCCGCCCTCGACTTCGTCCCACGTCTAAAATCATCATTTCTTACTGCCTGCCACGGCACTGAATCTTGTGGACCTCCTCGCACATCACACTTATTCCTGCACTGTTTTAGGTCGTAGCTGACCCCCATTTTGTGTTAGCTCGCGCCTATTCCGTCCGCAGGCACGTCATTTTGGAGCCCACCGCGAGGGGATTTCAACATAGATTCTGGTGCCTCTCGCAGTCTGCGACACAACAATCATTCTGAGCTACGTCGCACGCTCCGTGAAGAGCTAGCTGTTGCTCTCAACGACCCCACAACTCTCTCTTTCGACGACGAACACCTTTTTGACATTGTCCCCAGCGCCCTTGCACAACACAACAACCTCTCACCGCATTCCCCGAGCTCTCCAACGCTATCCTGGCTCTTTGATTCGCCTCCAACAACGCGTTCACCATCCCCCCTTCACAACACGAATATTCCTTCTCAAAATATGGCTACTCCCACTCCCATGCCAGCCAGAGGCGATCGAAACGCCCCAGTCTTTGATTCGTCCAAGCCCCACGAGTTGCGCCGTTATTTCCTCGATCTGGAGTTCCTTCTAGCTCGATCTGCCGTCACTGACGCTGCCCAAATGAAGGGGCATGCGGTCAGATTCCTTTCCGTCGAAGATCAGGAGATTTGGGAAGGTCTACCGTCATTCTCAGACGCCAACAAATCGTACCACGACTTCAAATTGGACGCCCTCAGCCTCTACGCAGGGAACGACACAGATCGTCGTTTCAGCCTCGACGATTTGGACATGCTCGTTGGGCAGACATCTCGCATGGGAATCCACACAAAGGACGACCTCACACAATTTTATCGACGATTCCTACACATCACAACATTCCTGATTAGCAAACAACGACTCTCTGTGGCAGAACAGAGCCGATTTTTCCTTCGAGCTATGAATCCAGCCTCGTTGTCCGTCTCAGTTCGCCAGAGACTTCAGATCAAGAAGCCAGACGTTCACCCTGAGGATCCATATGATTTGTCAGATCTGTACGACGCTGCTAAATTCGTCCTTTCAGGATCATCGACCTTACTTCCTGGAATGCCCACGTCTCAGCCCGGAACCGAGCTCACAATCAAATCAGACCCTGGAATTACTGCACTAGTTTCATCCGTCTCAGATCTAGTTCGAATAATCGCTGCTCAACACGCCAATCCTGGTGCCCCAGCACAATCACAGTCCGCCAACGCCCTGCCCCGCCGTCGCCGTCCTGATGGCTGCAGTTATTGCAGTGATCTCGAGCATTTTATCAGCCAATGTCCCCACGTTTCGACGGATATTCGAGACGGAAAATGCCGCCGCAATGTGGATGGGAAAGTCGTCCTCCCCTCAGGCGCATATGTGCCAAATATTGTCCAAGGAAAGGATCTTCGAGAGCGCATTCAGAAGTGGCATGAAGCGAACCCAGGTCAGGCAGCAGCTCCGCAGATGATTTTGGAAGTTTCTCACCAGAATTTGCTGTCTTCTGCGGCGCCTGGGCTCGTTCAAACGTTCAAACTCACGGACGAAGAACGAATGGCAGTTCTGACGGCTGAAATTAATCAACTACGCACACGGGCCCAAGCTAAACGCGCTATGGAAGTTGCTAATCAACCAGAAGTCCCTGAACGCACTATTCCACCGGCGGTAGCGCGAAATCCAGTCGTTCCACCTGTTCCAATCGAAACCGTCCCTCCTGCGACCGCCCCTGCTGCTCCAGTTGCCCCGCCTCAACCCCCAATCCATCCGTACGCCGCAGCTCGTGATGGCGCTTACGCACCGCCCAAAGAACGAAATGTTGGGATTCCAGCGCAGAAATCACAACCCCCACGCTCTTCGGCTCCGATCTACAACCCCAAAGATGCTGCAGCTGTTTTCGACGCCATTTTGGACATCCCTGTCACCCAGACGCTTCGCCAGACCCTGTCGATTGCCCCAGAAGTCCGTGCTCAATTCCGCGAAGCCACTAGTTTCCGTCGTCCCCCTGCCAAGACTGGCGAGGCAGTGCCTCAATTCCTGCATCCTGTCACTGATAGCACGCCCTACGACCTTCCATATGCTCAGGACGACTCAGATTTGGTCGAAAAAGTGCTTCAGCAGCAACGAAACGAAGATGCACGCCTTGCTTTGGCTGCGGAGCATTTTCCAGTCGCCTACAGCCAGACGTTGCCCCCAGACGCTTGGGTGGTCCCAGATAAATTCGCCGTCTACTACGATCAGACTGGAAGGTTGCCAGACAATCTAGTTGTGGCTGCCGAGTCCCTGGCCATCCGCTCGATCCTCCCAGTGATTGACAACCAGCAACAAGTGGAATGCATCGTCGACAGTGGTTCTCAGATTATTTCGATGTCCCAGGCAACCTGTCACGAGTTGGGACTTGCGTATGACCCTCGAATCGTTCTACAAATGCAATCTGCCAATGGAACAATCACACCGTCGCTTGGACTAGCCCGAAACGTCCCGGTTCGCATTGGGGACATCACATTGTACCTACAGATGCACATTCTGCGTGACGCTGCCTACGACGTGCTCCTGGGACGACCATTTGACGTTCTGACGGAAAGCGTCATTCGAAACTTTTCCAACACGGATCAAACACTCACAATCACCGATCCCAACACTGGAAAGACGGCTACTGTGCCTACTGTGCCCCGCGGATCTCCCCGTGCCCGTTCAGAGGGTTTTCGCAGCTCGAGGATTTGATTCCTGATCAAGGAGAGTACGCCTTTGTGATCGAGGCCAGCCCAGATCAACCAGAACGCTACGTATTTTCGTCCTATGCCCCCATTTCTCTCACAGACTCTCTTGCGCACATACAACATACTTATCTCTCTGCCTGTAGCAATTTATCCGCACACAGTTCGACTATTTCTCTTGCACATACAGTCGTTCAACCGGCGTTTTCCTCAGCGACCCAGGATTCAACTCCTGGTTCAAAATTCGTTCCCATATTTTCTTTGAACTCGTCTCGTACCTATCCTACTGCTACGTCTCCTTCATCTCAATTCTACCCGTCCACGTCACAATTTGCTAACAAAAAGTACAAGCCAGTGGCCAGGAAAATTCGGCCTGTTCTTGGATCTGTCCCAGACGAATTCCGCATCGAGCGCCAGATCCTGGGCGACCCACTCGCAGATTTACCATATCTGGATCCTATTCCGCCTCCTTTTGTGCCGACTGGACGCTACACCGCCGAACGCAAGGCTGCTCTTGACGACGCACACCGCGGTGACTTCCTGTGGCCTGCTGAGAGAGATTTAATGCACCAGTTCATGTGCCTTCACCAAGGAGCCTTTGCATGGCAAGAATCAGAACGAGGACGTTTTCGAACCGATTTCTTTCCCCCTGTCAATATCCCAGTCATGCCGCACACACCGTGGGTCCAGCGCAATGTCCCCATTCCCCCTGGGATCTACGATCAAGTCTGCGACCTCATACGCTCGAAAATCGCTGCTGGAGTGTACGAACCGTCCAATTCATCCTATCGATCCCGTTGGTTCTGTGTGGTGAAGAAAGATGGCACCAGCCTTCGTTTGGTTCATTCCCTGGAGCCACTCAACGCCGTCACAATTCAGCACTCAGGCGTCACGCCGTTCACTGAGCAGCTGGCTGAGCATTTTGCAGGACGAGCCTGTGGTGCCATGCTGGATTTATATGTTGGATATGACGAACGGTTGCTTGCGCCAGCCTCCCGCGACTATACAACGTTCCAGACGCCCTATGGAGCTCTCAGACTTGTTACCCTGCCCATGGGATGGACGAATTCAGTCCCCATCTTCCACGACGACGTCACCTACATCCTCCAGCCCGAAATCCCGGAATTTACTTGGCCATACATCGACGACGTCCCGGGCCGTGGCCCCAAATCGAGATATCAGCTAGAAGATGGATCATTTGAGACGATCCCTGAGAATCCAGGGATTCGCCGGTTCGTTTGGGAACATTTTGGAAATCTGAATCGAATCGTTCAGAGGATGAAGTACTGCGGAGGGACATTCTCTGGCCTCAAGCTCACACTCTGCGCCGAAACCATCACAGTTGTTGGACATGTCTACACACCGGCTGGACGAATCCCTGATGAGAAGAGAGTCGACAAAATCGCAAATTGGGGACCCTGCAAGACGCTCTCAGAAGTCCGTGCATTTCTGGGCACCATAGGAGTCTGCCGTGCATTTATTTCGAATTTTGCGCATCGTGCCCACGCCCTGACACTTCTAACACGAAAGGATATGCCATTCCACTTCGGTACTGCACAGATCGCTGCCCAAGACGACCTGAAGCACGCATTATTGAGCTGCCCTGCGCTCCGGCCAATCGACTATTCATCTGGGGACCCAGTTATCTTATCCGTGGACACCTCTCAGATCGCCGTTGGTTTCCTGCTTGCCCAGTGCGATCCAAACACTCCCAGTCGACGTTTCTATGCCCGGTTTGGCTCAATCACGCTTAACGATCGAGAAGCTCGATTTTCACAGCCCAAGCTAGAGCTGTATGGATTATTCCGCGCCCTTCGTTCATGGAAGCTCCACCTGATCGGTCTACGAAATCTAGTGGTTGAAGTCGATGCTAGGTACATCAAGGGTATGCTACGGAACCCCGATCTTTCGCCCTCAGCCAGTATCAACCGCTGGATCCTGGCGATCTTAACCTTCCATTTCGAGCTAGTACATGTCCCTGGCGTCAAACACGGCCCGGATGGATTGTCCAGACGACCCGCACAGCCTGGAGACGAGTTAGAGCATGAGGACGACGGTTTTGATGACTGGATCGACGAGGTGCACGGTTTTATGCACATAATCAATGACTTACCCTTCGTTTCACGACGCCAATCCACGATCCACTCATTTTCCGCCGAAATTGCACCCACCGAGTCCACAACACCGCCTACACTGAGCTACGATCAGGTACCTCGCTCAGAAGCAGCTCGACTCGCCGATCATCGTGTAGATCTGGTTCAGGGATGGCTTGAGACGCTACGACGCCCACGGGACATGTCTGAACAGCAATATCAGGCATTTATTCGGTTTAGCATGGAATTCTACCTCGAAAATCGAAAGCTTTGGCGCAAGGACGCACACGGACGCCACAAGCTAGTCGTTCCCTCCCACCGTCGAATATTCATCCTGCGATCTGCCCACGACGACGTTGGTCACAAGGGATTCCACGCAACGAAGGCTTTACTCACGGAACGATTCTGGTGGCCATTCCTTGCACACGACGTCACCTGGTACCTACGCACCTGCCACCTATGTCAGATTCGACAGACAAAGAAGCTCCTTATCCCCCCTACCGTCGCGGTCCCGGCCCCACTGTTTTCGAAAATTCATATGGACACTATGCACATGCCGCCAAGCGCTGGATTCCGCTACATTGTGCAAGGACGATGCTCGATTTCGCTTTTTCCTGAGTTCCGCATGCTGCGCCGTGAGACAGCGACCACCCTGGGCGAATGGATCTTCCAGGACTTGATCTGCAGATGGGGGACGCTCACAGAAATCGTGTCAGACAACGGCGCACCGTTTGTGAAGGCATTGGCGTACCTGGAAGCTAAGTATCACGTCCGTCATGTGCGCATTTCGGGATACAACTCACGCGCAAATGGGCTGATTGAAAATCCACATTTCGACATCCGCGAGGCGCTCTTCAAGGCTGTAGATGGGGAGCAGAAGAACTGGAGTTCTGCTGCTTATTTGGTCTTCTGGGCGGACCGTGTCACTGTCCGTCGTCGCATGGGCTGCTCACCCTATTTTGCGGTCACTGGAACGCATCCATTAATTCCCCTCGATTTATCAGAAGCCACATACCTGCTCCCGCCGCCCGAAACCGTCCTTTCGACCACGGATCTCATTGCACGACGCGCCATTGCGCTCCAGAAACGCCGAAGCGATCTAGAAGCCCTACACTCTCGAGTTTATCAAGCACGACTGCGTGACGCTGCACGCTTCGAGATCGAGCACGCCGCCACGATCTGCGACTTCAACTTCAAGCAGGGCGACCTGGTTTTGATGAGGAACACGGCCATCGAGAAGTCCCTCAATATGAAGATGCGCAAACGCTATTTGGGCCCATTAGTCGTCATTTCGCGCAACAAGGGAGGCGCCTACATCCTGTGTGAGCTAGACGGCTCAGTTTTCCATCGTCCCATCGCCGCTTTTCGTGTTATACCTTATTTTGCACGCACAACGATCCCCCTCCCTCCCCTGGACGATTTCCTCGATATCTCAACCGAGAAACTGCGCGAGCTCGAGCAGTCAACATTGGTGGACCCAGAAACAGATCAGGAAGAGGAGGAGAGCTGTGAAGAGTTGTAGAAGAGTTAGAGAACGCGTTTCAGTCAGGAGGATGCACCTGCACAGCTGAGCACCCTCTCCTTTCGACTTTGCTGCCCATTCCTTTCCCCCAAGTCGCATCCTTTGATTCATCATTGTCTTGCGCAGCTCCGAGGAGCTAAGGCTATGATGATCTACTGAGCCTTTATCTTCACATTTCTATTCCTCAAGACACTTGTCCGCTATTCTATGACCGAGGACGGTCATTTTTTCAGTCAGGAGGAGATGACGGACTGGCCTATCTATCCGACAAGTCCTGACGTGTGGCAGTGCATGTCAATCAGCAATCAGTGGGCGCACGCTTCGCACACAACTGAGGGTCTCCTCAATATTCCTCAGCCCTGGCTATTCACTGGTTCGTCCAGCCCTGCATATATTTTTGATATTCACATCCCTGGACTGCTGTCTGCACATTTATCTCTACACCCCTGCCTTTCTTACTTCACCATCCACTTGTACCTGTTTTTCCCCTCTCACTTCCCTGGTTCCTCTGTTCACCGTCCCTTGCTCCATCCTGTCGATATTTCACCCACTCTGATGATTATTTCATTGTCTCACATACAAAAGCTTGTAGTTGGACAAAAGAAAAATAGATTTATTCTCCTCATAGTCTTGAGTTCAGTTCTCGTCTTCAGCTCGTTTCTACTTGGGTATTTCGACCCTCTGCTTCGTCGCATCCGTCCCACGCCGCCCTCGACTTCGTCCCACGTCTAAAATCATCATTTCTTACTGCCTGCCACGGCACTGAATCTTGTGGACCTCCTCGCACATCACACTTATTCCTGCACTGTTTTAGGTCGTAGCTGACCCCCATTTTGTGTTAGCTCGCGCCTATTCCGTCCGCAGGCACGTCAACGGTCACCCGAGGGGGAGTGCGGCTGTCGGTCCAGGATGATTACGCAAACCGAGTGGAGGACCTGGCCATCGAGGCGAAGGTTCAGGGCCAGATTGGCGGCTTCCATCTGTGGCTGGAGAATCAGCTGGCCGTGCTTCAGGCTGCGCTCACGCCAGTCCCAGCCACATGGGCGGATGTTGCGGCCGCGATCAGGGGCATACCGACCAGCGAAGTCAATCGGGCGACGGATGCCCACCGTGCCAACGCCGCGTTGCAGCAGCAGATGGACCAGATCTCACGTTCTATGCAGACGATGTGCATCGCCCCGGTTGCCCCGCGCACCCAGATGACATTCCCGGTGGCACCACGTCCCGTCGCAAACCCTTCACCATTGATCGCGCCAAACGTCCAAGCCCAGAGGGGTGCTCCATCAACTGCAACACAGAACCCGAGGCCGGACCTCCCTCAGTTTGGACGAGACTACGTCCCCACTCAAGACGAGCTTACGCACATCCGTGCCACCAGGGAGCTGGTAGTTTCCATTGCCCAGCCAGACATGGAGCAGGGACGTGCTACGTATGCGCAGCAGAAAGCGCGATGGCTGCATGACACACAAAACGAGCGGGCAACAGGGGACCCTTCGTCTATGGGAAAAAGGCCACCCACTCTCCCCTGGGACGCTGATACCAGGAAGCCGCGAGTGTTGGCGATGTGGGATGGCACGCCATGACGGGGACTGCACTGCCCCGTACATCACGGGTGACGAGCGCCGCTTCCGCTTCCTGTGCCACTCCTGGCTCACTGGACGGCGTGCAACACCACCGGCGAATGTCCCACCGGCCACTCCCGTGAATGCGGTCCACTGGTACCAGATTGGAGCGCCGGCGCCAGAGGATTTTCAAGCCGGGCAGGCGTAATAGGCGATACGTCGGCCCAAACCGTCGACCATTTGGACGTGTCGGGGGACTTCCAGTGTAGCAGTGTCGAACAGGATGTATTCAAAAACCAATCTGATCTTGACCTTGTCGACCTCTACACTGTGGATGAGCCTGGGAACTCTCACCCTCTTTTCAAACACTCTGGGATCTATCTTGAAGGGCTGAATGGCGAAAAGATTCGCGGAACGGCGCTATTCGACGGCGCTGCGGGCGCTGGCATACTTGACAGCAAGTGGTTCGAACAACGAAGACGAAGGCTGGGCGAGGCGAGCATCTCCCGGCTGCAGAAGCGGTTGCGGATGGCGAATGGGGAGATTGTGACGTCAGATGCCCATTGGGAAGGAACGGTCGACGTCGGCGGGGTCCGGGTGCGGGGCGAGTTCGAAGTGATGGACTCGGGAGGCGCGTGGGACATCCTAATTGGCAAGCCAATCTTGCGATTGCTTAACGCCGTGCAAGACTTCGCGGGGGACACGGTGCAGGTCTCAGATGGGAGTAGAGCGGTCCTGCTCAAGAACGGTGGGGTGATGACAAAGATCGGGCAGAGACCGAGGCGAGGAGCCTCTGTGGGGGACGCATTGTCCGCAATCTCCCCCGCGAGGCGAGTACCTTCTCCGAACCTGTGCGAGCTTGATGATCCAGCTTGGACAGCGATAGCGGAAATACGCACTGCAGACCACAAGATGGATAAGGTGGCCACACGAGTGACCCTCCCGGGGGACGTGTTGTCCGCAACCTCCCCCCCGAGGCGAGTAGAGAGCACTGCTTGTCAACCTCGAGAGAGCACTGACCACGTTGCGAGGGGCGGGAACAGGACCAAGATCTGACAGGATGTACATGTGGAGGAGGACGCGCTGGAGAACGATGAGGGCGAAGACGATCCGCTGATGGGCGATGAGCTGCCAAACGGAGATGCAACAAGGGAGAGAGACCGACCTGTGCCGACGGAGCTGGAGGGGAAATTGCCCACGGCAATGCGTGTGGCCGCACCGGGGGACGCATTGTCCGCAATCTCCCCCGCGAGGCGAGTCCTTCTCTACGTCTTCCCAAGATGGTGGGTTGCTAACAACGCGATATACGGCCCCGAGCCCGTTGCCGAAGCCACCACCGACGGGATGAATAGCCCTGGAATGAATACCGCTGTGCCACGCGTGCCAGCCTACGAGGGGGTCGAATTGTCAGCGATCACCCCCGCGAGGCGAGTTCCATCCAGCGACCCTTCTGATGTCAAGGCAGCTGACGTTCTTACCATGACACCATGCCCCACGCCAACCTGCGTGACCCTGTATACAAGGCTGACAGAGCCGTTCAAGCCAGAACGTGTCGCAAAGATCCTGGAGCTTGTAGAAGTTGGGCCGGACATCACTGCAGAGCAGCAGACGCAGGTGCATGCGCTGAAAGCTGAGTTTGCCGATGTGTTTGCACTGTCTGTCGGTGAGGTCAAAGTGGTCAAGGGCCGGAAGTACTCCCCGCGCGTACCTGTGGACCACGATTTTGGCACGATGGTCGTCAACCAGAGGCCGATGTCGCCGCCACAGCTGAAGTTCCTGACAACACAAGTCGACGAGCTGGTCGCTGCAGGAATTCTTTGTCGGATAGATGCCAAGGATGTGCGCTGCGTCAGCCCCATCACGCTAGCACCAAAGGAACAACCCAAAGGGCTGTGTCTGGCAGAGCTGATGCACCAGCTGAATGACCAGTGCGTTGCTGCGGGACTGCCAGCGCTGGAGGAGTTGCCGCCGAGACCAGAACCGAAGGACCCAGGGCCCCCAAAGCCCGTGCGGTGGAGGGTATGCCACAACTTTGCGGAGTTAAACAAAGTGTGCAAGGTGGTCCCGTTCCCACAAGGAGACATTCGGGACAAGCAACGGCGCCTGGCGGGCCATAAGTACGTCTCGATCTTTGATTTTGTGGCCGGGTTCTACGCGCTTGAGGTCGCCGAATATGCGCAGCCGTACCTGTGCATCTTCGTCCCTGGGCGCAGCTACCATGCATATACACGCATGCCGTCACCTTGGACACCCCAAAATCCTACCTCGAGAGGTACCTTTTTGAGGCCCAAACAAGGTACCTCAGAGGTAGTGGGGGGCTGTGGGCTGGGCGGATGTGGGGGGCCCCCAGTTTTGGTTTTGGGCGGCTCTGGGGGGCTCTGGGGGGGCCCATCCTGGACCCTACCTGGCACGTTAGTGCCAGAAAAAAAATTGAGTTTTTTGACCTCAAAATTGCCTATTTTGGAAGATTCTGGGACACTTGGCCAGAACCGGTATTCAGGATGGGGCATTGTTCAAAAATAGAATGTAGCTCAATGTATCTGGCTATAACAAGCCAGTGTAGCAATTTTAAACAAAGCACTTTCTTTCCGGGCTAGGTTTACCCATTCTTGCACAAAACTTTGTTCTACATCATTTTCCAAGTGATGTCATTATGTGGACTGTTTTGGATGCTGCGCTCTAACGAGTGATCTGATCACCCATGTGTATAGGTGAAACTTGTTTAGTTTTGCGAGGGCTACAACTTTGATTTCCCATCATTTTCTTTGTCAGCATCAGTCACATGCTTCACTGCCATGTGGAATGGCACTGCTTTTGATCTCCCATCAATTTTTGATGATACTGATGATGTAAATCTCAATCTCATCTTATCTGTCAGACCCATATTGATGGTATCTGCTTACTCAATTGTAGTCGCTGATAATTGAATTGAAGACTTATCTAATCTTGATGCGGCTGTGTGTGATTGGATCATTATTGCAGCACAGCTTCCATTTTGGGTTGCATGTTCAAGTTACATAATCAGAATTGAACATGTTGAACATGTGACTTCCTTTTTAGGACGGTTTGATGCAACTTATAGCAACCCAAAAAGGAAATTCATCTCAATTTTGGAATAGCTCATGCTCATGGTGTGGGTTCTGCCTTAGGTTTTCAGGGTATATTCTACCATGTAATCACTTACATTTGTGCTCTTCAAAGCCACTGCATTGTTATACAATGCCTCCATATCCCAATTCTTTCAGTGATACCCTACCTAGCTTTCCATGACAACACATGCTTCTCTAGGCACATCCCTATCTCTCTCTAACATTCTATGCCTCTCAAGTAATGTACTTCTGTCTTAGATCTCACAGTAGAGCCAGCCATTGTATATATAAATGCATAGTAACCATTTCCAACCCATCTTGCTTTGATACATAACCAGTGGTTTCTACACCCCCAATTCACATCAGTCATGCTTTTATTATTACAAAGAAGAGTCAGTGAGATTGATATGGACATAGAAACAAGAATACAGTGGAAGCAATGGTAACAGGTGGGAAATCAAAGTGCCCTTTGTAATGCAGGTATTCTTGCTCCCATAACTCGAAGCAATGTTTCACTTTATTGTACCAACCATTTCGAAAATTTTCCGCACTTCATTGATCTAAAAATCAGGCTGTATCTGTTTCATTTAGGTGCATTTACTTTTATATTGTGAGTGGAATAGGGACTCTCTGGGTGAATTCCACGCCCCCCTGAACATTGCAATGAGTTTTTGGAGTCATATTCTCCCAGAATATGAAATAGATAGCAGAGGGAAACAAAAAAGTGCAATTTTTTTCGCACTTGCATTAGTGCTACATCTTAATCTTTCTGAGGTATATCAATTCAATATCATGTTGCTTTTCACTATTCCCCTGTCATCTATTTCATATTCTGGGAGAATATGACTCCAAAAACTCATTGCAATGTTCAGGGGGGCGTGGAATTCACCCAGAGAGTCCCTATTCCACTCACAATATAAAAGTAAATGCACCTAAATGAAACAGATACAGCCTGATTTTTAGATCAATGAAGTGCGGAAAATTTTCGAAATGGTTGGTACAATAAAGTGAAACATTGCTTCGAGTTATGGGAGCAAGAATACCTGCATTACAAAGGGCACTTTGATTTCCCACCTGTTACCATTGCTTCCACTGTATTCTTGTTTCTATGTCCATATCAATCTCACTGACTCTTCTTTGTAATAATAAAAGCATGACTGATGTGAATTGGGGGTGTAGAAACCACTGGTTATGTATCAAAGCAAGATGGGTTGGAAATGGTTACTATGCATTTATATATACAATGGCTGGCTCTACTGTGAGATCTAAGACAGAAGTACATTACTTGAGAGGCATAGAATGTTAGAGAGAGATAGGGATGTGCCTAGAGAAGCATGTGTTGTCATGGAAAGCTAGGTAGGGTATCACTGAAAGAATTGGGATATGGAGGCATTGTATAACAATGCAGTGGCTTTGAAGAGCACAAATGTAAGTGATTACATGGTAGAATATACCCTGAAAACCTAAGGCAGAACCCACACCATGAGCATGAGCTATTCCAAAATTGAGATGAATTTCCTTTTTGGGTTGCTATAAGTTGCATCAAACCGTCCTAAAAAGGAAGTCACATGTTCAACATGTTCAATTCTGATTATGTAACTTGAACATGCAACCCAAAATGGAAGCTGTGCTGCAATAATGATCCAATCACACACAGCCGCATCAAGATTAGATAAGTCTTCAATTCAATTATCAGCGACTACAATTGAGTAAGCAGATACCATCAATATGGGTCTGACAGATAAGATGAGATTGAGATTTACATCATCAGTATCATCAAAAATTGATGGGAGATCAAAAGCAGTGCCATTCCACATGGCAGTGAAGCATGTGACTGATGCTGACAAAGAAAATGATGGGAAATCAAAGTTGTAGCCCTCGCAAAACTAAACAAGTTTCACCTATACACATGGGTGATCAGATCACTCGTTAGAGCGCAGCATCCAAAACAGTCCACATAATGACATCACTTGGAAAATGATGTAGAACAAAGTTTTGTGCAAGAATGGGTAAACCTAGCCCGGAAAGAAAGTGCTTTGTTTAAAATTGCTACACTGGCTTGTTATAGCCAGATACATTGAGCTACATTCTATTTTTGAACAATGCCCCATCCTGAATACCGGTTCTGGCCAAGTGTCCCAGAATCTTCCAAAATAGGCAATTTTGAGGTCAAAAAACTCAATTTTTTTTCTGGCACTAACGTGCCAGGTAGGGTCCAGGATGGGCCCCCCCAGAGCCCCCCAGAGCCGCCCAAAACCAAAACTGGGGGCCCCCCACATCCGCCCAGCCCACAGCCCCCCACTACCTCTGAGGTACCTTGTTTGGGCCTCAAAAAGGTACCTCTCGAGGTAGGATTTTGGGGTGTCCAAGGTGCATGCCGTTTGGCGCGTCTGACTGCCCGACTGAGTTCGGCGATACTGTGGCCGAGAAGATGCACGACCTCACGGTCCGGACACTCCTCGAGCTCTTCGTTGACGATGGAGGGAGCGCCGCTGACACCTTCGACGACATGTACTCGCGTATTCGGACCATACTGCAGCGCATTCGGGACGCCGACCTCTCACTATCGCCCTCGAAAACCAAGCTCTTCATGACGACAGCGGTGTTTGCAGGGTCCACCGTAGGACCGGAGGGCGTCTCACCGGATCTCCGCAAACTCACTACCATCATCAAGTGGCGACAGCCCCAGAATGCAGCTGAACTGCACTCATTCCTTGGCCTGACCAGATACTTTCGCGATCTGATCAAGGACTATTCCGCACAGGAGAGGCCGCTCCGGGACCTGTTGTCGAGCCTACTCCCCAGTGGAGCGTGTAAGCGCGTCTTCTGGGCGCTGATGAGAGGCCAAAAGCTGGCAGACTTGTGGACTGCCAAACATACGCGTTGTTTCCTGGAGCTGAAACGGCTGCTGACCACCGGGCCAGTCTTACGAGCGCCGCGCTTTGATACCACAGACCGACATCCATTCATCATCACCACGGACAGGTGCAAGGAGGGCTTTGGAGGGGTCCTCGCGCAAGAGATGGAGGTCTTGCTGCCAAATGGGAAACAGGTCACGCGGCGGTTCCCAATTGGCTACGCGTCGAAGCGAACATCCCTGGCGGAGTCACGATACCCGCCGCATCTCCTCGAACTGGCTGCCATGAAGTTCGGATTTGACCAGTTTGATGATGTGGTCTACGGCTCACCAGTCGTTGTGGAGACGGACTGCAGGGCGATCCGGGACGTCATAGCAGGCGGGAAGCTGACTGCGGCGCACACGCGGTGGCAAGAGGGCATATTCGGCCACAATGTCGTCGCGGTGAAACACATCAAGGGCACATCCAACGTGGCGGCAGACATCATCAGTCAACAGTACAAGGGCGAGAAGAGACGACCAGGGGATGGCAGCGAATGGACGGTCAGCCCGACTTGGACACACGGACCGGCATTATTGCTGACATATTCGGCGTCGAGTTGACCAAGGCTGACCAGCCGGCAGGCTGCGAGACGGGGATGGTGGTCATGGCAATGCCAGAAGGCACAGCCGCGTTGCGTGCATGATTCGCGCAAGAACCGCTGTTCTTGGAAGTCATTGATGCGCTGCTCGAGCTTGATGGCAACAGGAATTCAGACCGACGGCGATGAGCGCGGCACAGGGCTAGTACAGTCAATTACCACCTAATGAGACACCATGACCTAATGAGACAAACAGTAATTACTTGTGCCCCATTGCCCCGGGGCCCCTCAAAATTTGTACAGACTAAGCTCAGGATGTATTCTATGAGTTTCCAACACAGATTGGGTTGAGCTATAGCCGATCCTTCTAGCTGTTGCAAATATATCATGGAGGACCTGATTTCAAAAGTGAAAGTCATGATGTTTGAGCATGTGCGTACTCAATGCTGCTTGCACACTGCCCCAACTTGGCACATCTCTTTGTCAGATCATATACAATGTATTCCGGGACATCCGATGCCTATTGCACACCCACCCAACATAGGACAAGGGAAACAATGATTCAAGTGCCGAATGTGTCATGTCGTGGGAACATCGCACCTTGTCACATCACGCTGTCCCGTTTAGGACCATCTTTTGTCCTCAGCGCGTCGAAGCTGTCTCCACGCATGTATGCCTAATCAAGCTAAGTCCAAGCGACAGAAAGCTAAAGAGCATTCTGATCTAAAGCAATAGTGGGTCGGAATCATCATCTGATGAGCCGGGGGTCAACTCCGACATCTCGGAGTAGGTTATGTACAAGAGCGCGAAGAAGACTGTGACTGTCTCATTAGCTTACTCTTTATAGATAACTAGATTTTGGAAAGATTGCGAACGATAGTGTACTCAAGTAGTCCTAATGTGTCTTCTATTACCGGAAATCCATGCTTCACTGTCTTATCTGACTGCTCATCGACTTTTATTGCAAGTTTTGGCTGAGATTTGACTGCATTAGGGTGATGAGTATTTAGCCGTCTCATTAGGTGGTAATTGACTGTAGGTACTTCATCCAGGACGGGAAGCTCTGGATCTTGGGCGGGTCCGGCGTGCGCGCGAGAACAAGACGGGAGTGCATCACAAGGGAAGAAGCGGTTGCGAAGGCTGGCGTTACCCACGCGGAGCATGGGCACTTTGGGAGGGATGCAATCAAGATCGCGCTCATGGATGAGTACCACAGCCCAGGCCTCGACGCGTCAATTGTGAGCGCGATCTCGGAGTGCGGCAAGTGCAAGGGATTCGGTCCACAGCACGTCCATGCAAAGCTAGAGCCGATAGTGCGAAGACGGCCCTTCGAGCTGCTGGTCGGCGACTATGTCAAGCTCCCGGAGGGAAAAGGGGGCTACCACACAGTCGGCGTCTACCTGGATACTTACTCCCAGCTCACTGTCTCTTCTTTGTAATAATGAAAGCATGACTGATGTGAATTGGGGGTGTAGAAACCACTGGTTATATATCAAAGCAAGATGGGTTGGAAATAGTTACTATGCATATATATATACAATGGCTGGCTCTACTGTGAGATCTAAGACAGAAGTACATTACTTGAGAGGCATAGAATGTTAGAGAGAGATAGGGATGTGCCTAGAGAAGCATGTGTTGTCATGGAAAGCTAGGTAGGGTATCACTGAAAGAATTGGGATATGGAGGCATTGTATAACAATGCAGTGGCTTTGAAGAGCACAAATGTAAGTGATTACATGGTAGAATATACCCTGAAAACCTAAGGCAGAACCCACACCATGAGCATGAGCTATTCCAAAATTGAGATGAATTTCCTTTTTGGGTTGCTATAAGTTGCATCAAACCGTCCTAAAAAGGAAGTCACATGTTCAACATGTTCAATTCTGATTATGTAACTTGAACATGCAACCCAAAATGGAAGCTGTGCTGCAATAATGATCCAATCACACACAGCCGCATCAAGATTAGATAAGTCTTCAATTCAATTATCAGCGACTACAATTGAGTAAGCAGATACCATCAATATGGGTCTGACAGATAAGATGAGATTGAGATTTACATCATCAGTATCATCAAAAATTGATGGGAGATCAAAAGCAGTGCCATTCCACATGGCAGTGAAGCATGTGACTGATGCTGACAAAGAAAATGATGGGAAATCAAAGTTGTAGCCCTCGCAAAACTAAACAAGTTTCACCTATACACATGGGTGATCAGATCACTCGTTAGAGCGCAGCATCCAAAACAGTCCACATGATGACATCACTTGGAAAATGATGTAGAACAAAGCTTTGTGCAAAAATGGGTAAACCTAGCCTGAAAAGAAAGTGCCATATTTAAAACTACTACACTGGCTTGTTATAGCTGGATGCATTGAGCTACGGTCTACTTTTAAGCAATACCCTATCCTGATTTCTAGTTCTGGCCAAGTGTCTCAGAATCTTCTAAAATAGGCAATTTTGAGGTCAAAAAATGCATTTTTTTTTTGGGCACTAACGTGCCAGGTAGGGTCTGGGATGGGCCCCCCCAGAGCCCCCCAGAGCCACCCATGGGCCCCCCCACATCTGCCCATGGGGCCCCCCACATCCGCCCAGCCCACAGCCCCCCACTACCACTGAGGTACCTTGTTTGGGCCTCAAAAAGGTACCTCTCGAGGTAGGATTTTGGGGTGTCCAAGGTGTCCATTGAATGTCTCTTCCTTTCGGCCTGGTAGTTGCGCAGTTCCTGCGCCAGTCTGCTGGGCTGCGGGCCCTTCTGTTTCTCGGCTGCCGACTTCCTCTGGACGGCGTCCGGCACCCTTGTGCGTTTGGGTGCTTCTGGAACCTTGCTTTCGGCGGATTCCTTAGGCGCTTCCTCCTTTTCCAAGGATTGAGCCTTCGGAGCGATGCTCCCCTTTTCGGTCTTTGTTGACGTGGTTCCTTCTCCACGAGCCATAAATACGTAGGAGTCCAAAATTAATTTATCCGCAGCTTTCTGATCCTTTTTACTCTGTAAATACTCTCTATTTAAAGCTGTTTTTCTTTGATGTTCCTTTTCCATATCAGCGACAAGAAAATCATGAATATTAGTACGTAGTGAGTCTGAGATTGTGTATGTATGTGCCGAATCGTTCATGTCTTTAATCGAAACAAGTACAGAAAATTGTCCATAGTCCGGACGCTCCACCTCCTTGGCTAGAGGAGTGGAGCGCTTCAAAAACCCTTCTCGCGCAGCTTCTCGGCAATCTCCTTGAGGAACTCGTTGTCCTTGTCCCCGTTCTCAATGTCTTCAAGCATCGTGGCCCGATTGAAGAATGTGCGCTTCTTCCTTGGTTCCGGGCAGTTCCGCGCAATGTGCCCAGGCTGCTGACAGTTGTAGCAGATGATATTGCGGCCGCGGGCGTGGGTGCAATCAATCTCCATCGGAACCGGTTCATTGGCAGCGGGTCGGGCCGGTGCGGGTGTAGGCATTGTCGGAGCAGCCTGTGGGCGGAACGGGGGAGGTGGTCGTGGCGTGGGATGTCCGTAGGATGCCTTGCGTAGCTGGTCACGTAGAGCATTGGCTTCGATGTTGATGCACCAGGCTTTGAACGCCCCATAGGCCTTGGGCAGGGGAACACCGGTGTTGTAGAGACAACTGGCAATTTCGCTGCTGAGTCCGCGCTCCAGGAACTCGATGAGGATATTGTCTTGGTCCCCCTTCTTGTATTCGCCCTTGTCGTCGGTGGTGTCAACCACATTGTATCCCGCATCTGCAGCCAACATCTCGAAGTCGGAGATGTAGTCCGTGAAGGACCGTTTGTTTTGGCGCAGGGCCATGAGTCGGGCGGCGGCGACTTGTTCCGCATTGGAGTCCCCAAAAGTCCTCTGCAGTTCCTCCAAGAAGGTCTTGGCCGTGATCCCTGCCTTCAGTCCCTGGAAGCCATCGAAGTTATGCTGCTTCCAGTTCATTGCCCATCTCGAGGCGGTGCAGCTTGTGCCGGTTTCATTACGGAGGTAGGAGAGGATGAAGAGGATTTTTGTCTCGTCTAGCGTGAATCCCGATCGGTAGGCACCAATGTAAGTGGTACACGCGTCCACAAAGCCCAGATATTTGGACTTGTCCCCATCGAAGTATGGGGGGTTGGCGGTGAGGGTGATGTGGTGATGTCCTGACATGGTAGGGGCAGGCGTGGTAGGTGGAGGCGAGGGTGGTTGTCCGGAGGGTAACTCGTCAAGGTCGGGGATCTCGTCTTCAGGAGGCAGGAGGGCAAGGTAAGGAGTGGAGGGCCCGGGTTGGTTTTGGTACGCCAGATCGGGCGACGAGGGTACGATGGGGGGAGGAGACGGGCTCCCAGACAACGATGGGAATTGGTACGAAATGGTGGGTTCATGTGCTGTACAAGCACTCGAGGGAGGGTTCTCTTGCTAGCAAAAAGATCCCGGGCCTAGCTCTTCACGTGCCCAATGATCCCGAGGTGCGTTTTCCCGAAGGTCTCCGCAGCACTCCTTGTAGCTACCGTAGGGCTTGGGTCGGGCTCAACGTTACCCGTAGCCTGGTGCAGTTTGCTCGATATGAACCCTTCTCTGCGATCACAGAGAACGACTAGATGATTCGGTAGAAAGATGAGTGAGTTGATAAGGATGAAGAGGATATAGCGGGCGTAGCGGTGCGGTATGCAGGGTAGGAGGTGAGAGGTAGGAGGGTATGAGGGGAGTCTTCGAATTATGTGACAATCAACCCAAAAACAAAGTCGAAAAGAGAAGTGAATTCGAAGACTGGAGAATACAACCAAGTAGCTACAGTATTTATACCCAAATCCAGTCTGAGTCATATCTACAACTAATGAGTCATAGGGCTATGTACCGCATGGAGCACTGGTCATGGGTTGTAGTAGAACCTTCCAGAGCGTATGTTGCGCAGCCTTGAATCGATAAAGATAACCCCTGGAACTCCTAGCCCGGTCCGTCTGATGCCGTGATCCGTGATAAGATAAGTCGTGCCAAGATAAGATAAGATCGTCAATGATAAGATGAAAAAGTGGTCGAACTATGACAGCAGGGCTTGGATTGATGGCCTCTGTCACACATACTCCGTTCTCATGAACTGCAAGGACTGGACTCAGGATGTATCAACCATGTGTTACCAGTAGCAAATCTAAGGGTGTGAGCTTTTTTCCGCATCGAAATCTGATATCTCTGAGTCAAGATGAGTAAAAAAGTGTTCTGAAGGTAGGTTTGCGGGTCTCGGGCCTCATTATTTTGGAATATGGAATATGTATATTTTACAGGAGCATTGAACAGCTATACCTTAATCTCTGGGAGACCATCCGGGACAGAATGAGGGATGTGGAAGCCCAGGAAATGTGTGTTTATCACGGATTGCAGATCAGGGTGCGTTTGCAGATCTGGGTCATCAATAGTATCTGTGGTATCAGGACGGGTTTGCGCTGATATGTGACATATCGGGTCAGCATCATCTTTGGTCACAATACATAGAATATGTTATGTGTGATGCCACGATGTCCAAGTGTTCAAAATAGTTTCGAAATTTAGGAACCAAAGATTTTTCTTTTTCTTTATCTCGAATTTTGAGCTCATCCAAAAGTCAGCCAAGAGGCCATGGTGACCTGTGACCTGAATGAACACTTGATCGTGATAAGTATTACCCATAGGGGGTGTCGAGTACTGTATTAGTCCGGCCGTTTCAATTCCTGAATCTGTAGACATGAGACCCGTCACGAGAAGAGGCCGATACTCACCATATGCCAGTTCAACTCGTGAGATTGCCAGTGCCAAGGCATATCGATTTGGAGCGAGAGGCCCTCGCGCACCAGATTTTTGATGGCGAGTATTGCGTCCTTGAATTGCTCGTCCTCGTCCACGCAATCTTTCGAGAAGGTCGCACAAAAGGTTCGCAGCAAGGCGGTGGGCAACGCATAGCCCTGCCGCTGTTTGCAGCGCGCCTCGAGTAAGAGCAGGATGCTTTCCAATTCAAGCACAGAGTCGCATTCCTCGACGACAAATGACTGCAGCAGGGGCAGCAGTATCACTGGTGGGTCTTCCGTGTGGTAGGAAGCGGCAGCGAAGATGCGCAGGAAGTCCGGGAAAAATTCCGGCTCCGGCGACGACACCACGAGGTGCGTGACCGCCCGCAGCGCTCTGAGGCACCCGTAAACGGCTTGACTGTCCAGATCCATTTCAGACAGGCGGAGGTGGGTGATTGTACACTCTGAACGCATCACGAGCGGGATCACTCCGTCGACATGGCCTCCGACGTCGAGGTCCGTGAGCTGTGGCAGGGTCATGTACCCGAGGATCGACGGCACCGCATCATCCTCGATCGTGAGCCGCCGCAGTGCAGGCAGCACCAGCGAGATCGGGCGGTGGCGGGTGTGCCGGTTTGTCAGCGACACGTGAAGAGCTTCCAGCTGGCGCGTCTGCGAGATGATCATAAGGCACTGCGCCAGCGACTGCTCGAGGAGCGTCAGGGCTGTAATCTGTGTCCACGGCAGCACGAGCTGGGTTGCGGGGAACACCTCCACGCGCACCCGGCGCAGCCGCGGCGCGCGGAACAGGCCCGTCACAGGACTCAGTACCGCCGCGTGCCGCGGGCCCGCGAGCACCTCCAGCTCCTCCAGGCTGTCCCATGATCCCGATCCATCGCTCGGGGCTAGGCCAAACGTGCACGGAATGGACATACGCAGCGCCACGCAGCGCCAGCGCGTCGCGTGCGCACCCACCACGGCCAGCAGTGGCTCCATCGTCCGCGACGTCGTGTTGAGCTCGAGGTATAAGGGAATGCGGGGCCCCGTGCGCTCCACCCAGCGCTCCAGCAATGCGTCTGGCTGCGGGTGATCACTGGACACGAAGATGTCGTTCCACAGCACCGGGGTGCCCAATGCGACCTGTCGCCATGTACGGCACACCCCGAGCAAGGCGGGGGCCAGGGTGGGTCCTTCCAGCGCAGCGATGTAGTGCATAAAGATCTGGGCTGTGATCTCCGGAGGTAGGGTTTCGACGAGGTACGTGGATCGACAGAGCCGGGTCGCGAGGTCCGCTTTCTCTGCTTCGAGCACACGCAGCTGGTCTTGAAGGATGGAAATCGACCGATCCAGAACGCTAATCCGTTTCCTGAGCTTCACAGTGTTCATGACCACGAGTCAGACGGAAGTGAGCGGGACCAGAGCACGGTCGCGAGAAGACACGTGATCAATCTTGATCAGGCTGTGCAGTCGCCAGACGCGACCTGTCTGATGTCGGTCACTGCCGCACGGCAATCATGATCAACTTACTGTCTGGGCTTTTGTTACTAAGACGAAAATCGAAAGATGAGTTGGATGCAGATGGTAAGCAAGCATTAATAAAACATTGATTTTTTGGATTGTAATTAAGCCCTCGATATCGCACTCCTTGCTCAAATTAGAGCGTCCATCCTGCGATAATTCCGTCGTACGCAGGCTTGGCGATGAGGTTCTTTCGCTCTCTTCAGTGACATGCTTTACAAAAACCAAGAACAGCCAACACTCACGTTGTCAAATGGCAACGCTGCGCCCTGTCCCGAGAACACACCCGGGATCCAAGAGTACTGCAATCAAGATTCAGCCACCATCCCAGACACACATCACAACAACGACGCACCTTGTCCGTGTAATCCCAGATCGTGACACCGACACAGCCTGCAACGGCCTTGCACGCGCTGATGACGGTCTGGTAGTCCGTCTTCTGCTGAGCCAGCAGGGCGGGCGTCTCGGGGAGCGTCATGCGGATGTCGAGCTCGGTGATGGCGATCTCGACGCCGAGCGCGGTGAAGGCCTGGTAGTTCGCGATGAGCGCCGCCTTGGACGGGACCTGGCCGACGATCAGGTGGCCCTGGATGCCGATGCCGTCGATCGGCGTGCCCGCGGCCTTGAGCGACTTGACGAGGTTCTGCATGGCCGTTGATTTGGCGCCTGCGGAGTCGATGTTGTAGTCGTTGATCTGTGGGAATTGTTCAGCTTTGTCAGCGGTAGGGTGAAGGGCAATGAAATCGACGTACGTAGAGTTTCGCGGCAGGGTCAGCGGCGCGGGCAGCGACCAGGGCGGTGGTGACGTATCCGAGGCCCAGGGCTTTTGAGAAGACGTATTGGCGGACCGTTCCATCGTCATTGAACGGCTCTGTTGAGTTGAGTTCCCAATCAGGGCAGTTCCCAATCGAGAAACACACCGTTGACAACGTCCCAAGAGTCTGTTGGGAATCAGAAATCACATTTCAACCAGAAGCAGATCGCAGACTCACAAACTTGTCCAGCATAGTGTTTGACCTGGGCACCAATTCAACCATCTTGGACATGAGACTTCCCTGATATTACTCACAACTGTGCTGCAATGCGTCTGGACGATGCTGGTCAACTGCGCGGCCGTAAAGTTCGTCGCAGTGACCCATCCGGGGAGCTGGTTGTACCACACACAGTTGTGGCCGCGGAGCAGCTGGCCGTTCTTCTTCGCGAGGTTGGCGATCACATCACCCGCCGTGAACGTGAACGTGCCTGGAGAGTATGTTCAGTTCTGCAACCCCCTTGCTCCGAGGTCTTGGCGCAAACCTTGCGAAGGCTCAGTCGCGTCCTGCACAGCGATTCCTCTGTCAGCTCGTATCGACACAGCTCCACGCGGGCGACGCACCCATTTCATGCTGTTTCCCGGGGTGAGCTGTCCAAACAGCGTGTTGTCGCTCAGCTTGGCGACATAGGCCGTGTCCGTCAGCTCGGGGTTGTCCGTCGCGCTCCCGAAGTACAGCTTGCCGCCAGAGGACTTGGCGATCGTGTTCGACTTGACCGTCGACGTGCCCGTCGGCAGCGCCGTGCTCGTCGTGCCGGATCCACCGCTGCCGGACCCGGCGGTAGTTGTGGCCGTGCCGGAGGGCAGGCACTGCGAGTAGAAGGGGTTGCTGAAGACGCATGTCGAGCCCGCCACGCAGGTCTGAGGGGGACGCCCGCGGGTCCTGTCAGCCGCAGCACGGCGCTTAGAATAGATGGGGTACTTGCCGTGGGACCAGTATAGCTTGAGCCACCACCGCCTGTAGCCGGAGTTGATTAACACAGAGTGACATGGAACGGGCACGCACATTGTCCATAGATGGGCGATTGCGCCATGACGAACGGCACCAAGGCCAGCAGCGAAGTCAGCGCGAGAGGAAGCATCAGGTCCTGAGTATCAGAAGGCGGGTGAGGGAGGGGAGATGCGGGAGACTGGTGGCCCCCGACATACAAGCGCCCTTTATATATCCTCCGCACCCGCATGCATTTCCCCGGAAATGCACCCGTGACGGGCGTCAACGCGAGCAGGATCGTCAAGCCTGACAACCACTTGACCCTCTCGGACGAACTTCGGTTGCCCAGGAACGTCAGCCGGCTGATGGTTCGGTATTCCCAGCTGCTCGTTGACGCACACACATCCTGGCAATTGTGCGGGGAATTGGTTTAATGCTGCCGCGGCCACGCTCCGCCATATTCTGTCACTTGAGAATCAATCCGCGACGGGAAGAGTTCGGAAGACAACTCGTCGAATCCCGTTGCACACACGTTACAAATACCGTACGTCAGGGCGATCGACACAAGCCCGCACGTGGCTCACACACATGCGCCATGACAACCACACGGACCAGGGCTAGAATGCATATGTATCCAAGCACGCAGGCAGCAAGCACAACAGGTACACCGTACGAAAAGGAACAACAAGCGGCGTACAATCGGTATACGTGGATCGAATCATATTAAACGTGAAAAGGTTCGTAGAAAGAAATAAAGCCAAGCGTACGTCCGTCCGTAGGGAAAGAAGGGACGCGGAAGAGCAACAGCAGACCTGGGGTATGTACGCATCCTTCTGTCGGTGTATAGCTGAGGAAAAACTAATCTGCCCCACAGACCGTGCGTCTTCGGCAAGGGTCACCCGAAAACGGCTTACAGCAGCTGGAACGCAGCAACGGCCGCGGCACCGAGGACGGCCACGGCACCGGCGGGCACGCCGGCCTTGAAACCGGCATTCGAGGTGGTCGAAGGTGAAGGCGAAGTCGTGACAGAGACGGACGCACTAACGACGAGTCCTCGAATCAGCAACCCGCCACAGAGAAAACGCAGCCGAGAACACGCACCTCACGCTGGATGCAGTAGGCCTCACCGAGGTGGATGCCGGGATGGAGGTCACCGAGGAGATCGAGGTCGTGGTGCTGGTGCTGGTCGTGACGGGGGTGGAGCTGGACGTGGACGAGACCGACGAAGACGACGACGTGCTAGAGGAAGAGGCAGTGGAGGAGCCGGAGGTGGAAGAGGCCGAGGCGGAGGAAGAAGATGAGGCGGTCAGGCAACCATCACCAGCTGGGATAGTGAGCATCAGGCGACGACCGCTCACGCACAGGCAGACGGAAAGTACATACCGCCAGCGACGACAGGGAACGGGGCACTGGTCTGCCCCGCACCGGTGTTGTCCTTGATTGACAGCAAGAGCTGTGTGCCTGGTGCAAAAGATCAATACGACGGGTCCATGAGCAGACTTGCACGCAAAGAGACTCACCGGTGGTGACGTTCACGGTCCAGGTCTCCTGCGTCACGCTGACTCCGTTGTACGAGAGGATGGGCAGAGCAGCGGGGGGAACCGAGTTCAGGCTATCGCGTCTTAAGCATACGCAGGGGCAGAAGCGGCTGACGTGGCCAGCGACTCACGTCTAGTAGACTCGATTGAGGAACGGTAGGGCACAGGATGAGCGAGATAGACTCACGACGAAGTATGGGGCTGGGCGGCGGCACAAGCGTCAGCATGACACAGCAAGCGGGAAGAGAAGACAAGGGAGTGGACGCACGGGTTCCTCCGGACCACTGGATCAACAACGGCACACACTCAGCTGTAACATCCCGCCGCGCGCATCAGCCTCTCGCCCGGTATGCGAATCTCGACTCGACTCACGCGTTCCAGGGACACCACCCGTGGTCCTGAAAAAAGACAAATATCACATCAGGATACACCAAGAAGAACGGTTGTGTGTGGGAGGTGGCGCACGGGGTGTTGATGGTCAGCTGGGCGGAGACGCCCGAGAGCAGCGCGGCAGCGGCGAGCACAGCAGAAAGCATCATCGGTGGGGACGAAGGGTGGGAAGGGAGGCGATCGCTGCCCCTTGCCCGCATGTCTCCATTTTATCATGGCGTGCGTGGGAGTTTTTGCGGTTTTCCGGAAAATGTTGGCCAATCGTGCGATAGGCGCGTGATTGCGAGCGAAGCGAGCAATCATCGGCTAAAGGGGTGGAGATTCACACTAAACAAGAACAAATTCTCAGCGCGCATCAGATGGCAAAATGGACGAGTGGTAACCCTCTCAAACTCGTTCATTCTCTCTCCGTTCACCTTCGTATCGTACATGGACCTTCAATTCCACTTGTTAATGGGAATTGTCGAGTTAGGGCGGGATTGGGCAAGAATTGAGGTGTGTACAGACATCCTGAGCAAATCCATTCTTTCTCTTCATTCTTGCGTTCATTTCTCCTCGTTCCTGGTGTATTGCACCTTCTATCCTTCCCTCATACATGTACCACACTTTGGAGTCGGAGCCTGGCATGTGTAAGTACACTGACACGCCCCCGTTACTACTTAGTACTCTCGACTCGGGAAAATTCCATCCCGTTCCGCGATCCGGTCACGTGGTATAGTCGGACTATTTGACCACAGACGTGTCAAGAGTCTGGGAGGAAAGAATTTGCCCTACAATATAGATGATTTTGCCCGTAGATATGCCTCGATATGTACAGAATGATGTCTTCGAAGCGAGCACCTGGCGCTCGTGCGCGATTCCATTTTTGATTGGGTGATGGAATGATGAATGCGCGCGGTCGGATGATGGCGGGAACGATCGCCCAGCCCGGGGGCTGCGCCGCTGCGGATTGCGGTGCGCGCTTCCTGTGACTGCTTGGCACCGGGGTGCGGAACCGGGCATTGTTCAGGCAGTCCTCATACACCGGTCAGTCCTGGCCGCAGAGATCCTGAGTATCGGAGATTTCTGTGATCCTCCTCTCAGAAAGCTTCCAGATCCACTGTAGAAGGTCCACCGCATTTGGGAAGGGCACGACCTGGACCCTGAAGGCGTCAGAAGAGGAAAGATGTGCTAGACTATCGTCGTCTCTCTCCGAACGGCCCGTGACCCCTACTGTATTGAGCTCCAGGAATGCTCTCATTGGAAAGCAAGCACTAGGTGCGTTTTCAACGTCAAATCATCCTTTAGCCTGAGTATCATACAATATCGGCTTTGAGAGGCCCCCGATCCCACAGAAAACCCCAATGTAACTGTCTCAGCGGCGAGAGAAAGAACACTGATCCTTCAAGATTGTTGACACTTGTGTGTGCGACTCATCACAGCCACGCCTGTCTCTTCCCCTCCTGGTCTTGCGGCGCGGGTGGACTTGGCATTCGCTCTTCGCACGGAAGCTCTGCCATCCTCCCCGATCCTTTCCCTCGCGAAATCCCAGCGCCGAGATGTCATTCTTTAACACCTCCGCCGCACAGCCGCAGCAGCAGCAGCAGGCGCCGACGCTCAACCTGTTCACGAATACCGCTGGGAACAACGCGAACAACAACAACAACAATGCAGGCACGAATATATTTGGAACGAGTAACACGGGCACGACTGGGACAGGCCTTTTTGGGACTGGCGGAGGCGCAGCGACGGGCACAAGTATCTTCGGTGCCAACAACAACAACAATAACAACAACGCGCCAGCGCCGGGTGCAGGGACCGGAATCTTTGGTGCGGCTGTTGGAGCAGGTGCGGGAACTGGGACGGGCCTCTTCGGCGCCAGCAACACCAGCAACGCGCCAGCGACGGGCACAGGGACGGGCACAGGGATCTTTAGTAGCGGTGGTGGTGGCATTTTCGGCAACAACAACACGGCAAATGTCAATACCAACGTCAACAACAACGCAACAGCACCAGGGACAGGGCTCTTCGGCGCCAACACGGCCGCACCCGGCACGACTCCAGCGCTCGGCGGTGGGCTCTTCGCCAACAGCGCAGCAAAGCCCGCGACGGGACTCTTCGGCAGCAGTACGACGACGCAGCCCACCCCGGGGACAGGGCTCTTCGGTGCCAGCACTGCGGGCACTCAGCCAGCGGCGGGGACGAGTATCTTTGGCACGTCGAGCGCGCAGCCTGCCGCGGGCACGAGCACGGGGACGGGGACAGGGATGTTTGGCGGCAGCGGGATGTTCGGAGCTAAGCCACTTGGGGCGACACAGTCTGCCGGGCCATTTGGAAACGCGTCCACAAACAATCTGGCTCCACCACAACAAAATGCGCTCACCACTTCTGCCCTCGGCGGCGGCGGCGGGACGGTGGACGAGGGGACGCGTCTTCAAGCGCGCATCGAAGCATTGTATCAAGCGTGGAATCCTAGTTCCCCACAGTGCCGATTCCAGTATATCTTCTACAACCGAGTCGACGCGGGCCGGATTGCGCAGTACGGGCGACCGCAGAATGCGCTGAACGAGACGGTCTGGGCGCGAGCTGTCCGAGATAACCCCGATCCAGCTACGTGCGTGTGCCCACCTGTCCCCGATCGAAACACACCTACTCACTTCCACTTGCACTTTCCCTTCTAGCCTGGTGCCCGCGCTCGCAACGTCCTTCGACGATCTGAGACAGCGCGTCGACGCCCAAGGCACGCAGGCGGCGGGCCAGGCGAAGCACATGGAGGAGATCCAAAAGCGCCTGGCGACGCTGATAACACACCAAGCGCAGAACCGCGCCCGGCTTGCGAAGGTCTCAGGCGAGCAGGTGCACCTCCTGCAGCGCATCATGGCGCTCGTGACGCATCTGCATCTGCTCATCCCTGCGCTGCGCTCATCTGGCCTGCGCGCGGAGGAGGAGACCGTGCGCGGGTGGCTCGACGAGCTCCGAGACGAGCTGGGACTGGGGGCTGCGAACGGGAAGGGGAACGGGTCTGGCAGACTACGCGGAAAGCTGGGCGAGCTGTGGGCCCTGGTCGGTGCCTTGGGCGCTGCGGCGGGTCGGAATCAGGCCGGAGGTGCCGAGTGGAAGGTCGTTGACGAGGACGGGCTGGCACGGATCGCGATGGTGCTTTCTGAGCAGCAGGCCGGGCTCCAGCACCTCACGAAGATCCTGCGCAAAGATCTGGCGGATCTGGCGGTCGTGTACAAAGATGCGGACATTTTGGCCGGTTTGTAATCCTATGTGTGAGTTCCCTCGTTGCGGATATGCGTGTACCTCGGGTGTGCGCAGAGGAAACAAGATCTCATTGCGAGCAATCAATACGACAAGTAATGCATGATATCATGTAGGTAGTAGGAGATATCAAGAACCGATTCAAAAGAACACGTATCCAGCCATAGCAACAGCTGCGTAGATACCGACAACCACATCCGCACGAACAGTCTTTTCGGCTCCACCGGTCTGCGAGGGACGGGCAGAGGCGCTGGCCGCGGATCTGAGTAGTCCCAAAATGAGTGCCAAATCAGACAGCAGGCACGGGTCGAGCTCACCCTGTGGAAGTGTGCTGGGCCGTCGACGCTACGGGAGGGGCGGCGGTGGTACCGGCCGCTTGTGTGGTGGCGGACCCAGTGCCAGTGTTGGAGCTGGGAGCGGATCCAGCCGACGAAGCGGCGGTCGAGGATGACGACGCTGGGGCCGATGCGGCTGGTACGAAGAAGTTGTCAGCCAAGGGTCCGAGGGCGGAGTAAGGAAAAACTGCGCACGCGTTGTGGGCGGTCCACTGGACGTCAGGCAAGAATCTCCCGCTGCGGTCATCTCCGTCATCTCACGGTATGCCGCCAAATACGGATTGACGCACCTCCTGGAACAACCTGGAACGGCGCACTCGACCCCGTCGTCCCGCTCGAGTCTTTTACGGTAAGAAGAAGATTGGTGCCTGCGGCGAAGATAGTCAGCGGCAAACACGCAGAGAAACCAAGAAGGAATCACCCGTTGGAACATTCACCATCCAGGTTTCTTGCAGGGCGTTCACGTTGTTAAACGACACGACAGTCGAGGCAGTGTCGGTATTTTCAACACTGCACAAGTTCCTCAGAATCTGCTCTCCAAGCTATGCAGCGGTCGCCAAACACTCACTTCTGGGGATAAGAATGAGCCAAAAGGCCCTTGACACGGAGAGGGGAAGAGAAGACATACCATAAAATACGGTGCTAGATCAGAAGTAGCTCAGCACACCCTGAGTAGCACGGGGAAAAGAAGGAACCACTGACGGGCACCACCAGTCCACTGTATCAGAAGCGGCTCGCACTGCGCTGCGCCTGGTTTGCCGCCCGCCACAGGCGTGTTAATCGTCGGGCCGGTCGTCTGGGCGGACGCAAGGAGCGGCAACAGCGGAAGAAGAGGGAGCAGGGCGAGCATAGAGATAGGCACTGGAGATGGAGGTGGGAAGAGAGAAGAGAGGCAGATGAGAGGGAACCGAGCACTGTATGTAAGCGCAATGGCAGGGAAAGACTAAGTACTTACAAGGATGGCACGATTCGATTCCGTGCTTTTAGCGTCAGGTGACGGCAGCCATTATGTACTAGTGCCGTCTGGTGCGGTATGAAACGGATGGCAGACGTAAAAGCCTAGGGGACAAGAAGAAACGGTTGGGCGGGATGCGCAGATTGACAGGGAATTACTGCAATCTGATCTCGAGTGATCAACGATCATTGCGTCTAGCCAGCCAGAAGAGGGTCACAAATGTCAAGAATGAAATGCGGGGGAGATCCAGAGCATCGTGAGCAGTTTCGAGTTGAAGAGGAACATGAACAAGCCGAAACAAGAGTGTTACATGTCACTTCTGACCTTGTTGAATATCACGTGCCCATGCCCTCCCGTCTGCATCAGAATGTACTTTGACACCATCTCCACCTCCCTCTCTCCGCGCGGATGACACTTGACAACGGATTATGAGTTTCATTGATAGATTCTCTTCTGCGCCTTGTTTCCTGCAGATACATCAGTCTTCGTCCCGCACCTCGTTGTGTGGCTGTGGCAGAAAAGTCATCAGTTCGCTACAGTTTCAGGAAATGGGATCAAATGAGTCCGTGCATAGGATACCAATTTCATTTGATCAATCCCCTGTCCTCTGGTCGTTTCATCTCCGCTCGTATACAAGATCTAAAGGCTCTTATTGCACATGTATTTCGGCTAGATGAAACAGAACCTGTTTGAGAATTATGTAGCGAGGTCAAAACTCCCTGTGCGTGGATGATCAAATCCTTACAAGGTGTTCGGCTGAAAAGGATGCGTCCACTGTCCAGTCAGACCAAGGCTTCTTCAGCAGCGAGATGCAATTAGTTCAAGCAAGTGATTCGACGCCCAGAGACTGATTCAACCGATATCTATTATTTCGCAACAATTCTGAAAAACAAGTGATACATGCTTATTTACAAAATACAATCCCCGCAGACGACACTATGACTTATATACGCCCTACCAAAGGAAGAGGGTCCGATAATACTACATAAAAACTTCCCAGAAAGTTATTAATCACCCTTTATCGCGACACAGCATTTCCCATTCGGTCAGCTGCGCCCGGAAACCCCAGTTGACATTTGCCGAGGGACGGCATGCTTCGACATAGGCAAGCGCGTTCGGCGCGGACATCGTACGGGGCACATTTCGGCGAGGTGGACGCGACTGCTGGCCGTTGTCCGGCGACGATCCCGCCCGCGCGAGCAGTTGCCGAATCGGTCTTTGAAATTGATCTTGCTCCTCTATGTCCGGTGTTGTCCGTGCGGAGCTGTCACCCATCGGCTGCGGGCCCACACTTTCGATGAGCGGGAGCGCCACGAGCAGGGCGGCCCCGACGGCCGGGCTGCGGGATATCCCGTGCGCGCAATGTATGAGAATCCGCACCGGGACTGCTGCGCCGGCGCTTTCGGTGTGCGGCAGGACCCCGCCCTGGAGCAGGATCTGCGTGACCCAGTCGACGACCGGGCGCATGGCACCCACCAGTTCGGCAAACGGCGTGTCCTCGAGCGACACGTGGAGATGGTTCGCAGGCGGGATGACTTCAGTGGGAATGTGCACTGCGTGTGGGTGTCAACATGGCTGTCACTTGTCACTGCCATCGTGTCGGCCCCGGCCCCGGCCCGGCCCGCCGGTGGGGAGGACAGACGATGGGATGAGATGTATGAAGGACACGCGCTCACCTCGACCCCCAAACACGCTGATAACATGTGTGATCCCCGCACTCAGCAGCAGCGCGGGATTCTCTGCGAACGCGAGGTCGCCGACGGCCAGGTGCGGCGTGAGAGCCGAGAGCGAGGGGTGGGCGGATGTGTACGGTGAGAGACAGTGCGCCACTGGCGACCGGATCGCTGCGTCGGGTGCAGTTTCTTCATCCGGGCTCGTCGGATTGAGGCTGGGGAATTCCGAGTCCAGATCGTCGTCCAAGTCGCTGCGCGCGGAGAAGAACGAGGCAGTCGAGATCGTCGAGATGGCGGTGAGCGGCGAGGGCGAGAAGATTGGGGTCTGGGACGCATTCGTGGAATTCAGTTCTATGGACAAGGGGGGCAGGATGTCCGAACGGCGGAGGGAGTTCGTTAGTGGCCGGAGTGAGGGCCGAGCTGGCCCCGCAGTGCGCAATCTTTGCCGAGGGGTCATGTCGTTCCCGTCTGCTGGCATCCGTTCGCTCGAGGGGCAGACTTTGCAGTTTTGGGGGTCGTCGGAAGTGGAGCGCAGGTACGGATGGTGGTGCGAGCGAGGTTTGTGGCGGCGTGGAGGGCTTCGTATCAAAGAAATTACTGCAGTCTGATGCACGACAAAGTTTAGTTGATCGCGTCCGGGGTAATCACGTCCGCTGGCAGAGACACACCGGCAAAGAATATCCAGCCCCGACATCCATCCTCCTCCGTTTTCACTCTCAAACAAACGAGCTTTGAAGAATTCAACAAGCAGGAAACATCCAGCCAGCTGAACCGCCCAGCGACTCGAGCTGGAAGGGAGGAAAAGTTGGAAAAAGATCGAGATGCGAGCACGCGCAGGGAGCACCCGACTATTTGAAGTCAGTGCCCGGCTCAAAGGGGATCGATGAAACGCACATCCATGCGATGATGCCTGATCGGGTTGCTGATATATCTCTCGTCGACCAGCCTCGAGATCACCCTGTGGCTGTCACGTCATAAACCGGCCACGAAACGCACTGAAAACGGGTCTCGCGACGCCCAGCCACGGGCTGCTGTCCTGAAACACTCTGCAAGAGGAGAACCAAAGCCACGTGTGTCAGCCGTGGTAGCCAGAAATGGCGCGGGACTCGCACGCGCAGCAGATGGTTATCCGGCGCAGTGCTCCCTTCATCAGAGCAAAGACGTGAACATTGGAAATCAGCTCGTGTCCGTGGCGGCGCCCCGGGAGATACGACATCGACACAGCAAACGGGCAGTGTTTTGGAGCCTCTCCGCAGCAGCAGCTTGGCACGGAAACAGGGGTGCGAAGGTCCGTCGGCTGTGCGCCGCCTCTCGCACTGGTGCTCGGAAGTTGGTCCGCCCAATCCTCGACAGTTGCAATGCACAGATGCCGATTCCAATCATGGTCGGTCTCGTCGGACCAAGTTGAGATATGGACAGGACACGTGACTGTGCATCTCACATTTGATTGCAGGACAGGCGCGGCGCCGGTCTAAGGAGTTACTTACATATATGGCATCATTTCGGCAAGCCTCCGGCTCCTAAGATAACCCCGTTCGGTAGCCGGCAGCTGTGGCCCGCACTCCGGCAGATCGCGATTAATGTGGCCCACAATGAAAAATCTATATTTTAGATATTGCAGTACAAATGGTTGAATACAAAGTACATTGTGATATTTAAACTAATGTGATGTGTCAAAGGTACCCCAATTGATCAACTATTGCAGCAAAAAACGTTTCAAAGATAAAGGAAATATTGGAACCAAATTCCTGACACTCATTTGGTGGCACAAATATCAGCATATTGGGCGCCATAATGTCGCCCCAAAAGTAGCAAAATGTTTTAGTGCGTTACTCAGCTCAATCTCTTTGAAAGAAAGTTCACAATCCACACTAACAATATTGGCCCTATTGCGGCGTAAAAAAAATGCAGCCCAATATCACACATATCGGGCCCCAAAATATCTATCGGCTGATGATCGACAGATCATCTGTCGATCATCAGCCGAGCATCCATCCATACATCACATCTTCTTGTATGACAGGCTCAACTCAGCGGGATAATACATTATACATGATCGATTATCTGTGATGGAGCGTAGATACAGAATATACAGTTGATAACTACGACATGTGCAATTGAGTAGAATATAATCAAGTGGGGGTCGCTCATCAGTGGAAGTTGACAAGAAATTCTTTATGCACGGCCTCGAGGTTCTTGGCCATCCGCCCAGCAGCACTGTAGCCACGGATCCTTGCCTTCCAGTCACCGTTGTTGAGGACTACGGCTTTGTTCTCCCGCATCTGCTTCAGAACTGATTGGAACCACTGCTCGCAGTCTGGCGTCCACCAACCGACATTCAATCCCGAGGTGAAGAACGTGCCAGGTTGAGGCCACCAGGACACACGTTTCTCCTGGTGGCCGCTGGGTGCGTTGCGATTCAAACAGTCTAGGATCACGTCAGAGAATTTGTGTTGTGCTTATAAAAAACTTACTCATTTCGATACGGTACACCCCGAGGACAAGATCCTCTTCGTCTTGAGTCAGAGCATGGTAGTACAGTGCGTTGTCGTCGACTAGCTTGATCCGTTGCTCCGCGGTCTTGATGTCCACCGTCTGCGCCTTGAGTTCCACATCTGCGCTGGGGATGACCAAGCGCGCAAGACGCGCAATGACACCTCCAGCCTGGAGGGCAAGACGTCCACGCGGCGAGAGGAGGAAGCGCCGAGCAAGATCCCAGTACGCAAGAAGATCTTGCGGACTGGGGATATACCCCTGCGGGCGAACTCCCAGACCAGCGAACCGGTAAAGATCGGCGTTATAGGATGAGGCACCGAACGTAGGTGCTGAAACACAGATTTCGAATGGAGCGCCTAGATCATGGAGTAGCTCGATGAGCTCGGACCATGTCTTAAAATGGCGGCGGAAAATGTGCATGACCGTGGTGGCATTGAAGAGCAGCAGCTCACGCTTGAGTGGGTCTGCCGATTTCGGTACAATGTTGTACCCGGTTGAACGGTAGGCCACCTGGGATATCCCTTCCAGCAGCGAGATGATGACGCCGCACTCCTTGCACATGGCGTCCACGAGCTCGGGATTGTGGAGGTCGAAAAGCTCCGGTGGCATATCGGCGAGAGTCTTGCCTTTGTCCAGCGCCTTCAGCAGCGCCCTGGCCGCATCACTTATCCAAGAAGGTGTAGAAGATGTTCCGTTTCCTAAGAAGTAGGCCGCGACGGTGGATTTCGCCATAAGCGCCTCGGGGAAAGACTTCTCTCGGTCGTCGACAAGCCCAACCCGGTATTCGAGGATCGCTCGAGCGGGATGCTTGTCGGCGGGGTCAACCGCCGGTGTCATCCAAGAGCTGTCTTCCATGCTGCTTTCCGCGTGATAGCTTGCGAAATGCGCAAGGACAGCATCTATGTTGTTCAGCGCTGACCGAACTTCTGCGGAAAGGTCTTGAGGCAGATTGGCATCGTAGTCGTCACTGAAGTCAGGCGGCTGCTGCGCAGGACCTGATTGCGAAAGAACTGCCTGGGAGGGACCTGACGGCGGAGGGTATGGGCGCATGCACGGCAGGGAGTCATCGCTGTCCCATCCGTCGTCGGAATATTGAGGCAGCGCATGGGGATCTAGTGCCTTGCACAAATCCCACTCGTTCTGATGCGAGTCGTACACCATCTGGGAATCGGCAAAGTCTTCCCATTCATCCTCCGCCTCCACACGTGTGATCGAGCGACGGACCCAGAAGTTGTCGACTTGATCCCATTTGAACACCCGCGCCCCTTGCTTGCCAGGAGCGGCTTTCTTCTCAGCATTCTTCTCGCGCTGCAGCCGCCTGTTTCTCTGCGCAGGAGTTTCAACCTGCTCTCTGCGATCGTTCGCCTCCTTTCGGCGAGCAAAGAAATCGATATAGCTTTGGCCTGCGTGTTGACCGCTGTGGGGCTCGACAGGTGGGAATTGGCGTTCCTGGGTGTCCAAATGAGCGTAGTACTCGGGATTGGAAAACGTTCCCCATAAACGCATATTCGACTGCACGAAGACGTACTCTTCACACGCAACACTCTGCAATGTGAGCTGATTCAGTGCGTGAATCGTCTCCTGCACGTGCAGACGGATCTTCTCCATCGAGGGATAGCGTTCAAGATGGCTCGCGTGACTGACGGCACTGAGACCTTCACCCAGGAAGAAGTAGATCGGTGGATGGATGGGCGATGAGTTCCTGATGAGAAGCTTAAACAACCAGTCGAGCGCCGAGGCATCATTCAGCGTGAGGTCCAAGATGATCCCTGCCGGATGGCGCAGGAAACGTTCGACTACTGTTTCTACGGCATCCATCAAGTGATTCGGGAGGTCGAGGCTGACCATCACTCCTGTGCGCCAGGTTTCGCGTTGGGGAGAGGCGTCCAGAATTAGGAAATACAGTGTGATAGCACTGAACAGACGCACAAAGGCATCTTGGGCGGAGAAGACTGCTCGGAACAGGTCGGCTTCTGACGAGAAGGATTGCGTGTAGTGATATGAAATGGGCCGACTTTGCATAGTCCCAGATTCCGGCCGAGAATGAAGTCCTGCCATGTGATCCTGCAGAGACCATGCGAGTTTGTCCAAGAACCCCTCCAGACTGGCCCACCGAAGAGCGATGTCCTCACGGAGGACCCAACAAGCTGCCGTGTCGGACTGGAGCTTCCGCATCGTAAGGTGGCGCTCTGAGACATTCAGGATTCCCAGGAGATCTCCATCGAGTATGCGATGCTGAGGACTGCACATGAGATGAATCCGCCGAGGAGGGATCCAAGACATTGTGTGGAGAACGGGACCTTGGCCATTGCGGGGGGTGATTTCCGACAACGCCTTGCGGTTGGCGTTGAAGACGACAAAGATGCCGGTGTCGTTACGGACAACACCATGGAAATGAGGGGTGGTCTGAGCGCGGGTTAGCTCAAATCCTGAGCGGAAATGCACAGGGGACTTACTGTGAGAGTTGCCTTCTCGGATTCCGAAAGCTTTACCTGAGGTATGAGAATGTGCGATACACTATCTCCATTGTCGTCGGACGCGAGGTCAGCGACGGATGCGGAGAGACCGCTCGGCAGACGAGACGGTCCTCCTCTTGGACGCGAATTCGAGCCTCGAGACATGACACCGCGCGACAAACGCGTCGGTAGCGTGCCTCTCGACCCTGTCGACCCCCCATGGCTACTCGAAACATCGTGCGGCGCGCTTGATCCCGATGGAGTGCCACCATGCGGCAGACGCGTTGGTGAGCCCCGTCCTCGATTCGGCGACAAACGCCTGAATCCACCGCGGTTTCCGCCTCTGTAGTCCATGCGAGGAGTGGTGAAAGCAGCAGATAACTTTTGGTGACGGGTGACTGACAGATGATGTGACCGATCAGACGAGTCATCTTGGATAGTTAATCGATAAGATAGTACAAGAAAATCTATGCTAGAGAGTCCAGCTAATGTACAGAGTCTAGAGCGGGGATGGAAGGTACATGTGACAAACAACAAGACTGGTATGGCACATTCAGTCGGCCTAACAGTCAGTGGTCGACTCTACCGACCTGTACGCGACGTAGCGACCAGCGTTGGGCGGCAAAAAAGCCCGACTCCACCTTGATCTGTGAATACGACGTGGCGGAAGACGGCGGTTGACGAAGGCAAACCACCGACAAGTGCGGGATCATTCTGACCGCAGATTGAAAGATGGAGTATGGGCTAGAGGCACGAAGAACTTGGCCACGGCAGACGTGTTGCCTGAGCTGCAGGGACTATGCAGGAACCATTGCTACTCGACGACACACGTCTGAGTATACAAGGCAGACCGGAGTAGGCGCGGAGTCGTTATGGTCGTAAGTTTGAGGAAGTCCAGTCCAAGGCCGATCCATCTCGACGGCACACGTCTGAGATACAGGTACAGGGAAGTCAAATCCAAGGCCCATCCATCTCGACGACAAACGTCTGAGATGGATTGCGGGAGAGAGGGCGGCTCCACCTCGCGACGACAAACGTCTGCGATGGTGGAAGGCAAGGAGGGAGTTGATTGACAGCGACTTGTCAAATGACAAGTCATTTGATGCACGTGAGTGATCAGAGCACGTGCCGATCATGTGAACGATGGCCGATCAGATTGTCAATAAGCGTCAAGCTCGCTCTCTGCTCCCCACCCCCACCTCCCTCATCGTGCCAGACGTTTGTCGTCGGCACGCTTGGTGCATCTGAGACGTTTGCCGTCGAGATGCACTTTTTTTAGTGTCTTCGACGCTCAGACGTTTGTCGTCGAGCTGTCACATCTCTAGACCGCTCAAATCGGCGTCACTGCATGTCGCCCACCAGACGGCTCTCTTCTCGACGATTCCTGCGCCGTCGAGATGCAGTGTTCCGCCGGGTTCTCCTGAGATCAGTCTCAGCGATTGAGTATAAACGACATGGATGGACTGCTACCTTGGTGAGTTTCTGACTTATAAATCCCGGTCTCTCTCTGAATCTGACTGATCAGGCTGGTCTCTTCTCCAGTGTTGTCACGACAGTCATCACCGAAAGTTACAAGATGCTGGCCCCCGGACTGAGGTAGCCAGACCGTCGCCCCACTCAGCCAGACCGTCGTCCGACTCAGCCAGATCGTCGCCCGACTCAGCCAGACCTCGCACCACCACGCATGGACCATTCATCTCGACGACAAACGTCTGAGATGAGTTACGGGAGAGAGTGCAGCTCCACATCGTAGACGTTTGTCAGCCAGAGCGTCGGCCGACTCAGCCAGATCGTCGGCCGACTCAGCCAGATCGTCGCCCGACTCAGCCAGACCGTCGCCCTACTCAGCCAGACCGTCGCCCCACTCAGCCAGACCGTCGCCCGACTCAGCCAGACCGTCTCAGCCAGACCGTCGCCCGACTCAGCCAGACCTCGCACCACCACGCATGGACCATTCATCTCGACGACAAACGTCTGAGATGAGTTACGGGAGAGAGGGCAGCTCCACATCTCGACGACAAACGTCTGAGATGAGTTACGGGAGAGAGGGCGGCTCCACCTCGCGACGACAAACGTCTGCGATGCTGGAGGCGAGGACTCGAGGGAAAGTGATCACAAGTCATTTGATGCACGTGAGTGATCAGAGCACGTGCCGATCATGTGAACGATGGCTGATCAGATTGTCAACAGGCGTCAAGCTTGCTCTCTGCTCCCCCCCCCACCTCCCTCATCGTGCCAGACGTTTGTCGTCGGCACGTTTAGTGCATCTGAGACGTTTGCCGTCGAGATGCACTTTTTTAGTGTCTCTGACGCTCAGACGTCTGTCGTCGAGCTGTCATATCTCGAGATCCCTCAAATCGGCGGTCCCCGCATGTCGCCCGCCAGATGGCTCCACTCGTCATCTTGCTCTCTTTCCGACGATCCCCGCGCTCATATGGCGAAAGCTCGCGCATGTCCATGCATCAGGCGTATGTCGCCGGTGGCCATTACCATTCCATGATTATCGCTTGCCGGTCCCTCTGCGGTCGAGTGTCATCAAAAGATGTGAATCAATAATTGGGATACAAGTATCAACAGCCTCAAGCACCCAGTAGGCGTCGTACGGCCTGGCTCTCCTTCGCCTTCGCGTCAACTCTACTATCTTGGATTCGTTCCAGCCCAGTGCGGATGCTCTTGATGTGCACATGCACCGGAATCCGCGATCCCGTCAGCTCGGGGGCAGACACGCGTTCCCGGAGATCCTCGATGTCGTCGCTCATCTGAATCAGTGCCTGAAAAGCTGATACGACATGTACAAGCGCCTGCTGCCGATACTGACCCAGTCCCTTCAGCAGGTCCAGATGTTCCTGGTATCCGCGCAATGTCTTGCGATTACCGCCCAGGACGGTCCACAGGTCCCCGAGGAGCTCCGCTTTCGCAGAAGAGAGGGAAAGGTTCTCTCTTGTCACAATCTCGTGGATGACGGAGAGTTGCTCTTCGAGATTGTTCAAGTTCCACATGTTCAACTCCACTTCAACCACTAGACGCTGGAGCGTGGAAGAGAGATAGTCGAGAGAGGTTTCAAAAGTGTCCAGGACTATCCCTGTGGTGTGGTCTTTCCAGGGAGACAACCGGTTCCAGAAGTTCCAGAGGGACGGCCGTTGCTGCTGCGACGCTTCAATCGTATGAAGCGCGTAATCATTGACCGCCATGATGCTGTAAGATGTAAGTGTAGTCCACCGCCGCTCAAGGAAGATGGAGACTGACCCGTCGACAGCCCCAGCAACCTTCGCGCTTAACTTGTTCAGTGCCCGCCCAGTGGCGCGCGCATCGTTCACGAATCCTCGGAGTGTATTCTCCAGCATATCCCGGCTCCGCAGATCGCTGACCCCCACCAACGTCACTAGATCCGACGTTGCCATTTCCGCCTTCTTGATTTGCGTAGCCAGTGCTGCACCGGAGGTTGACTCATCCAGCAACTGCGCGAGCGTCGTGCTCTGCAAGTCCACCAGCGAAGGGAAGTCGGCCCACTTCGCGGGGCCGGGTCCGACAAAGGGCACCGTGCTTGTCGGTGGGGCGCACAGAGAAGCGCTACGAAGGCCAGGAATGAAGCAAAGCGGGCGGACCGCCCTCTGCAACGTGTGCGTCATGACGCTGAAAAGGAAAACTAGCATCCATAGGAAGAGCAGGAGCGACAGAGGGATCCGTAACAGCAAGATGGCGCGCTTGAGGATGTCGAGAACATAGCGTCCGGCAAAGGCACTGCCGTCTGCCGCGTGTTGCCTGGTGATTAGATGTTTTGGCGCGGCGGGAACGCGAGCGTAGGGCTTCATGGGCCTTTGAGCTCGTCTTCGAATGAATCTACTTGCAGCCCTTGGCGAAATGTCTTCCTCGACGTCTTCCCAAGTATCATCCTCAGACTGTCTTGAGTCTCGAGTTCACGACGTGTGGGGCAGCTGCGCTCACCTTCTGTGTCGCTGACATGGCAGTTGTGTGGAGAGAGTGTGTGAGTGGCACCAAAGGCATCGTGTATCAATGGGCTCTGTTTCAAAGAAGTTTCAATGCCGCAGTTTCCAAGGCGGCAGACCGGGCCGATGAAGTGCACAGCCACTCAACACAAACTCGACCCAACAACCAGCACTTGTCTTGCCTCTGCGCAATCACCATCCATTCCCCTCACCTCTGTCAAACGTTTGTCGTTGACAGAGTTTGCACTCGTCCGACGTCTGCCGTCGTCGAATGCCGTCGTCATCCTCCTATACGTGTGAGCGCTGCCCTCTAGAAGGCTTCCGGAATCATAGAGTGGCAAAGACTCAGAGAGTGGCACACAAAATCGAGATTGCGCAATACGAGAGAACTACTACTCAGCACCTCAATGTCACGGAGAGAGATATAGTTGTTGCGCCCGAACAGCCAGTTGTCGGGCATGAGATTCAGGAGCCCGACTTGCAGGATGCATCTATGCATGCAGAGCCAGACGCCGACCCGACCACTCTGGAGCTTGAGAGGCTCGCCAGTCTTCTGACTGGTTTGGTCATTCTCGACGAGGGTGAACAGTCGCATCGCGAAGCGCAATCCAAACTCTTCAGCACTCGTGACGAATTTCAAGCCAGTGTACCCGATGTGCCGGTCGCTTTCATGCCCATTGCACCCGCGCAAGCTCTCAGCGGCGTCGAATCTGTGCTCAAGGCCCAGTCTCTTCCGCTCTCACCGTCGGTGGTACAAGCCCACCATGTCAATATGGGTCTATGCCGCGATATGCTGCAGCGAGTTCGCAATGCCATGGCCGAACTTGAACTCCAGCGGGCGTTTGACCTTACCCCCAGTGCCACCGTCGCGCTGGTGACTATAGTCGACTCCGCCACCCTCGTTGTTGGCGAAGCGGGCCGACTTATTGCCAGTCTTCTGCCCTCTAGCAAAGCAAGCCCTCGGAAGCGACTCAGGGCAGAAACACAAGCAAACAAGGAATTATCTGCGATCTTGAAGGACATCCGGGAAGAGGCCGAGACACTTGACTCGCTCATTGATGTCATCGGCCGTTTTCTTCCGCCTCAGACCAAAGAGGTCGTACATAATTCTGGTATGTGATCCCTCGCTCGTTTGATTCATTTGGCTCATCTACATTCACAGATCATCACTTCGTGAACCCAATTGCCAAATTCGATGTCACTGCTCAACTCTCCATCCTTCTCGCCCTCATCTGCCATGTCGTCGTCGGCATCAGCGGTGATGCTGTCAATCTGATCCTTGCATTTGTTAATGCGATCATACAAAGCACTATGGCCCTTTGTTCACACAGCACGCGCGCCGATCCTACGCAGGAGTATCTACTTAAGCAGCTACCCACGTCGCTCGAGTCTGTGCTTCGCCGGTTCAAAATAGATCCCAGTACAACAGTCTACGCGACTTGCCCGTCCTGTCATCATACACATGCGCCATTGCAGGACCGACTTAGTGGCGAAGCTTCCTATCCGGAGGTCTGTCAAGGATATATCTACCCTCAGCGAGGCGAACGTCATGCCTGTGCAACACCGATTCTAGAATGTCGTCAGGGCAAGTTGCGTCCTATCAAGCCATACGTCTTCACCTCCTTCATCGATTACATCGCTGCAATGCTCTCTGATGCTGATGTTGAAAGAATGTGTGAGAAGGCGTGCGATGACGCGCTGGCGGCTGTCCGCGAGGCTCTCTCCACGAACCCTGACGCGTCTGTCGCGGAGGAACGGGTGAACAGTGTCTTTGAGGCCGCATTCATGCGCAGTTTCAAAGGTCCGGTGCCTGATAAGCTGTTCATACAGAGAGATGGTCGCATGCGCCTTGCCTTCCAGGTCATGCTTGACTTCTTCAATCCAAATGGGACACGGAAACGTGGAAACCACAATTCCATCGGGATCTTGGCCGTCGTCAACCTCAACCTGCGTGAGGACATCCGTTATCGCCCCGAATACATGTGGCTCAGTATCATACTTGGTCCAGAGGAACCCAACCATGATCAGATCGGCAACTACATCCGCCCTCTCATGGACTCGTTTGTTGTTGGATGGGAGCAAGGCTTCCGACTCTCCCGTACTGCTCTTCACGAATCTGGCCGCAGCGTGGACATTGCTCTCGTTATCAACGTCAACGATCTACCGGCAACACGAAAGGCTCAAGGCATGGCTGCTGCCAACGCAAATCAGTATTGCTCAATATGTGACTGCTACGGGACTCATACCATGTACAATACGGAGTTCCATGAGTGGAAACGACGTGATATTGTAGTGCTCCGTGCCAAGGCTTACGAATGGCGAGACGCAACTAGCCAGGCTGCTCGCGACGCCATCTTCTCAGAGTACGGTGTTCGTTGGTCGGAATTCTGGCGTCTATCATACTGGGACCCAACTCGCATGGCTGTCGTTGACGCAATGCATTGTATTCTAGAAGGCCTGGTTCACTACCACTGTCGTCGAGTATTGCGAATAGACACCAAGTTGGCAAAGCGCAAGGAGACAATGGGTGCAGCGTTTGAATATAACTGGCCAGAATATGACACTGCAACATGTCATCCGGCCTGCATACTGAGGAACGAGGCACGAGAATTGGTTATGATTCGCGCCATTCAACAGAAGCTCGTCCAGCCCCTTCTTCCTGACAATGAGGATGAAGATGATGATGACGCGGCCATCGATGAACATACGGCTGATGCTCCCGATCCACAATTCGTCCCAGCGCTCACTATCAACCAGTTATATCAGCAGCTGATGAAGATCAATCTACAGCCCCTTCGCTGGGTCCTTTCTTCGCTTGGGCTCAATGTGAACCCAAATTCCATCGCGTCCAAAAAGGCCTGTTGCAACCAACTGATTGCGTGGGTGAGTATTGCCGGTGTTTTTGTCCGGACTATTCATTGACCTCACTGTAGCGCCGCACTCAGCCACTGGCAAGCACCTTGTTTGTCCCTCGGCCCATCAACTTGGCCAACATACATTTCATTCAGCGTGTAATCAAGCATACCACCACCCCGGCGTCGGTGGACTCAGTCCCAAACAACTACGGAGATAGCAATGCAGGGACGATCAAGGCGGCTGAATGGCGCATCTTAGCAACGATCTATCTCCCCATCGCTCTCGTACTGCTCTGGGGTGATCATGATCCCTTGGAGCAATCTCCGCGCATGCTCAAGGTCCTGGATCACTCCATGGCGCTGTTCTCTTCTGTCATCCTAGCCTGTCGGTACACCATGACCGCTATGCGAGCAACTCAATATCGAAGCTTCTTGAAGGACTGGGTGGATGGTCTGGCGACGAATCATCCTCATATCCGTTCTCATGCGATGCGGCCTAACGTGCACATGGCCCTTCACATCTACGACTTCCTTCTATTATATGGACCAGTTATCTCTTGGTGGACATTCCCCTTCGAGCGCGTGATTGGATTCCTCGAGAGGATCAACACCAATGATCATATTGGCGGGGAACTCGAAGCCACCCTGTCCAAATCATTCATGCGTGGCGCCAGTATCCGACGATGGTTGCGGCGACCAGATTGTCCGCCTGTTTTTGTCGAACTCAAAGCGCTTTTCGAGAAGACATTTCCAGCATATAACCCACCCACCGACTCTCCTCCACTTGCCAAGGATGGAGAACGTGCACACTATCGACGGAGTGGAGTCAACTTCTCTAGAGCCAGTACCCACCTGGGCAACAGTTTGGTAATTTATTATCCCCCTGGCTCTCACAAGATGATCGCCGGCAGTATTGAGAGCATTCTCGGGTGCGGGGAAGACATTGTATTCAAGATCAGACGTCAAGCACCATTAGCTACAGGGATGCGAGATCCGTTCTCACGTTACAGACCATTTTTTCCTGCTTATACCTACTCATCCTCCATGGCCGACATAGTAGATACCGTCCCGATGCACGATGTAGTATCTCACTGTGCCCGCTTCCACTTCTCTGGTGACCGTTGTGTAATTCTTAACCTGTCCGTAAGTTGATTTTGCAATAACACATCTCTTGGTACTTGATGTCAAATGAGCGGCCACAGAGCGTTGGATGAGTGGCTGATCATCAGCTGATCATCAGCCGATGGATATTTTGGGGCCCGATATGTGTGATATTGGGCTGCATTTTTTTTACGCCGCAATAGGGCCAATATTGTTAGTGTGGATTGTGAACTTTCTTTCAAAGAGATTGAGCTGAGTAACGCACTAAAACATTTTGCTACTTTTGGGGCGACATTATGGCGCCCAATATGCTGATATTTGTGCCACCAAATGAGTGTCAGGAATTTGGTTCCAATATTTCCTTTATCTTTGAAACGTTTTTTGCTGCAATAGTTGATCAATTGGGGTACCTTTGACACATCACATTAGTTTAAATATCACAATGTACTTTGTATTCAACCATTTGTACTGCAATATCTAAAATATAGATTTTTCATTGTGGGCCACATTAATCGCGATCTGCCGGAGTGCCGGTTCCGGCTAGAAGCGCGCTCATGATTTCGGTGGCTGTGCTTGCGTGTACTACCATTCTTCTCTCATCATAGCGGAAAACCAGTTATTCCAAACGCTCGACTTGCATCTCTGTCACTATCTCGAGCACAACCAAATATAGATGTCTACCCGGCCGACCGGCCTCTTCTCGGACCCCATTTTGCGCCGCAACCTAATCAATCAGTGAGCATTTTTCTCCCTTGGGATTAGCTTTCGACATAAACATACACCGGGATTAGAATTGAGACGAGCCAACCACTTCACGAGTCTCTGCTAACGTCACAAATAGCCGCACCACCGTGATGATCGCGTGAATATATATTCTCTGACAACTCATCTCCGCGGGCTCGGGGGCCCAACTTGGAGAGGGTTTGCAGAAGTTCGATCCCTATCGAGATGTCTGCAGGCTGATCACCCAGGAGTGCACATCGCTCACTGTCCATTCGATGCTATCTAAGACCCGGTCGGGAATACTAGTCCACATCTGGGATCGTGCGTTTCCGTAATGCTATTGCGTCGTCACGGGCCCCGTCGCATCTCTCGCCACAGATATGTCTGGAATGTGGCACCTAGTCTCCCTTCTTAAACTCCCCCGATTCTGGATTACGGCCAGTCCACCCACCTGCATCTCCCTTCCTACCCAAGATAACCATGGTCCTCACGATCTTCAACTCTCTTGCCTTCCTGCTCGCTTGCACACTCTACTCCGCTTTTCGCTATCGCTCCAGACGACGCTCCCTCCCTCTGCCCCCCGGCCCACCGAAGAAGCCGCTCATTGGTAACCTGCTGGACCTGCCCACTGATCAGCAGTGGCTGACCTTCTCAAAATGGAGCAAGGAATACGGTACCGGGCTGTTCGATTGCGTGCCTGGAACTTTATAGATGCTTACTGGATCGTATAAGATTCTGACATCATACATTTATCGGCCCTGGGGACGTCGTTTGTCGTCCTGTCATCAGCCGAGGCGGTGAAGGAACTGTTTGAGAAGCGCTCGGCCGTCTATTCTAGTCGGTGAGTAGCCAGATCATGGGCCTTGAACTACAACTGACTCCCGATGGAGGGTCCAAGCACCGATGATGAACGAGCTCATGGGCTGGGGTGGCTTCGTCGGATTCTTGCCTTACGGAGCAAGATGGTGCGCAGAGACTCTGGCGCGCCCTGATTCGATGACTCAGACACCGCGTTCACAGGCGGAGCCACCGCAAAGCTTTCATGCAGGCATTCAATCCCGAAGCGGTGAAGCAGTTCCATTCCCAGCAGCGCACGGGTGTGCACAATCTGCTACGCCGGATCCTCGCGCAGCCCAGCGGCGACGTTATCGAGCAGTTTCGGCTGTGAGTGTCCGGGCACTGTCCTGCTGCTGCTTATCAAGGCGTGGCATCTAAATATACTGGTAGATTCGCCGCAGAAATCATCATGGATGTCACATACGGCATCAAGGTTCGCACTTCCGACGATCCGTACGTGTCCATCGCCGCGGAAGCAATGCATGGGCTGGCGGTTGCCAGTGTTGCCGGAGCGTTTCTCGTCGTGCGTACCCGACATCATCCCATCCTATCCAATCGCTCAGATGAGAATTTTCCGGCAGGACATTATCCCACCGCTCAAGTATATCCCGAGGTGGGTCCCCGGCGCCGGCTTCAAACGCCAGGCGCAGAGGTGGTGCAAAGCCACCATGGCTGCCGTGGAAACGCCCTTCAATGAGACGAAGCGCATGATGGTCTGTCGCGTTCTTTTCCCTTGGGAAGCGATCCTCAGTAGTTCTGACCGCACCTCACCGATCAGTCCGCGGGCACGGCCTCCGCGTCCTACTCTTCGCTTCACCTGCGCACGCTCGAGGATCCGTCTTCTAGTCTGTCGCCAAACGCCAAGATCGCGCACGAGGAAGTCGTCAAGTACACCGCGGCCGCGATGTACGTCGGCGGCGCGGACACGATCGTCTCGGCGCTCGGCACGTTCGTCGTCGCGATGCTGTTGTATCCGGACGTCCAACGCGCTGCGCAGCAAGAGATTGACGGCGTCTGGGGACACGGGAATTTGCCGGACTTTGGCGAAGACGCCGAGGAGCGCATGCCGTACCTTGCGGCCTTGATCAAGGAGGTCCTCAGGTGGCGCAATGTCACAGCCGTGGCGATTCCCCATCAGAGTGAGACAGAGGACGAATACAGGGGATATCGGATCCCCAAGGGCTCCGTGGTCATAGGAAACACCTGGTTCGTCCTTCTGCTCCTCTGATCATCGCCAGAGTCTTGACTCGGAATCCAGGGCGATTTTACACGACGAGGTTCGAATGGATCCACACAAGTGTCTCAGGCTCATGATCAAAAACAGGAAGTGTACCCAGACCCAGACGCGTTCAAACCCGAGCGGTTCTTACTCAACGGCAAGCTCAACAAGGACGTCCGCGACCCCGAGGCGTTCATCTATGGCTACGGGAGAAGGCAGGTCTCTCCTCGGACCCATGGTCACCCGACACTACTCAGCAGGCATGAATAACACAGGATCTGCCCGGGCCGATACATGGCGTCGTCGTCGCTCTGGCTCACGATCGGATCCCTGCTGTCCATGTTCGACTTCGTCAGGATCGAAGAAACGCAGGAAGCAGAGCCGCAGTACGGCTGGTTCTGGGGCCTCGTCTCGTGCGTCGTCCGCTCCCAGGAGTTCTGTTCTCGGAAAGACCTGACGTGTCACAGAACCCCGCTGCCGTTCAAGTGCACGATGCGGCCCCGCTCCGATAAGACCGTCGCTGCGATGCGCGCCACAGAGATTTAACGGTGTGCGTGAGAAACAGTACTGTAAGAAGAGAACCCTATGTCTGTATGTAATACCTGGCAGCGCGGATCGTTGCAACGAAGCGCATGATAATGAAACCCATCATCCATCTGACAGCTATATTTCGTCCGAACTAGAACTCTGAGAAGACGAGAACAGCCCCATGCTGAGACCATGGTGAACGAACACTCGAGCTTCCAGTGATGGTTCCGGCCCCCCGTCCGATTGATAACCCAACAGCTCAACAAATGCTCCAGACCACCAGCAGCATCTCCACCTCTTTTCAGACAACCCCTGGATCTCTCGCGAATGGTTTGGCGCGGAGAGAGGGATAGACTTCAGCTCTTGCTAAACAACTAAAACAGTACGCTGCCACTACTGCAGTCTTGACACTCGACAAGCATTTGATTTTACTACAATAGAGATCTTTTTAAAAATAGAAAACTCAAGCATTTATGTAATTTTGCAGCCTCCAGATATTTTTCGCCGATTTTCTCGCTCTTCATGTTGAGTTTTGACTGACGCGATTACAAATCTTGAGGGATGCCGAATATCACCGAGGAGTTGGCACGTCACATCACCGAGGGAGGAGGGATGTTCCCGCACCTCCCCCCCGTAGTATTTCCAACATATCGCAGAATCATCTAGATTATGCACCTTCAGAGTTGAAAAGAAGCCAGCTCATCGTTGCAGTGAAGTTCAGTTCGTTGTATCATACATATATATAACATTCGCGGAGACACAACATATCAGGCTATTAATCATTCTCATCAACGCCGGACCCTCAATTCGGGAACCACATCATCTGTATCGGAAACGCGCCCTGCCCCGCACACGCCAACGCCGCGCCCTGGTTCGCCGCACAGAACACCGACGTCGTCGTGCCCCCGGGGTGCCCTGACACGAGCGCCGCGCACCCGAGCGTCTGGCCGTTCAGCACGAAGTTGAAGTCGACACGCTGCTTGCCCGTGGCCGTGCCGCACTGCAGGTCGATGTTGGCGGTGCCAAGCGAGCCTTGCGTGCCGGGGAGCGTGTCGAGCATCGCGACGACGTTGGTGCACTGGCCGCCAATGGAGGAGGCGTCGATTGCGAAGTAGTGCGTGTCGGTGAGAGAGGTGCCGGAGCCCACCGCGTAGAAGTCCTGAGGGAACGCCATTGAGATGTGCTATCGCGATGGGTACGGTAAACTCACCAGATTTCCAGCGCCCATGATGCGCTGCGGCTAGATGTTGAATGGAATAGAAGTGACGGTCGTTCCTCCGCCGCGGTATCCGACGTTGCCCAACGTACCAGGAACGTTGCAGGAGGGCAACCGAGGCGCAGCGGGCAGCAAGTTCTATTGAACGTCAGTCGTCAATTCCCAGGTTGCACCACGGATCGAGCATACCAGGTAGTTGAAGCTCGATGGGTTATACTGTGAGCAGGTGAGCAGAAACTCAAGACACACCGTCCGAAATGGCACACCTGATTCGATGTGTACAAAGGGAAACAGTTCGGCACGACACCATTGTTCGTCAGCGCCGCCACAGATTGCATCTCCGCGCGATAAAAGTTCCACCCATTCACCGCGCGTGACCTAAAGTATATGCCGATCAGACACGGAGTGTTTCGGTTGGAATCAGCAAGACCGAGGCTTACGTGCAGCCGTTGGGATAAGCGGAGATGACGCTGGTCAGCCAGTTCCGGAAGAGGACTGGCAGACTGTTGCTGTTGTCGATCACCACACTAGGCGTCACCTCGCTGAGTAATTGCTGGAATTGAGCCGCCGTGGCGCTGAAGATGCCGCTAGTCTGCGCGAAATCTGAGTACTTTCAGTAGGAGATTCTTCACCGCAGGGCTGGGCTTACAGTCTCCGAGGGCGGCGAAGTTGCGCAGGAAGGTTTCGACGTCGTATATATCCCCCGCACTGTCCTGGAAGTTGATGATCGCTGCAACGCTTCCTGCCTGTGGTGGATTTGCCGCGGTCGCCATGTTATTGTTTACAACGTTGGATTTCGCTAAAGCATCCCGGTCAGCTATATGCCAATCAAATTGCTGAATAGCTACATACCTTGATTCAACGGTTTATCGACCCAAACCATGTTAGCGGTCTACAAAAGTCAGCAGAGAGTGGATAGTCGACCTGCCACGCACGTTATCTATGGCCGCGAGGATGGCTGGCCCAAGCATTCCACCACCCACACGGACGTAGTTTATCACGTCGTTAGTAATCCTGTGCGGTGTGAGTCAGTCCAAGAGACGGGTTGCATAAAAAGCACGTGCCATGCACAGTTGGCACCAACATTCCCCCCTCCTCCGGAATTGGCCAGGGCGCTGAAGAATTGACTGATATACCCAATCCTGAATCACATCCATTAGCACCAAGTAAGGATGGTACAAAAGAAACGTCGGTCGCACTCAAACACGTGCTCCTCTGTGCGAGAGTAGAATGTTAGAGGCTGATGCACGCGGAAGATTGAGAAAACTGACGGTTGGTCGACGGCGCTTGAAGCGGATTGTTCGGCTTGGCGTTCACATTCGTTGAGAGCAAATTGGTGCTCGTGTAACCCCCTGCGTCGAGCTGAACGAAGAGATACCGGCCGGCGCCCAGATTGACCGAGTTCGGAGAAGTGAGCGTGATATGGCAAGGCGGGATGTTGGCCGCTGTGCGAGTGCCATCAGCAAAATGAAGGACTAACCAGGGGATCTGTGCCACGCACTTCGACCAGCCCTGCGCAGGATCTCAGATTGATTCCTCTCCACTCGCTCTTCAACAACCGGCACCGCCGCGCTCTTCTTAGCCCGCTGAGGATGCCGCGCCTGCACCGCCCTCCGCCGCGCATCCGGGTCCGAGCCCAGCCCCGACCAATCCGCATTCGCCGGGTCGTCCGGCAAACTATAGCCCGCCGTTCTCGTAGGGCACGCCGCATTCGACGTCGAGCTCGAGCTCGAAGTCGTACTCGTGGTGCTCGTCGACTGCGTGTTCTCGGGGTTGCTGTTCGGCGTCGGGATGCTGAATGGATTCGTCCACGGCCCGACCCAGTTCGGCGGCGGGAGGACCACGGGCGTGATACCGCCGATGATGCCGACGTCCGCGGGTGGGCAGCCGCTGATAATGCCGCCGAATAGGATGGACCAAATGCCGTTCCCGCCGCCGCAACCGGGGCGCGAGCGGTCGCCCGGCGGCCCGGTGACGACCACGGGCGGGGAGGTGCTCTTCGGTGGGATGGTGATCGTCGAGGACCAGGTCGGGGTGGACGTCAGCGGTGCAGTGTACACGATGACCGTCGCGTTCGGGGTGGGCGAGATGTTGTTTGCTGCAACCGGTCAGCGATGGGGCATGCAGAATAGCAAAGGCAAAGGCAGGCGGGTACAGTACGCACTGAATGTCGGCGTGATCGCGCTCGGCTGTGAGATGCCTGTTGGCACGGGCGAGTTGATAGGTGTTCCGCCCGAGTTCAGAGTGATCGGGACGCCCTCCACGGTGACCGTGCTGGTCACCGTCGGGACCGGCACGATCACGGTCGTCAGCGTCTTCGTTACCACCGACAGCGAGGTCACCGTAGAGCCCGTGGTAGCGGTGATCGTCGCGGTCGAGGTCGAGGCTGCCACGACGGATGTGCTCGTGATCGTGCGCAGCGTGCCGGAGATGGCGGTGAAGATGGTACTCGTGGTCGTAAACGCGGGGATGACGATCGTTCTCGAAGTGGTGAAGGTGCTGCGGGAGACGACGGAAGTGACAGTCGAGGTTTGCACGCCCGCGGATTGAACGAATGTTTCGGAGCGGGCTCCGGGGGACGGGAACGGATTGGGATCTGGTGTTAATCAGTGAGTACCCAGCCATGGTGAGTGAGCTGTGTGTGCTCACTCCATTGGATAGTTGTCCACAATCCCGCCCCAGAGCCCGAGCCCGAGCCGCTTCCAGACCCACCCGTGCTGCCAGCTTCTCCGCCTCCAGCGCCCGGATTCGACAAGACCTGGTCAAGCGACCAGATGAAAGTTCCTCCAAAGCACGTGTTGCCAGCGAACGTGATCTTCTTCCTGTGACGTCATGAGCACAACGCGTCCTGCAGCTGACATATGATGCTTACGCAAAGGTATCTGCCTGATCGAACGTAATCAAAGACCCCTATGTGAAAGTGAGTTGAATTAGGATCCGCCTCAGCAGTGACGACGGGACGCACCTTATCGTCGAACCAGTACGTCTGCGTCGACGAGTCCAGGGTGGGCACGATCCCCGTTCCGATCAGATCATCGATCTCGAACTGGGAGAGGATGCCCGGCGTCGCCGTGCATGGGCCCGGGAACCCGCCGCCAGTCATGGTACAGTTGTAGCCCTTGCAGTTCGGATCGGCGAGGTTGTAGCTGCGGCCGTAGTACGCCAGTCCAAGGTTCACTGGCGTTCGCGTGAGACAAATGAACGGAAGGAAGTTGAGGCTAGGAGACGCGCTCACCGACGCCGAGGTCGATTCCGGCGCGGAGGTATAGCGAAACGCTGTCCTTCATGTCCAGGATCGATGTCTGCGGATTCGATACGGGTGCCTGATCCGTCACACTGGTGTCCCACGGCCCGTGGTAGTCGTAGGCTGCGATTGTTCAATGACGAGACCGACCTGACAAAATGCGAGAGGACTGACACATCATGTTGAGGTAGCTGACGCTCTTGGCAATCTTGTCGATCTCGAACCCTTTCAAGAACCAGAAGCCGGCAGGTGTGGCTGGCGGGGAGAAGTTGGAATCGGGATCCCGATCTTGAGCTCATACACATACCACAGGAGATGATCTGCGTGGGAAGCGCTTTCCGTAATTCTTGGAAGAAGGAGGTGAGGTTAGGGGTATCTGGTTTCATGGCATTCCATCATTATTTCTTCTGAGACTGAGCTGGAGCCGGGAAATACTTGCCAGTAGCAGGGGCAGACCGTTCGATAGCACCGGGGTATTCAAAATCGATGTCTACGAGTCACAAGAATGAGAGTTTGCTTTCGAGCCAGTTGTTTTCGCTTACCGATTCCATCCAGCTTGAACGTGCTAAGCATGCTTTGAACCGAGGAAATAAAAGTAGCGCGGTTAGCGGAGGTGGAGATCATCACAGAAAACAAGTCTCGCGTGGGCTGCGATTCACTGCAAGCAAGCTCAGTCCATATCAGTTGAAAAAGTCATTTCAACGGCGTACGAGAAATCCCATCCCCCGACCGCGATGATCACTTGAAGATTCGGGTACACCGCCTTCTGCGCGACCAATTGTTGAAGAAGGGGCGTATCCCGACTGGCAAGTTCTGAAGAAACAGTCTGTGTAAACAGATAAACCACCCCGGGAACTAGTAGGACTCACGGATCTGGAAACTCTGCGATATCGTCGCAAATGCGTAGTGCGCGCCGGTAAACCCAGACCAGTTGATCTGGTCCGGCGCAACGTTCGTCCCGCACGTGCGGAAGTCGCCCCAGCCGGCATAGTACCCGATCTTGCGCTTCAGCTGTGACCCCGAGCAACTGGGGACCGTCGGCTGCCCGCAGTTCAGCAGACATGGGTTCGGACCCTGTTTCATTTGCGGATGGTTAGCATGTGAGGGATAAGCAGGAGAGAGAGAGGACGCACGGTGGTGGTGCAGAACTGATCTGTCAGTCCACAGAACCCGAAGGCGCTGCAGCAGGCATTCAGCGGACAGCTCATATTCCCCTGGCTCTGAGGCCCGCATTGCGTTCCAGGAATGATGCTGCCATAGTTGTGAGCTTATGCAATCGAGTGTGGATATGCGGCGACACGCACGGGGGCGGAGGAGGCGTTCCAGTGGAGACACACATCGTATAGTTCACTTGCAGCGCAGCGCAGCCTGTGGATACTCAGCGACGCTGCTGCGCCCACGTGTCAACCGCGCCGACGCACCCTTCCAATGGAATGTGTTCGCATTCCAAGTTTCGATGTTGGCGGTGGTGATCGAAAACATGGCCGCAATCGCGGAGCACGAGTCGTTCGGAACCGTGGTATACTGCGTGTGAAGATCAGGTAACAACAGTTACGCAGAACAATCCGTTCGCACCGTCGCGCAGGAGCCATCAGGATTCTGTTGCGGCGGCGCGGGCGGTGTCCCAGACGATATGCATATCTTCTGACCTAGAATACGATGTTTGAGAGCCGTGCAGAGCACTCTGGCATCGGGCGCACCTATGGACAGCGCCGCGCAATTGAGGTTCGGGTTGAATCCCTGCAGCTGGGCGGTCGACAGCCCCGCGGCACTGGCGATCGAGAAGCACGTGTCGCCCGAGACGACGGTGTGGATGGTGCATTCTGGAGCGCGGTCGGCAACGGTCGCACTGGAGAAGGATACTAACGACGTACGAGCGGCGGATGCAACATTTACACTTCCCAGGAGCGGCAGAGCGAGCGCGGGGATCCCCCACGGATACTTCATGGCAGCCTAAGAGTCGGATGGGGAAATCGCAGAGGACTATTCTGAGCTTTTAACTCACTTATGTCGTTCTATTCGTAGGCATCTCCGTGCGTTCACATCTCATCACCAACGACTCCATTCAGTCGCTCAGCTGACGGCAGCTACGACAGCCGAGACTTTGTCCAGGGAGTGTTCTCGGCACCGAGAAGCTCGACAAATGTTTCATCTCTGACCCATGGCGCATGGCATTGGACCTTGCAGGAGTGAGAAGGGGCAGCTGGATCAGACGTGATCCGATCAATACGCCTATCAGCGGTCGGCCGTCGGCGTCCATGCAGTTTCATATTGCACAGACATCGCTTCTATTGCACTGGGCCAGCACTTCAGCACGTCGAGGGGTATGCAGACGACTCTGACTCCGTCTCTGGCGGCGTGGGGTGGGCAAGTGGCTGATGCTCCAGGCGCACGAGAAGTCGTCATTACGCGACAACCCCGGGGGCCAAGATATCTCCCCGAGTTCGAGAGAGAATTGGTCGCATTCTACATACGCATCATTCTTTTGGGTTCAGATGAGGCGAAATCATTCCCATCTATGACTCATCAGTTGCGAAATCCGCGTGCGTGCATATTCCATGAATTGATGCATGAAACATTGAAAATTAATGTCAATCGATTTTGGAGTCGCCTGTACGCATTTGGAAAAGCGGAGCTTCCGGGAGCCCCATGGATATGTACCGAGGGCTGTACTTCTGCCGCCCCCAGAACCAAGACTGCTCCGGCAGTATTTGGCATCAGTGGTCAAGCACGTGCCGGGATGCCGCCATCAAATATGTACTTTTTGGTAAAATACCAGCGGTATAAATACTGTCGTATGCAATAAGTAGCATAGGTTCTGGCCGAGCGATTATTATTTTACAACGAGAGGTTCAAGGCTCCGCCCAACCCGAATGCTCGTCCCTACGCGGTGGATAATGCACCCTCGTCGGGGCGTCTGGCTGGAATCTCGGCTGCGACTTGGTCTGGGACGACGCATCGTCGAGCGCATAGCCGCTATCTGCATCCGGCGTCATAGCGTACTTCGACCGGGAGACGCTGTCGAGGGGCAGTGCGTCGGAGAAGGCCTGCGTCGACCGGCTCTGCAGAGCACGAGTCAGCCAGCATACGCACAAGAGACAGAAATTAGCCGGATATGAGAACCCACCACGATCACGTGCGCACTCCTGCGATCACGACTCGCCAACGCAAAGCTGCTCGAGTGGGAGTGCCCGTCGGGCGTCTGCTCGAACAGCGCATTCGGCTCGTCGGCTTTCAGCCCTTCCTGTCGCCACGGCCGCGCATTAAGCCTAATCGAGTGGGTGGGTTCATGCAGGAATGGAGAGCGCGGGTGCAAAAGAACGCACGTGCTAATCAGCGTGTTGGAATAGATCTTGGACAGCGGGAAGTCGATGATGAAGTTGCTGCGATGATTCTGTAAGCACGAACCCACGAAAAGCGTCGGATTCTCCCGCTCACTAGGTGGTCCCCGGCAGTGCGATGTAGATAATGCAGTCCAGCAGCGCCGCAGTGGCTGTCATGAAACCCGTCTGGACGGTAACTGCCGAGAGTCAGTCAGCATCCGGGGTCACCCACGGCCAAGCACCGGACTCACGCCGGATGATCCGGTTTATATAATTGGCATCCGACGCCGATGCGATCCCGCCGCGGCGATTCCACAGCGACAAAACCAGCGACGCCGTGAGGAACACATCGCACGCCGCACTGCATCCGAGCCACGTGATGACCTCCGGCTTGAACGACGCGAAGCTCGCGAAGTCGCGGTGCCCTGCGACAACGACGGTGAGCCCCAGCCCGCCCGCGAGCGATCCGAGCGCGGTCGCAACGATCAGGCTGGGCACGAGCCAGTGGTGCGTTACGACGTGGATGCGCCACGCCATGAATATCTGGATGGGGGTGGAGATGAGCACCTGCGACGGGCCGTGTGAGCGCCGGATCAACGTCGATTGGGGTATGGATCGTGCGCACCGTCATGGCACCGTCTACGCAGAGCATTCAGTCAGGAATGCGTTCTGTCGCGTTAGGACCGTAATTTGCGCACCTGGGATCAGCACTATCCAAAGCCGGGTGAGATCAGTCATTCGATATCGCAATCAAGGGCAGAAGCGTACTGAGGGGCGATGTGATGAGTGCACCCGGAGTTCCTGTCAAGTTGATTGAATCAGTCCAGGGAGAAGAAGGAAGACGTCCCGTAAATTTGATGAGCTCACCATAGCGGAGAATCAACGGCTCGTAGACGATTCCCACGTCGCACACCCAATTTGCTGTTTCCATGAAGAGCAGATACGCGACGAGAATCTTGAACCAGCGGCGGTCGCTGGCCCGACCGTTTAGCTACTCCACACCAGGTCCACGAAGGGCACTTACCTCTTATACTGGTGGTAGTAGATGTACGTCTGAGACCCCTCAGTGCGCTGGACGAAAGCCGGTGCCGGGAAAAGGATACCTGTACGATGAGAACCTGTGATGATGTGATTCAGCAAGAAAGTTCAAATCACCAACGGTCCGGACGTACCCCAAACATGAGTGTGTTCAGCAGGATCCCGATGAGCAGAGGGCCGAATCTGCAGCAAGCTCAGCGTCGACTATCATCGGAGGCACTCGACTCTCACAGCGATGTGATGGGGGGAGGGCCTCCTCCGCTCGGACCGGGAGGGGCTTGGACTGGGGGATTTGCGGCGGGCGATGACATGGGCGGCAGGTGCAGAGGGAGAGGGAGAGAGAGGCGCCGGCTTGACGATCCGCAGGGATGGATACCTCCATCCCTATAATAGAGATCCAATGGACGGTATCAAACAATCCGAGACATAGAAGGGTCCTAAATTATCAGCTGCTCAGCCAATGGGCAGGCCTTCCCAGCCTGTTGCGTACGAGAATCCCTTCCATCATGCAGTAAGCATGCGCAATATCTGTGATGCGACGATCAACGCGGTGCAGATCGTCCCAGTTGCGTCCGAGGTCGAAATTAGCCGACGAGGGAGACATCCGTGGCGGGCGTTTCGAAAGTCGAGAAATGATGACCGCTGTGATCCATGGCGCAGGGCATGGCATGGCAAAAACTGTCAGACGGTGGACCATCGAATTATGCCGCTTACAGATACACGTGACCGCTGAGAAGACCCATCTTCTCACCAATACAGCCTCCGGTCCGTGTTCTCTCGGTCCTATGGGATCATGATGGGGGCAGAGGAGAAGCAGTTCTTAAATCTTGACACAGACGGATGACAGCAATCCCATCGAGTGATTTTCCCACGCGCGAGCCTCCCAGCTCACCTGACGTGGAAGCAAAAACCACGCTAACGGCGCTTACCGGTACGTACTCCCCCGGATTGATCAAGGCTTTGCAAACAATCAAAGGTCGCTGTGCGCTCGGCTCCGGATTCTGGCCGCGTAATACTGCTGGTGCGCAGCCCAAGGGAGAACATCACCTATATTTTAATCAGGGTGCGTCAGTAAGCACTCCCGCACACACCTTCACCCCGGCTCCGCACGAACTGAGCTGGTATCTCTGACTGCGCGGTGGTGGCTGACGTGTCGCCCCACGGAGCTCGATAAGGCAGTTGATGTCCGATCAGTTATCACTCCTTGAAAGCGCGCACAGCCGCAAACACGATGATTTGCATTGACTCGTCGCTCTGACTCCCCAAGCTCACGGGGAAGAGAGCTGAACTGGGAACTGTTTGATCTGCGCTCCACAAACCTGTTCAGGTCGATATTTTTCTGAGACGGCCAGGAATCATTGACAACAAGGACGGAGGGAGCAATTGACAGATTTGCGACCTAAATGGAAGCTGTAAAGCCAGCGACGATCTTCCGCGTACAGCTGCGGGGTGTATCAAATGGATGACCCTGTCGACAGTTACTCGGTGCACTCAATTGCGCGATGCCATGCAATCCAGCGAGCCGCTGCCCGACCTCCCCCCGAAGTGATCCTATCGAAGGGGAAAAGGCGCAAACTGACGTTCACCTCTACAGCCTTCAGTTTCGAGTCTAGATCAACTTTTATGGATGTATGAGTCAGTGCAAGCCTCCCGGGACGGATAAAAACCCCTTGCTAACTTTGGGTTTCAAGTCATCCCCTTCTACTCGGCGACGAGCTGTCTCTCATCCGCCCCCTCTTGCATCCTCAGAGCACCTCCCTCTGAAATCCAGGACTCATATGTCAATGACGGCGCGGAACTATCTGGCCTGCATGAACTGTCGGAGGCGACGCGTCAAGTGCGTGAACGACGGGGACTGGGAACGATCCTGCGAGAACTGTGTCCGGCGCCACGAGGGATGTGTCTATAAGACGATAAGAGAGCAGGAGGAAGAGGAGGGCCGCGCCAGACAGTCTATCTACCCGACCAATTCGCTGCAGCAGCAGTACTGGACGAACGGCGCGCAGCCGATCGTGCTCACGGGTTCGCAACACCCTGCGCAGCGGCCCTCTCATTCAAACCCGACTCAGCCGGATCCTCGAAGGTCGGGAGCCATCCCGCAGCACCCCATCGGTGCCCCAACGAGCTACCCGTGGTCCCCAGAACCGTCGATATACCCGCCGCCAACGCAGTGGCCCGGCCATCCCACGCTTGTCCCGACGCCAGAATACGCGGCACCGATCCCGGGCGTCCGCTGCATCTGCCCGATAAATATGCTTTGCTACTGTGGTGCAAGAACATACAGAAGCTGAAACACAGCCCATTGAACCACCCCCCATAACCCCCATGTTGTCTATTTTTGTCTCTTTCCAGTGCTCTCGGATTGTCATTTTTCATCCAATTATCATATCAGGAACCTAATTACCGCATATTGTATATTAGCTATGTATCGCAGAGTCCTGTTTATATTATTTTGAAGAAATTCCTTCCGCGTATTCTTTCTTACACAACAAGAATCTGAACATTGAGCAAATGTGATCGTCCTGCATCAAACGCGACAGTCACATCAGTGACCCACCGACTTCTTTTTCCCGACATGCCGGCAGACCTATCCCAGCTGGCCCTCTCCCCAGCCGACCTGGACGAGCTCCGGCGGTTGGTCTCGCTTGGCAAGTCCATGCAGCCCGATATCGCGCGCGCGGCCCGGCAACGCGGGACGTCAGGCACCCTCTCCGAACGCGTCGCCGCGCGGTGTGAGTTTGCGCTTATGGGAATCAAGCTCCAATCGGTGACCGGCTCGCCGCTCCTGGCGCCCGGGATCTCCAAGGCACAGACACCGCCCGCAGTCGGGGGCATGATGCACGCGGTGGGGCAGCTCGGGAAGATCGTGGAGGTGGACTATGGCAGGGAGCCTGGGAGTGCTGATTTCGCGATGGTGCGTCGTGCTGGGCCCCCATCTCGCTCGATTTTCGGCGCCGATCCTCACGTGTGTAGCTCGCGAAGCATCTCAAACGCGTCCGCCATCTGCTCCGCGTCTACTACGACTTTCGCGTCGCCCGGCGCCAGCACGCCGATCTCGTGTACTGCGACTGGGGCGCCATGTCCGACGTCGGCATCACTCTCCACCGCCTCGGCCTGCTCCTCCAACTCGATCCATCGCGTCTCCGTGCCGCTATGGCCCGTGGGGGCCCGCAGCTTGAGCAGCTCCTGTTAGAGGACGACATGGATATCGGCTCGTTCCGCAAGATGGCGGTCGCAATCCGTCAGCGCGTCGTTGCCGATGTGGAGGCGGAGGACTCGGATAGGGAGATCGCCGGGGAGCTGGAGGACAAGGCCGATGGCGATCTCGCGGCCCATGTGCTCTCGTGGTTCTACGGTGATGTCACTGTCGGATTCATCATCATGGGCCGGACAAGCGGAGACGCCGCTGAGAAACGCTGGGCTTCCAAGGCTATGAAGCGGCTTGTGCTGTGGTCCACCCATCCAACCTATCGAGCGACGCTGGGGGACGCATTGACGGATGCGATGAGACCAATCTACTGGAGCAAGCCGTTATTGACAGAGTTCGGCCAGGCCGGTGGATTGGCGGCCCTCTTTGGAGACTGGGTAAGTTATGCCTCATCTCGTTTGGCGTTACATTGATCGTCTTGTAGATCAACAGTTCCTGCGCGTCGGTGTGCGAGGAAGCCCTCAAAACACTGCCTTCCGCGGCCTGGGAGAATCAGAAACCTGCGTCTCTCCTCGCCATCACTCGAGAATTGCAAGGAAAGATCAGCCACGAAACAACAGACATTGCTGTACGTGCGTCAAACTTTTTGCGCGTATCGCTTTCCTTAGCAGATACAGTGCTCTGTCATTTTCATCAACGCCTGTCTCAACATGTACAGCCTATATGGTCTGGCGCCGTTCGTCCAAGCATCGAAAAAGGAAACGGACGACGACCCAGTTCTTTTCTACTACATCCAGCACGTGATCAAGCGGGATAAGCTTCCCATGGAGACAGCCGCCGAATGGGAGAAGCTGTTGAAATCATACGCGGAAATGCCTCGCACAATGGAGAAGCGGTACCAATGGGCAAACTACTCCATCGGTGCCAAATGGGACTGCCTCGAATTTTTTGGCTGCGAGGCCGATGGCTGCCCGGAGCAACGGGCGCTGTTTGCGCTCAGAGACGAGAGGGTTCGCGGCGTGCGCGATGCACAGATCGAGGAGCGTTTAGAGAAATGGGGGACTAAGCCGAGGTCATGCGCGGCCTGCGAAAGCGTGTCGTACTGCAGCTCGTCGTGCCAGAAAGCACATTGGCCGACTCACAAACCCCAGTGTTTGAAGTTCCGCCGCAGAGCGTAGACGGGGCAGCTGTGGTTGCGCGGATTGGGATAGAAACTCGGTTTTATTTCTTTCATTTAGAAACATTTGCAAGTATCTTGACTGGATCTTACGAACATACGGAAACTGAGGTGAGAAACGCACGCACCGAAGCATGTAAGGACATCATAATCCTGTTGATTGATCTCAGGTCCGAACCGGCCCGGCTGATGGGCTGTCTATGCGCACTCGCGGCCCGGGCTTCCGAGTTCCAAGATTTGCATGCTCAAACTTGAGTCTGGGAGTCCTCGAGATGGATTTCCCTTCTGTCAAATAAACTCGATTGCATGGTAGTTCTGGACGCCCGCCGAGCTCAGGAAATCCTATACGGATGATTCTTTGAGTATTTTCATACAAATCTCAGGCTTTTGAGTACACTACCATAGTCGCCAGGCAGCCGGCGCTGTTTATCCTATCAAGTCATCCAAAAAGTCCTCCATCTCATCCATTTCGCTTTTGATAGGAGGCAAGGATCCGTCTGGGAGCGGTAGCGGTGGGGCGATCACAGGCTGTATCTCGGCTTTCTTTAGTGGTACAACAGGTGCTCGACGCAGTTTATCTGATTTGGCCCGAAATCTGGATTTTAGCTCTGCGTTTGTCAGTGAGATAAGTCCAAAGAGGAAGATGGAGGCCGGACCGACGCCGTACCTCGTAGTGCGTCCGCAGCCTGCTTCTCTTCGGACAGAACCTGTAACGAGTCGTCCCACACGATTTCCTGAGCCTTGCCTTTCCGATTTGGCAGCACATTTGTGCTGCGAGCGGGCATGGAGGATATGTGGTCCAGAGAGTGATCGACGTCATCCTCGTCGTCTTCGTGCTGCCGATCTGAAGACCCTAGTGGCGGTGCCCGCGGGTCTTCAAGTCGTTGCCGCTCTAGAAACGATGACAGATCGACTTCAGGCTCGACGATCGGTTCGCCTGGGACAAGGATGAGCTGGTTAAGCACCAAGAACAGGAGCGCGCCTCACCGTCCGAGTCCAGCTCGGGCTCCTCCTCCTTATACCGATCCGCATTCGTTCCGAGTCCTCTCCGACCGTACTTCCTCCTCAAATTCGCCTCCCGCTCCTCCCTCTCCCTCCGCGCATCCTCATCCTCTTCGCCGTCCGCCGTGACGTACCGCGCACTGGGGCCCACCTCGCCTTCGAGGAGCAGCCGGGGCGCGAATTCGGCCGCACGGCCACCCCCGCCGCGCCCACGGCCCCGCGCACGCAGATATTTGCCGAGCCCGCCTCTGGATTTGCCGCGGCCTCTTCCTCGAGGTGCACCGGAGGTTTGGGAAGCTGAGTCTGCCATCCGCGATGATGGACTCGGAGAAGAAGCGATGTGACATCACGCGTCACTTGCATCTGTTCTCTTCGGACCACTGGCTCTGACGATCAGCGCCGTATAGGGCATGTGGACGAGTTGCGGAGAGGATACATGGCGCAAGTGACACTCATCTATCTCTACTCGCTTTCGACCGATTGGTCCAGGAGAGGAGACCTTGTCTCACCTTTCTTCCGCGCTCGATATAAACATGGCCAAGAGAACGTCCCCTGACGTTAAACGGTCTTGTCTCTCCCGCTATCCCATCTCTCTCGTGCTCTCATCTCTGCTTTCATATTCCATCGCTTTCTTACATGCCGTCTTCATCATCCCGATCGTCTGTGACGGCCTCATCGACGCTCCCAGACCTCACCGGCGAGACGGTGGAAAACGGACGACTCCTTCTTCTCAGCCTCCTGGGATCGGGTGCTTACGGCAAGGTCTACAAAGCGCTCGATACATCCTCACCGACGAACGCACCGGCGTATTACGCAGTCAAGTGCATGCCGCAGTACGAGCCGGACTCGCGGGGACAGAAGATGGTCGCGAACGAGCTACATTTGCACCGCATCGGCGCGATGCACCCAAGAATCATCGCCTTTCACAGGGTCTTCGCCATGGTCGAACCTGCGCCCCTCGTCTTCGTCGTCCTTGACTTTTGTGATGGGGGCGACTTCTTCACTGCCATGGTCGATCGGGGGTTGTATGCGGGCAAATTGCACGTGATCAAGACAGTGTTTGGGCAAATTCTGGACGGAGTGGAGTTTTTGCATCGGATGGGCATCTACCATCGGGATTTGAAACCGGAGAATCTTCTGTGTGGAGATGCAGAAACGGGGTTGGATATTCGGCTGGCGGACTTTGGGCTGTCGACTCAGAAGGATGTCTCGTTTCAGTTTGGGTGCGGAAGTCGGTTTTATATGAGTCCTGGTATGTGCTCAGTGCGACTTTGAGTGATATATCCCTGAGCTAAGCACCGAATTCGCAGAATCCATCAACGGTTCCCGCAATCTGGGATACTCGCCACGAGACAGTGATATATGGGCCCTGTCTGTCATCTTCACCAACCTTATCACTGGCCGCCACCCCTGGTTTAGCGCGGAAGATACCGATGCGGGCTACACCGCCTATCGTCTGGATAATACCTATCTCCTGCGCGCACTGAAAATTTCCCATTCGGCGTACGACCTGCTCCGCCGTTGCTTTCACGAGGATCCGCGCCAGCGGCCGGACATTCCCGCACTCCGGAAAGCCGTGGTCGAAATGGACTATTTCACGATGGAGGATGAGTGTGGCGGAAGAACCTCCAAGATTCCTCTCCTAGGTCATGCGATGGTGGATACCGACCTGCCGGAATCCGCCGGTCTCGAATCGGTGTGCGAAGAGACGACGCCACGGCAGGCCGACGCCAGCCGCCTGCAGACACCATCCGAGCTGAGCCCTGTGCTGAGCAGTCGTTGTGAGTCGAGGATCAACGGGTTGTCATCCATGATCCTTTCCTCCACCACCTCCCACTCGTCCTTGCGGTCGTCGGAGAATGCCGTATCAGACTCGAGCCTGCCGACAACACCCACATCGAGTGTCGAATCGAGCTCCTGCTGCGACGTCCTCGCTCAGCGACCCTCGCTCAAGCTCGACATACATGCACCGCTTGCCCTCCCACCCCGCGCCGTCCTGAAAGGCGTACCGTCCCGGCCTCTGCCTGCTTCACCATTCGGAGAGGTCCAGCGATCGCTCATGCGTCCGCGGCCGTTGCCCTTGCCGCCCATGTCGGTGACGAACGGGGTCACGCGGTCTTTCTTGTGCAGCTTCGCGGTATTTAGACCGGGCGAGAAACAGTCGAAACGACAGATCTGAACAAGAAGCTTGTAAATAATACGAACTCTGTGCATTCGTATGTATTGATACTAAAGCTCACACGAGTGAATTCGGGATACCAGATTCAACAGCAGCGTCTGCACCACATGCTCCAAGTCGACTTTATGCAACAAGGGCGACAGGCGCCAGCACTTTATCGTGAGGCAACTACAAACAGCGAATCTGCCAGCGACAGCAAGCCCATAAGATCCCCTGCGGAACTGGGGAATGGCTCAGAACGCCAAGTCGATAGCAGTGTGGAAGAGCCCAGTCTGTTCGATAGATGTGCGCCGAATAGTGAAAAAAAGAAGCAGAAAAAATGCCCCGTATTCACATGCTGCTCGTTCCAGCTGCCCGGTAGTTCGCAAGTCACGCCAAACGAACCGATCGACTGCAGGCGGTGGCAGCACAGATGTCCGTCCGGCGACAGGCTTGCGTACACAGTGCCGGGGACAAATCCTGCTTCCCTCAGACGAATCACCCATGGATCGTCTCACGGACGGCAAAGCTCGCCAGCATGAGGACAGACACAGTTCCTTTCTCGCTCCGGAAAGGTCACCTTATCGGATTACTATAGGCGACTGGGCAATTGGCCACCCTAAGTACATGGCCATTTCGTGATTTGAAGGGGAAATATGTTGTTTTGGGAGATTCTATGTTGCTAGGATGAAAGAGCGACCCAAGATACCCTTGTATGTGCGTTTCCAAGGTGGTAGCTGCTGTCGATCGTGTGTGGGACATGATCTACAGTCATCAACCGGTCAGTGATACGCAATCACTCACTGATACAGTCGAAAAGATCAGATATTTTTGAGCTATTGAGCGCTTATGGCTGCCCGGGAAAAAAAATCCAAATAGTAGTTGTCTTAATACATCTCGTATAGAGAGGATCTTATACCCATCTTGCAGAGAGGCAGACAAGAAATTCTTCTTTGGTAGTGGGTGAGTGTATCACTGCCAGGTTTGAAAGATGTGTCGACATTTTCCCCTTCAATTTCAATTGATACATACACATGACATTTCAAAACGTAAAAATATGTTCAGAGGTCTTATCGAGGCTAGGATTGTGCCTACAAGACGTTGTCAGTATTGTAGATCAAATCGCACCCATATGGGGAACACCGACCAGTCACATCACGCGATACGCGTCAGCACGTTTGTTGACGCGCCTGAGCGCCTCTGACCGCCACTCTCCCGTTACATCACGCCGGGACGCGCCCAATCCGAGTCCAGCAAGCAGCGCGTGGAGCAGGGGCTGCATGACTGCTACATGCAGCGGGCTGTTGACCTCTATCTTGCAGACCAGCAGCGGCCGCTTGCGCCCAAAGAGCGACGCAAAGGGACGCGATACTTCTGTGAAATCGTCGAGGAAGAGTTTCGGGCAGAGTACAAAAGATCCATTCACCTTTCTCACATGACTTGCAGCCGTTGGGCGGAGGGAAAACGCAGCCGGGCAAATGCCAATGCTGCCCGATCCTGGTTACTTCCAGAGGAGGCGGAGACTGTTCTGCAGTATGTTGAGGAGATGTCGATCAGAGGCTTGCCCCTTGATCACGAAGGTCTTCGGGAGGTTGTTGAGGGTATCTTGAGGGCCCGATTACACCTCAGTTACCACCGCCATCACCCGGTTGCACCCCTGCGGGGGTCCTACTGGGTACCCTCAGATGTAGCTCTGAGGGTACCCAACAGGTACCCCCCTGCGGGCCCCGCAGGGGGGATTTGGTCCATTTGGGGCAGGGGCATATGCGGGGATCAGCAGGGGGGGTGCAGGGGGGGGGGGGGGGGGTCTGTACATATCATGTGATTTATCATTGGGAGCGGGCAGGTGGGCGCGAAAAAAAAATGAATCACATGACACATCCAATGGGCGGGATGGCGGCTGATGGCGGGGTAAAAAAATCACGTGATGCACTGCATGAAAATTATCAAAGATGGCTAGCAGGGGTTGGCGGGGGTTGGCGGGGGGCGCTACTGTCCCCCCGCACACCATGGCGGGCAGTGGGCGCATTATCACGTGACTTTTGGGGCACCTTTTGTGCACCATTCGGCATGATTTCGAAGGTGTTGCTTGATCCATTGCATGCTGTGGCAGACAATGGGCGCATAATCACGTGATTTTCCGCCCAAAAAATGGAAGCCTTCCCAAATCATCCTGGTATCATTTCTATAGGTAAATACACTACTTAAGCATGAATTTGAGCTTGGAAAGCCCAAAATGCACCCTGCACAATGGGACTGGTGATGCACTTGATCCCATCATTTGGCGGGGTCTGCTGCGGGGGGTGCCACGGGGGGTGCTGCGGGGGGTGCCACAGGGGGTGCCACAGGGGGTGCTGCGGGGCCCGCTGTGGGGTCAACCACAGGAGCAGGGTTAGGGGTGCATTGCATTATATTTTGATCTATCTATTCTCGCTGTGGTCATAGCATGCAGCATAATTATCCTTCATTTTGCCAGGAGTTTGGAGGCTGTGTCTGGGGGTGGTCTGCACCTACAGCCGTGTGACTCCCTGATGCTTCGGCAGGGGCTGGGATATCAAAACTGTGCAATATTACCTAAATCTTTTGGCTTGGCTTGGGGCACTGATATATATGACTTGGTTCATTTTGGCATGGTCTGCTCAAGCTGTCAGGTCAAACTAAAAATTTGAAAAATGCGCAACTTGATTTGTTAGGCAAATCTCCCAAGTACATGCTCCAGGGACAGCCAACATCATCAACAAGAAATGGCTAATGTTTCTTTTCTCTGTCTGTTTGCTTCAGGTAGTCTGTCTGCGCTCAAATTTTCCTCTCCATTTGCAGCATATTCCATGGAGGTGTCATAATTCTTGATTTCCGGATTTCATACTTCTTGTCTACATAGCATTTGGGTCCTTTACTGAATCCTGGATGATACCACACATTAATTACATACCTAATGTCACACTTCCTGTCTGGGACTCATTGAAGTTCATCTGTTCTGTGTTACTTTACAAGCAGTTTGCTTCAGTTGCAACATGAACAGATGTAATAGTGGATTTGACATGCCCTGAATTGATTCCTAGGTGGAATATGAGACAATGGATTCACCAGCAAGTTGTCTCACAATAGTCAGAGATTGGTAATATTTGAATTTCAAATTTCATATACAACACTCTGTGCACTCAGAGCTCGTATATTTGCAAGATAGACTGTAGAGACATAGATGGTTACTTTTACTACCTCTGGGGCTGCACACATCCTCGCCATGACCCACTGCCTGCACCCCCGCTGGCACCCCCTGTGGCACCCCCGCTGACACCCCCGCTGGCACCCCCGCTGGCACCCCCGCCAGTCTAGCACCCCCCGCCGCACCGGTGCCTTGCTCCTGTGATTTTCTTATATGTAAGATTATGTAAACTGACAGCTCGGAACACGTCAAGTCACTAGCCAATCAGAACCTGTATAAACGTCGTACCTAAGTGTTTACTGCTCTTCTAACACTGTTCTTACAGTTATGCAGCTGAAAACCATCGGAATAAGGTCTCCATATGCTATTCTTGTTGAATATGTAGGTACTTCATATCCTTTGTCCACCTAAAAATCGAAACATGAAAACAGTTCACCATTGCTCAAGGTTCCTATGTAGACAATGGTTCAACATGGTTCACTTTGGGTATGGCAAAAAATATTTTTTCTACACACAAGCAATTCAATACAGCTGAATGATATACTCTTTGGCAGTGTCTGAAACAAATTCTGAGAGCCCTGGACCCTGGAACCATTCAAAAACTTGAAATGAGTCCGAAAAATAGGGTCTTGATAAACATGAGATATGGGCTGGTTTGAAGAGACATGGGCCACCGGTCATGTTGAATATAGTATTTTACAATGTTTCGGTGCCCTACCTCTCATCACATGGCCTCATTTCCGACTAAGAAGCGCACATACACACTCAAGCTCATAAAATCAATTGTCACCCAGAAACAAGAGCAGTGAAGTTGTTTCACTGGGATTGGGTAAAGGTTACCTAGAAGTCACTTGGGTTGCAGTACAGAAGCTTTGGAAAGTGATTTTGTAGTTGATCCACATTTGGTAGGCTGGCAGATGCTTGTGCACCCCCACGGCACCCCCTGCTGTTGAGCATGATCAGCGGCTGTACACGGACACTGCCACCCATCATCAGCGGCCGCGGCGCATCCACCGACATCAGGATTAAGCTCATCGGCCGCGGTTTTCTGGCGATTTCTCCGCCATTTCACATTACTTACAGAATATTCCAGAGCCATCGTTCACGGTAGTATATAAGCACGAGATTGTAGATACGAAAGACAGAATATAATACCCCCTTTATAGCCCATTTCGAGGAGTCCCTGACTCCGACCTCCCATCGTTTACATCATCGATCCAGCAGTCCGCGGTCCAGACAGACGCCGCAGGAGTTCGCTCACTCATTTCCCCGCATTCCCAGCCTCACCTGAACCTTGGTTTGGACACCTCGCATCAATACATCACTACACGGCGCACTCGGAGCGGGGCCCGCCCATTTGACCTCTAGTCCTCGTTCTCCCGTTCTTGGGTCCTCGCTTAGACGTCGCCCGTGCACATCATATTTTGGAGCCCACCGCGAGGGGTCTAAATCACCATTGATTCAGGCCGTAGCCTTCGTCCTCGCCGTACTTCGTTACAAGATCTACGTGCAGAATTCCATGCTATCCAGCAAAACCCACGCGATCTACTCGACACATCCACCCATCCCGGCTCCGACACATCTGAAGAGCTCTTCGTTCGCGTTCCAGACCACCTTGCCCGGCACAACAACCTATCCCCTCGTTCACCCGATTCCCCACGGCTCGACCTTCTCTTCCCGTCCCCATCCCGCACTCGATCTCATACCCCGACCCCAACCATCATGGCAACCCAACAGATGCCCGCCCGAGGCGCTCGTGGAGCCCCGGAGTTTGATTCGTCGAAACCGCGCCAGCTACCTCGATACTTCAGTGATCTCGAGCTGGAATTTGCTCGAGTCGGGGTCACTGATGAGACGGAAAAGAAGAGGCATGCGACGAGATATGTCAGCGTCGACGACCAGGACACCTGGGAATCACTCACCGAGTTCACGTCCGTCACGACCACCTACGCCGACTTCAAAAAGGCCGTCTTGAAGCTCTATCCCGGCACAGACTCTGATCAAAAGTATACGATGTCGGATCTCCATTCGCTGATCGGCGAATACGCAACATCCGGCATCCTGTCGCTGTCAGACTACAGCGAGTTCTATAGGCGCTTCATCACGATCACAACGTACCTGATCTCAAAAGGGCGTCTCTCGACTGCTGAACAAAGTCGTTCATTCTGCCGTGCCATCTCCCCGCCCACCCTCTGGACTCGTGTATCACAGCGATTGCAGATCAAACGCCCAGACAATCACCCCGACGACCCATACAACCTCGCGGATCTCACCGAAGCAGTCGAATTCATCCTGGCCGGTCCTGTCACGCTCAACGCGCCGCCCCCATCGTCAGTACCGCCCTCCCAATCGGCCAGTTCTCCCGCCGTCAAATCCGAGCCCGACTTTGGCGCGCTGCTCGAGACCATGAATGGTCTAATGAAGGTCTTGCTAGCGCAGGAGCAGCAGCCCAGTCGCCCATATGCGAGCCCGTTGCCAGCCAGCCCATCGGCACCCCGACGAGAAGGCGACCAGTGCGTGTACTGTGGAGGCGACCATTACATCAGTCGCTGCCCACTTGTCGAAGAAGATACGAAAGCTGGAAAATGTAAGCGTGATATCAATGGACGTGTGGTGCTCCCTACCGGCGCGTTCGTTCCCCGCAGAATCCCCGGCGTCAATCTCAGAGCCCGTATCGAGGAATGGCACAAACAAAACCCTGGTCAGCTAGCCGCCGGTCAGATGATGCTCGAAGTGCCCACGCACCTGTCGTCGTCGTATCCTGCGTCTTCCCAGTCCAATCCCGCTGCCACATTCGTCCTGTCCGAAGAAGAGCGCCTTGCGAGTCTGGAGAAGGAGATTTTTGCGATCCGCACGCGCGCCCAGGCACGACGTGCTCTTGCCGCCGGCGCATCCGGAGAATCGGTCGAGGAACCAGAACAACCAGTACGCGCGTCGGTACCGCCTCCAACGCCTCCAGCGCCTCCCATTGCCCCTGCCGTTCCGCCCAGTATCATGACACGGCCCACAAAAGAGAACTCACCTGAACACCCCTACGCCCATATTCGCGACGCCGCCTATGCCCCGCCACGCAACCGAAACGTTGGGGCCAAGCCTCCAGTCCACGCGGCAAAGAAGAACGACCCAGCTTACCGGACAACTGCGCCCATTTTCGATGAAAAAATCGCCTCCAAGGTTTTCGACCGGTCCATGGACGCGCCTATCACCCTGACCCACCGAGAGCTCCTCTCCCTGTCGCCAGAAGTACGGTGATAGGCTGGCTACCAGACGCGCTCTGCACCAGCTCTGTAAGGGCGTATTTTTGCGCTTTTTACAGAGTTTACTCTTGAACCATTCGGTGTATCGTGTCGCGGTTGACAGTGTTGCGCTCAGTAGGACTTAAGGGTCTACTGCCCAGTCGACGACTGTGGATAGTGTCGACGATAGCAAGGCAGTCAGACCACTACTGTGGAACTGGTCTTATGGGTCTACACCAGGCTCAGGGCCATTAGTGACGAACGCTTGGACCGCGACCATTCCCCAAAAAGGGATCTGTCGTTGCGTCGACTTCTCGAAAAGGGTCATTCTCTGCAGATGGGAACTTGGGCTGAAGGGCTGAGCAATGCGCGACGTTCTCAATAATAGAACTACTACTGGACAGGACTTGGCGTTACGAGACT